GCTTGTGAAGATTGGCATTCTAGTCAGGCCACTGAAGCTGACAAAGCAATTTAGAGGCACGCTGCCCTCGCTGCGTGGGTCTGATCCATGATGTATGTTACCTCCGCCGCCAACAAATATTTAGCATCGACTTCATGCCAGCCTCTGCAATCCAGTTAGAAACATGGTGTCACCCTGTTCCCAGTGGTGGAAAACACAGAGTGACAGGCTTTTATCATGTTGGCCATGTTTGTCTTGTGATGACGCGCTTGTAGTGCTAATAGGCAACTTGACTCAGACACACTAAAAGATTATCACATTGAGTGTATTACAAAGAGGAGAGCACTCGTTATTGATCCTGTGCTTTATTGTCTTCCTTCTTCCTGGAGAGTTCATTATGTATGTTTGAGACCAGGGAAGAAAAAGGTTCATTGATGATCAAGTAGAAGATATTTTATTTATAACCAACCTGTGGAAATGATGCCTTGCTATTTGAAGCAAGCAAAGGAGCAGAAAAAGCAGCATTTCCATTAAATCAGACTTAAAGTGAGATCACTCCTTCTCCTGTGACTGTCAACATTCATTCTCTGAACATGCTTTAGTTTTTATTCCACACCAGTTTCATCTCAAAAAAATCTGTCAGTGTTATAATGGAATATTGAGGAATTTGTTTTGTTTACTTCACATGATGTATTCTCAAAAACAACGACCAGCTCTGAAATTTCACTCTAAAAACAGAAGCTTTTTATGCCATTTCACAAGATGAAATAGCTGAAAATGGTTGAAAGCTGAAAATTGAAATTACACAAAATATGCCTCGTTGAGCATAGCTATGGTTTGCTTTGTGGAGTCTTCATTATGGTGACAAATAGCAAAATCATTGTGGTGCTACTTCAGCCATTTTTAAGCTGCTTTTTGCGCTTTAAAGTGTATTTTATTTTTTACAGAAATACAAACTATTACATTAACATTCAGTGAATGCATTGTTAGCAATCAGAGGGTTTGGATTTGGAGTCACCTCTGTGTCGTCTGTGGCACCGTTTTCTGCAGCACCAACCTTTGTGAGAGTCATAAATAGAATGCTGTAAATGCTGATTCTGGTTGTTGATGACGTCGGAGGTAGACGCTCACCCCTCACCTGGGAGGAGACAGGTGAGTCGACCGCGTTTGACCCATTTTCATATCAACAAAGACATTTTGTCTAATACTCTTCTCACTGGATATTTTCAGACCATCCTCGAGAATATGATTCAAGACGTACAAAATAATCATATTCTCCCTCTATAGACTAATTTCCAGCCACCTTTGAGTTTTTGCTTTTTCTACTGTGGTTCCTGCAGCTGGGACTTGCATGGCATGTGCAAATGTGACGGTAGAGTCTATGATCCTGAAGCCACCATTAGTCTGTAAGCTTTGGAAATAACCTCCTAAAATCACCAGGAGAGTCTGCAGTGAATCTCAGAGGGAGTTTAGAGATCAGGCTCAGTTATATTCACAGGTATCATTTCCCAAATAGCGGCCTGTCTTAGAAACTGAAGGGTGGAGAAGAGTTTTAAACTCTGGCAAGCGATGAGAAATGAGTGAGAAAACTGAAGGTTTCTCTGAGGAAGTAGCTGTTTATGTACTGAAGTTGATAAATCAGAGGGTTTTGTTCACTTTTAAAGATTGAGTCTGCTGCTGTGACATTGCTTTGTTCGGTATTTTAAAGAGTGGTGGAGAAAGTACTCAAACAATGTACGTAAGTAAAAGTAAAAAAGTACTGCTTTTTGAAAATACTAAAGTATTAAAAGTAACATTGCAGAAACTCTGCTGTATCTGTAAAGCAGTGTTGAGGTCCAATACAAATGCACGCCACACTTTTCAGAACACTTTAAAGTTTGTTTATGTCACATTATGTGAAATTTTAGGAGCGTGAATTATTTTGTAAGTCACTAAATTACAATTCTCATCTTAAACCCCTGAGTAATGCAGAAATTGTAATTCAGCTGTGGATTATTTTATTTAAATTGATAGTTTACCAGAATAAACTCAGCTGTACTTTTTTGCAGCTGTGCTGCTTTTCTGTGGCTTCCAGCCTCTGTCCATATTAATCATCCACAGACTCTGCTCTCTGCTGGCCAGTCACCGCTCCTCTGCTCTGCATCTGCTGTCATTTCCTTCTTCTCATTCTGAAACAGGAACAGGACAGTAATGGAGCAGAGAGTGGGAAGTGCAGGAGCAGGTGTGGGTTAATATGCTGACCCCCAGCCGTTCATTGTAAATCTGTCCCTCTTCAGTCTCAGCGTTTACAATAAGCTCTTTTCTGTTACAGCACCATGCAGGGGTCAGTGTTTGGACAATTTAGGAAGACATCATGTGAAAATGCACAATTTTTCTTAAATGGTGTTTTTCTCAAATCTGGATCAATTTTATAACCTTTGAATACAATAAGGGAATAAAAGTGAAATTCATTTAAATCTTATATTAAAGGCTACATTATATGAGGTGGTGTAAATTATGTGTGAGACATTTATTGATATTTGAATTATTATTTTTTGTGTAAATGTTGGACCTGCATGTGCATCTAAGAATTATATTGGTTCTACAGGTCAGCCATGAATTATTTCAGAATTAGAACCAAAGATGATATTCACAGAATAAACAACAAAAATGTAAGTTTTGTTTTCATATACGGCCTGGTTGCTTTGCATGGCTAAATGCATCTTTCACTTGTTTGTTAAGCTACTGGTAAAAATCTGCAAAAGTAAATTAGTTCTCGGTTTTCCATGCAGTCAGAACAATCTTTTTCTATCATATCATGTTTGTGTTGTTATATCAGATGATAAGGTCCTAAAAGCAATGAGGCCAAATGATTCAACTGACTTGACAGGAACATGGGAGACGCCACAACAGCGCCAGTGAGAGAAAAGCTCATGTAAAGGTGAAGAGGTGCAAGCTATTTATTGTATTTTCATTTAGTACCTCTGTCTGCTGGGTGTAATTAAGCAGCCATTGGCCTCGTGACACCTTAGAGAACTTGTCAAAGAGGACTGTGAAAGTTAACAAGATGGTAATTTGTAGAGGAGGCCAGGGAATAAGAAAATATGAGAAGAGGGCTCAAGTGGGCCTTATTCTAATATTTTAACCAGTTTAATTGAAGAGAGCACCAGAGGCACTCGGACTTGTTAATGAGGACAGTGCAGCGTTGATCATTTGAAAAGCTCCTATCTGAAGCAGTGCATGGGCTTCTTAATACAATCAACTCATACATGAAAATGTAGTCACCCTTGCAGGAACCCTTGCAAAATATCAAATGCAAGGTTTCCTGCATTTGATAATTATTATTACTTTAATATTTAAGTTATAAATATTAAAGGAAAATATATAAAAAGGTGGGTATATTTTCAAAACATCCATTTTAGAAAATAATTGTTTTTAACAAAATAACCAACGGCACAATGATTGCTACTCCCAGCAATCACTTAAAATAAACATAACTGGAGCATTTTTAATTTATGCTTTACTTTTATGGATTGAACAATTTTAACTATAAATTTTAAATTATTAATTCATTCCTTTCTGTTTCCCAGGGGCACAAATATAACCGAACACAAAAGAGCATTTATTTTAGCCAATCGTTAAAAACACAAAGAGTTTAGAAAAGTTGAACTGAAGTAAGAACTCCGAACACGGTTATATCCAGAGTCAAACCAATAATTCAAAAGATTTTTAATGTCGAATGTGTTTTTTTTCCTTGATGAATGAATATAATTAATTTGAAGGTCAGATCTATCTGTAGTTTGCGGAGTGCAATTTATTTCCATCCAGTGTTACATTTATTTTCACCTCGTATTGATGATGACGGAGTCGTCATCGATGATGACCTCCTCCTCCAGGAGAGGTTCAGGTCTGGGTCGGGTTTTACCCCACTGTCGCCTCATGCTTCCTGAAACGCAGGTCGAGTCCGACGAATCCTGGCATTGCTTTCGTGGAAAATCCCCGTCATTAGAAAACAAACTCACTCTTCAGGATATGCAGGTTGTTTGCTGACCTCATAATGTTGCTGAACTTTGACCTGACCAACTGCAGCAACCCAGAGGGTTGTAGAGTAGACAATGCAGGTGAATCTCTCCATCTGCCTCTCTTCTTACCCTGATGCGCTCCTCTCTCTGGAAGAGGGTAAATCTGGACTCATTCGATTACATGACTTTCTTCTCTCGCTCCAAAGTCCAATCTTCATGCTGCCTTGCAAGTTGAAGCCTTTTTCTCCTCTTTGTCTCACTGATTAGTGGTTTTCTAATGGCTACACAGATATTCAGTCCCAATCCTTTGGGTTCACATTGTGTGAATGGAAATCCTCTTACTTCACTGTTAACTATAGCTTTGGGCTTTACAATTGTTTTTTATTTAATTTTATTTCACTAAATATGAAGATTTGTTTTTCTTACCACATTTCTTCCTTGAAGACAACAGTTCACACTTTCCATCCAGATTTTAATAATAAGTTGAACAGTTTTTCATCTGGTTTTATGAGTTTACATGTCAGCTTAGATATTTTCTCTGCTTTAAGCCAACGAACCGACCATTCTTGAATAGACTAACATCTTTTCTGTGACCACAGGATCATTTCACGTGGTTGTTTAAGATAGGGAGTTACTAATTGTAGTATATTCCATTAATGTTCTCTTGTAATGTTCTTAGCAATATCCAGGCTGTCATAATTGTGATGAATGATTTTTAATTGATTTTTAACTGTAAAGTTTTAAAAAGTGTAAAGTGACAAATATATGGATGGTGAAGTGAAAGCAGAACAGCAGCAGAACAAAAGACGGACCCAGAATACAAAGCATGTTGGCAGGTTGGAGGTGTTTGACCAGCCCAAGGCAGGTAGACAGATAAAAGATCATATCCATATTACATGCATCACCTTCCTTCCTGCATAGCTCCTGTTACAGCTCAGGACTTGTATTGATTTCTCCACAACGCCGGTGTTGTCTGTCTCCCTGACTCTGCTGTGTGTCTCTCTGTTATCTTCTTTCTAGGAAACACCAACAGTGTTTTTGCTCTGGACTACATCAGCGGCTCCCTGAAGGTGAACGGCCAGCTGGACAGAGAAAACCCGCTCTACTCAGCAGGATTCACTCTCACTGTCAAGGTGAGCCGCCGAACGAGAGGCAGCTGAGGAGGGAGGGGGGCAGAGCCTGGAGAGCAGATCGAAACTCCTTCACAAGAGGATCAAGAGCTTTTGATATGTTAGTGTAATAAATCAATGCAGCACCTGGACATGATAGAGTCTCAGAGGACTCACCAGCTGGCGCCCCACCCTGGATCACTGTGGGCTTTGTGATCCAACAGCCTGGCCTGGATTTACAATACCATCACAATCAATGTGCCTGCAGATAATCACTCTAACAGGTGGTTCTATAGACTCTCTGGCAACTTTGTTTATGCAAACTGAACATCTGCATGGCAGCTACACAATACCTCTATTCATCCAGACACGTTAAAGGGGAAGTGTTAGGTATTGTCTCGACACATGGAGCCATTTTATGTCACAACCAAGTAACTATGTTACCTCATCATATATATAAACTATAACTTAAAGAAACTTTGAATTAAAGCCTTGGAGTTGAGCTTCTGTCTCTATAGAAACTTCTGCTTTTTCTGAATCTCCGCCTTCAGGAAGTCATCACAACATGGTTCCTATATTAACTCCTATTGAGCTCAAAAATGCTGATTTAACATAATGCTGGCCCTTTAACGTTCAAACCAATCACTAACATGGCCATTCAAAGTCAGATTTAGTAAAAGCTCCTAGTTTGATGCATTTAATGAATTTGGTGAATATTTTGTAAACATTTTATTTGTCAGTTATAGATCAGAGCTGATCAAGGGGAAATTGGAAGGTCCTAATCTCTGGCTGATTGATTTGTTTCTATTTATGGCATTAATTCATCCCTATTTATTAAGTACAACCCAAGAAAATAAGAGCATCATACAGCTTCACTGTTATATACTTTAGAGTTTATAAAAAGATGATTTAGATAGTTTGCTCTAAGGTTTAATACAAAGAAGGCTGGGCTGATACATACTAGCTTCGGTCTGTCTTTTTAATTAAAATCAATAATTACAAACAAGAAAGTAGCCAGTGTAAACATTGTGAAAAAGAGAAAATGTAGACCAAAAAGGTATTTATAAGATATGGATTTTTTTCCTGCTAAATTTTCCCTGCTTCCCTATGCTTCTGCCTTCTTACATGCTGCTGGTATTGATTATTCTGTGCCATAGTAATACAACTAATTTCTCAACTTCAGGCAGCTTAGATAGCAGCGAACAGGCAGAGGTGAAGGTCAAACGATTCAGGAGAGTTGGAGGCTAAGCTACTTTGATTATCCAGATATGAGCATGCTGCTGGTGCCCACTCTGCCACTCACTGTGACCTTTCTTTATCAATAAAAGACGGCACCTCACACCGATTTTCCAGGATTTTCCTTTTTTTTGGAGACATTACATGACCAGTATTGAAGCAGCCAGAAACAGGGATTTGTGTTTTGTCCTCTCAGAGGGACTTTTTCCCTCTTGAATCAGACTAAATGTGCTCTTCTGGCCTCAGTTTGAGGCAATTTCTATGATTGCTTGGAGGTCACCTGTTCACCTTTTGATCCAGTAAATAAACAGCTGTAAATATCTCGTGAGATTGCGTGCTGACCGCTCTTATAGAGAATGACATTTGAAGTCCAATCAAATTTCTTTTATACCTTTTCTGTTTTTCTTTTTTGCCACTCTTTTGTTGCTCTCTGTAAGGCCACGGAGTTGAAGGATGATCGCAGTCCGTCAGACGCGACAGTGATGACCACCTTCACCATCCTGTTAATTGACAAGAATGACAACGCCCCAAAGTTCAACAGCTCCGAATACCGGGTTCGCATCACTGAACTGGCCCAAGTGGGCTTTGCTCTGCCGCTCTTCATCCAGGTGGAAGATAAAGACGAGGTGAGCGAATCGCTTCCTCCAGCATCATGACATGTTTAGGTGCTCTGTCAGGGCGCTGGCTCTTCTAGCCAAATGTCTCATGCATGGACCTTTAAATGAAGGAATTATTTTGCTGAAAAGTGCCTGCAGACACAAAGACAAGACAAAAAAACTGTTTTTATTTTTTGCTTTTTGTTATACTGAAACAGATTACTTTCATGAATCAGACAAACTTGTCTGTAATCAACTCTAATGGCACCTCAACATTTTAACTGTTTCAAAATCTATTCATCTAATTTAAGTATAATTTAACTGAAGTAGCAGATAACTGCAGAAAATTTCTTCAAATATTATTGTTGGCTTATGAGTCTGTTTTTCCTCCCAGCCAGTTTTGGGAAAGGGAAATAGTTTGCATTATCCTTCATAATGCAAACTACATGGATGTTTATTTCTGTACATAAAGTGTTTTAAAAGCATAACCTGAATAAATACAAGAGTTACTTTCTAAATTATATTTGGAAAAATCTAGTCAAATTAAATTTGCCTCATGTAAAAAACTAATTGCTCCTACGTCTTATTACTGGTATCGCCAGGCTTGGCAACAATAGCCAACATTCATAGTGAGTGACATTAAGGATTTATATTGACGGGCAATAAGTCTCTTACATTGATATGTTGGATTTTTGTCCTAATTTTCTTTACTGAATTTTTTTGTAAATTGTGTAATTCTTGCCTTTCTTCTGAAAACGCCAGAAGCTCAGTGGCCCTTTCCTGTTTCTGAAGACATACTTGTACATTCTTTAAACTTTTAATGCCGTGTTATTTTAAGTACTTGCAAGCACAGTTTTCAAACTTATTGAATAACTCTTTAAAACAATGTTTTAACATACTACTTTTTTGTTTTGGACCTTGAGCAGGAAACTCCAAAACATATACTTTGATTTAATTCTTAATTTGTTTCAGAATTAAAGAAATTAGGGGGATTGCTACTTTTCTTAAGCTAATGGTTCTGCTGCTTGACCCGAATGTTCCAGAGTTTTGGGAGGTTAACTGGTATTCCCTTCAATTTGGTCTCAAGAAGAACTCATCAGTTTGCCAGTATTTTGTCTGTATCTTTATGTAAGTTGAATAGATATGTGTCTTTAAAAAAAAAAACTGATATCTGATCTGTTAATATGCAAAGCAGCCGAGCCTCATGTTGTGTTGTGTAGAATATACACAACACAACAGAAAAATAACTTATCGGACTCATATTGTGCAAATGTCTTAGTGCACTTGAAAAAAGACTAAACTAACTTACAAGTAACTTTTCAGCAATATATAAGAGCTTGTTGTAAGCCAGTAATTCCTTAATATAAATTAAAAAGTGCTATTTCTTAATTGCTAGTTAGCATTAGCATTGTGATCTAACATTATCAGTATACTTTCCACCATATGCAGTAACCTTTAGACACTAATTTGTACAGAGAAAACTGTTTTCACGTCTGCTTTGCTACTCGGTCTCTCTCTTTCCCTGCTCCTCTCTCACATACACGTGCTCGCTCACATCAGCGCATTGCACTCAACTACAATTTAATTTGCTCTGGAAGAGATGGGATAGAGCATCAAATTATACCTAACGAGGAAAATCAATCACCACGGGTGGAGATAAGCCGAAAGCTAGTCAACTCTGATTGATTCAGGCACAGCAGCTGCCAGGGTGGAATTTGACAGATAACTGCAAGTCAAGTGGATAGAGAAATAGGTGGAGACACGTGGAGAGCAGAGGAGAGAAGAAGGGAGGACAAGAAAACCTGAGATGATTTAACAGAAAGTCACCTGCAACAGAGGAAAGTTAGAAGTCTGAATTATTGGTGAAATGAGGTGAAAGAGGGAGAGAAAGGAAGAGAAAACACGAGGAGGGAAGATAGTGGAAGTATTTAGAGCCAGGTCTGTTTATCCATTCAAATGAAGTTGTGTTTATGTCTGTGTGGCTCTTTCAAGCAGAGACAAAAATACAGCAAGTGTGGCTGCATGTAGGGCTGGTGATGATCAAGACGTTTTGCATGTGATAAGAGGCGGCTCTGTTGATTTGCATATATTCTACACAAACTGTGGTGATTCTCAACTCTTTCCCAGGCTTTGGTCAAACTTGTCAGTAATAGAGGTACAGAAAAAAAAAATTATAGGCAATCACAGTTTCTAGTGATGGGAAATCGATTAAAATGCTGAAAAATTAAATTTAAATTTTGGTTGTATGTCTATGCTACTCCTATTTGCATATCATATGTCCACTCAGCCACTGCATGTATTATGAAAAATCATTTCATATATATTTTCTATTGTACAACAAGCCAGGCAGCTAAGTTACCCTAATGCTGGCGATTTAAGTTGCAGTATGGAACATCATTTGAACTATCTGTCGATTGTTTGAATAGAAAATGTGTGTCTGAATCAAAAATCACAATCAGATTGAATCACTTGACACTGAAAAATTAACATCTCTGATCAATTGGCATGTTGAAACAGTTCAGGATGATTTATCTATGAAAAATGTAAAAATGTAATCAAAACTTTGCAAGGAAATTGATGTTTCTTACTTTTAAAATGTTTTAATTAGCTCTATAAACTAGTAGTTAGCGATACTTGCTTTGACGTAAACATTATTAAACATCCATCTGAATTGTAAAATTGTAATCAGAGGACATAATGATACAGGTCATTTGGCAGTCGCCCAGAGTGGCATCATAAAGGAGGGAACACAAGCACCAGATTAAATGACATGTCAGTTGTGCTTTGATGGAGTTTCCTGTTGGTTTACAGGCATTTGCAGTCAGTGGTACCTGTGTGTGTTCAGTAGGGGTCCCTTGCTTGCTGCTGAGGATAGAAACCTGTTTTTTAACGAAACTGCACCGCAATTTATCCATTTCAGAATCTCATTTTCTTATTTTAATTGGTTGGGGGGCAGCAGGAGGAGAGTCTCGCCCAGGGCGCCATTCATGCGATAACTGCCACTGATTATAACCACAAACTGGAATGTGTTTCATGTGACAATCCAGCACAAAAAATGCATAATTGTAAAATAGAAGGGAAACGGATGCATGGTTTTTAATATTTTTTACCGGTACATACCTGAAAGATGAAGCACAATTTTCTGTATAAATACAGACACTAAGACATTATGACTTAGTGTCTGTTGGGTTTGCTTCTATCAGCTTTGCTCACGTAGATAGAGAATCTGTGAACATCAACCTTCAGGTTCTAAGCTGCTTGCACTTTAACTGCACCACTTTAACTGGACTTTAACTGCACCATTAACTCATAAACATGCTTTGATCTAAAGCAGTGTAGTCAAAATCTTTATCTATGCAAAGTTTAGATTTGACCCTGATTTCTTTAGACTTCTGTTGAACTTAACAATATGCTAAGGAGGCTAAGGAGGTACTACCTGGATTTTAATCCACTCTATAGGCAAACTCAAAACACTGAGGAGACCAGTGACTGCAGACCTGAGTTGGTCACCCTGTGGTAAACCATCATATTGTAGCTTCAGTTGTTTGTTTAGGCTTGTCGTCCTGCAGGAAACCAAAGCCCCAAACTAAGAAATAGCAGATCCATGATCAGAAATGTGGCATTAGAGATTCCAGCCACAGCGACATTAAGTCCTACCTGAAGCTTTTGGCTAAGACCCAAAACGCGCTGGATCCATTTCAGCATCCGATCCGATGTAAAAATTGGGTCAGATGATGTACGCGGAAATTAGAATAGGTTAAAGTTGATGCAGATTGTCCGCAATTCCCTGCAACTCCATTTCCAACAGTCAGACCAAAGTGACCTGAGACTCATTTTGTTCAGAGCTACTCAGCAATTTGACAGTAATGTTATGAGTGAGACTGAAAGTGAGCCAAAGTGGAAAGGTGAAACACATCTGCTTTGGGGGAAAATAGAAGGACAGGAAGAAATGAAAAAAGAAAAACGATTTTTGTTCGACCAGCTTTCAGTTGACCGCCGGCTGGATCGGCTTGTGTTTACGCTGGCAGGATTTCAGGTTTGCTCTCACGAGTCCGGCAGTCCAAAAGAGACTGTCGTATTGAAAAACCTGGTCAGAGCATGAAAAGTTGGATTTAAGCTGCTTGTTTTAGACCTAAGGATAAGAGTCAATGCAGTAGGAACGCTTCAGCAATTGGAGGAACTGATGTGAGTCACTTCACCAAAACTACACCAGACTTTTTCTTTGGTCCTCAGCCTGATCTGAGCAGGGATGACATGTTAAGACACATGCTGTCATTTACCTGCTGGTTGTGAAGGTGATGTCCTGAAAACGATGTGATCTGCATTGATGATCGGCGTCCTCTTCTTGGTTTGTGGCAAACTGTAAATAGGAACTTGCATGTATTTCTGCAGCAGTGGTTTTGTCCTTTCATCTCTTCCATTAATGTCTTTGCTTTGCTCTGTCTGGAGAGTCTTGCATGTCAGCTGTGGATCTCTGCAGCTCTTCCAGTTACCAAAGGCCTGTTGCCCAGTGGCAAAACACTTAGTGATGTAGATTTAAAACTTGAAACTTGTCTGCTCACTGTTGATTGTTCATAAGGAACTAAAACTATGTGATTTTATTTTCTAACACATTTAGTAGCTGTTATTGACTTTAAACCTCCAGGTAATTCCCAACAAAGTCATTCTCAACTCGGTACACCTGTGCTGTAATCTCACGTTTTCTAAGTGTGAGAAAATACAGAGAGACATTTAATTTCTCTCTGTCTCACTGTTACTTCTCGCTCCGTGTGTGATCCTTTCTGCTCGGCTGGCATCTTGAAAACTTTTCCTGCCAGAACTTGTCATTGAACTTTGTGGCAGTCGTGTCTGACAGGATGCTTTTATTGGGGGCTTCTAGAGGCAGTAGCAAATGGACGGGCAATTACGTTTATGGGCAGTTTGAGGTGACATCCCTGCATATTGGATGGTCTTTTAAATAGGAGCCATCAGCTACAATGGTTCTCCCAGAGCTGAAAACAAAAACAAGGGGGCTATTTGAACTGTCAGCATAATGCCAACCGACCACTCCACTCGTCTCCCTCCGTTCGCCACAATGACTGTGTGATTGGCTGCCCTGCAGCTTTATATATCAAACACAGGAGCGCTTTGGCGAAGGTTTCTTACCTGAAGACAGCCAGAGCTATTTCAGTGCTGTGATGTCACTCCACAAATTGGTTTAGATTCCTTGTGATCCTCTCATTCTGTAAAAGTTCTTCTGCAAGGAGACTTAAGACAAAGATGATTTTCTTTTTTTGAGTTTCATGTAAACTGATCAAATTGTAAGCTTGTTCCAAACAGCAGCCCACTACTTCATCACATAGTAATTCCAACAGACTTCCCAGTTCAGATAATCTGCATATTATAAACATTGTGTTGGCAACTTGCACAGTGTCAGCTGGAAACAGAAAAGCAGGAAAATGTATCTGTGTTGAGGCAGATAGTCATGGTTGTCATCTATGCTCACATCAAGCTTTTTTTCTGCTCATAAGTCATAAAATACAATGATTACAGCTCACTGTTATAACAGCCTTTGCCTGCTTGGTGATCTTTCACTCAGCCTTAATTCAAACACATTTGTGGATAAGTTTTTAGGGTTTATTATATGCTGCATCTACAAATGAATGAGAATGAATAGTCCTGGCAATATACTTAGATATACAAGAGAAAAATAATAAAGTCTGAACAATAACTTTTAGCTGCAGATAGTTTTATATGTTTATTTGTTATGTATTCCTACATTTTTCTGTCTTTTTATGTAGCACATATATATAATGTAATAGCAAATAAACATATGCAAACTGGAAGCGGAGTCCCCTGCCTTCGCAGCAGAATTAATTCAGACAATAAATGCATGTATTGATTGTACGTAAGGAAATGATTACAGAAAATACTAAAGCTTGCTCATAACTACTGTTGGAGCAATAATTAAAAAGGTTTAAACAAGTGAAAGTGTCAGAAACGAGGATGGATAATGGTCCAGGTTTTCGTTTTGTTACCACTCACAGTAAGACGGTTGGTAATGGAGGCAGAACAAGGAGCTGATCCCAGAAATACGACATTTCAGTCCCACAGGGACGAATCGAAACATGGAGTTTGCTGAACTCCTCTGGGAATCCCTGCAACTGTTTGCTTCTGACTGATGCAACTAAGACTGAGCTTTGCAGCAGCAACCAAAGGATGAATATGAGGGAGAAAACTATTTTATCATGGAGGATCTGTGATTATGTTGTCCTGGAAAGCCTGTCAGAGTACAGGGTATCATTAAATGTCGGGATATTACACAAAATAAAGGAAGTCTTTGCACTAGATTATCATTAATCAGAACCTCCACTAAACATCCAGTCATACAATCTCTTGGTTCAGTGGTTAATTTTGCTCTCAATAAATGTAGGATAAGTTGTTTACCGTTTTTCAGTGTAAAAATATTCAAAAGACTCATTTTAGAGTTTTTTTTTTTCATATACTGTGAAATAGGCTCATCAGACTTTGACTTTCAGAGCTCCTTTTTTATTTGTGCTTCAGTTTTGTCATCTATCCTTCTTATGCTGTCTGTTGGAAGGGGGTGAACAGTATGTTCCAGGTGTTTCTGACTGGAAACAATTCGAGGTACTTCACCATCTCCCCCACGGCGGTGCAGGGGCGTGCCGACATCCGTGTCCGGGTTGCCCTTCCTCTGGACTATGAACAGATTCAGAGCTTCAGCTTCTCAGTGAGTTTTCCTTCTTGGGTGCTTTTGCAAAATGTCTTACTATGTTTTTACAAAATATTTATGGCTGTGGGACTCCAGTTCAGACAAATACATTGCAGCAAAATAATGGAAATTCTTGTTAATATGCGAAGAATGATGATAGAGGAGCAATTTAAAAACTCATCAGATCTCAATGGGGAAAAATCTCATTTTGGATAACTATACTTATATTGTCTTGGGGATGTGTTAGGAATTAAAGGATGCAGCATCATTAAATTAGTTTATTTGGATCCCCATTAGCTAAACTACATCCAAAGACATCATGCAAACTGTACTTTTTTAGTAAACCTTTGATATTTGCTATTTTTTCTAGTCTTAGATAATATATAATACATATGTCAAGCCTTCAAACTAGACACATCAATAGACATCAGTGGTAGTTTAGCTATTAAAATGTGCTAATTAAGAAGATTTGTACATTTTTCAGGGGATTTGACATTTAAAGGCTAAAAGGTCATTTTTCTCAGCCCTCCACACACCTGTGGGAAACCCCGTCTCTAAGGGGGTAACTGTGAAGGGCAGGTGGGGCGTTTTGGTTCAGGCTTAACGTGTTTGAATGTCATCTAAAGATTCACTGTAACATCACTATGTCTTCCTGTTCTTTATGCGTTCTGTTTCCTCTTCCTCGCTATGTTTCATCAGCTTTATGCCAATGAGTCCATTTCGGATCACGTGGGATTCGCACGCGTCTTTATCGACCTGATCAATGAAAACGACAACCGGCCCATCTTCAGCAAACCTCTGTACAACATCAGCCTTCCAGAAAACACGCCACCTGGTACCTCACTGCTGCAAGTCCTGGTGAGTCTGGATGCTATAAATTACTCACTGGGTGGTTTTTAGTCATGACATTTACACTGCTTGTTTCATTAGGACTGAAAGTCTTCCAGTTGTCTTCCACTTCTGACTGAGTCCCCTTGAGACTTCGGCGTATGTGGAATTATTTATGGCGACTGAAGCAAGACTGCCTCAGATGAAAGTACTGGGCTGTGGTTAGCTTAATGGCATTCATTGCAGTCATTTAAGGAAAATCCATTGTAGTGTTTTCTCCAGTCAGCTTGTGCAGAGGGAGCTTTGTTTTGGCAGGATAAAGAATTTTGGTGATTACCCTGAAACTGCTGCTTATAGCTGCAAATTGAATCCTTGTGTTGTACATTTAAACTTGTTTGCAGTTTACAAAAATGAAGCCCATAACAGTACTTCAGGAATAACATTTCAAATTGGATTTCTATTTGCCTTAAAATTAGCTTTTTCACTGAGCTAACATTCCAGATGTAAATAAAACGACAAACTGCAGTGCTTATTCCCTGCAGGCCTTATTTATTTGGCTTTCCTTCTGCCAGGTGAAGTGATCTTTAAACCACAGTTTCCATCCGCAGCAGCTGCTGCAGCAGCAGCTGCAGCAGCCATGTTTTAACCGTATCGGAAAATATCTCCAAGAATCTCCCCATAACTCTACATTATTATTCATTACCAGTCACTTCTGTGACAATCCACAATTCACTAGATACAAGTGCCAAAAAACATGGTGTGAAAATCAATAGTGTTTATAGACTAGGCGCTCATGAAATGGAGATTGGATGGCCTAATACCCGATACGTCTTGCTGATGTTGGCCCCATGCCGGAGCGTGTGGCCCGCCTTTGAATCCTGATTGCTGGCACCCGAGCGCAAGCAGACTGTAAACAGAATGAGATGTGACACTTTGTGTGAGATCTGTGCTCTGGCATGAAGTGTCACCTCGGCACTGCTGCTGCGGGAGAAAACAAGGCGCGGAAAGGCGAGCTTTCTGCAAACATGGTTAATGCTTCTGGTTTGATTAAACTTGATTACTGGAATATAGATACAAATACAAGTTTTATAGCAGTTTTATCACATTGCAGATAAATATTGAACTTGTGTCAGAGTTGCGGGAGTCCAGCAATCATCAGCAATCAGTCTGAGTTTTTCAGCATTTCAAAAGTCTTTCATCAGTAAAACATGTCTTCAAGGACAATACAGCATGAACGCATAGACACGCATACACACGCATACACACGCATACACACGCATGCACACGCATGCACACGCATACACAGGCACAATTTCTAGCAAGAAAAAAGTCTAGGCATCAACTTATTTGTCTTTAAATTGGAACAATCAGATCTCAGTGCTTCCGAAGCCTCCTGGCTGCTCTTTGCATCTGTACTTCGTTTGAATCTTTCGTGGCTCCAAACCACAAGGTGGAACCTGAAGATGCGATGTGACTGGGACCACGGCCAACCTGTAATTAAACTCACAGATTCCTCCAATATTCTCAGTTCTACACAATCCATCCAGTTCCAACATGGTTAATGAGGAAATTATATTTTATTTCAATATCACAGTTTTTATATAAAATATTATGTATTAATGACATCAAAATTAATCTATAGGGATGAAAAAGACTTTTACTTTCTGAAAACTTGATCCACATATGTGATTAAAACAAAGTCTTGTAGTTTATGTTTCTGGTAAATAGAATTAAAGAATCTCAATTTCTGCTCTCATTATGGTGACTTCCAGTTCAGGGTGCGTGAAAAGGTCTTAAAGGTTCATCACAATATGTTGTTGTGCTGTTATGATAATGATAACACTATAAGAACTATTTATTACTTCTTTATTAGAAAGCAACATGATTGTTGATACTCCAAACACACAGACACTGCTCTTAAAAATATTTCCATTTGTAATCCACTTCTTTATGACACCAGTCACATCAAGAAGTGTCTCTCTAAGTTCCACACAGCAACTGCATTTAATCATATTTAATAATTTATTGATATTTGTTTATACTCTGATTGAATAAACAGTGGAGAAAATGGGCTGACAATACAGACAGTTCGGGAGGGAAGGGTTTAGACACCGTTCATTTTAATTTATTATTCCAATAATAAATCAAAATTCTTAATTGATAAATGATACAATAAATTCCTACCCTACTTCTACTCCCTCTAGTCAGTAATAATGCGTCCTTGATGTGTTTTTATTAAGATGAGTATTTCTGGCTGAGGTTATTAAATAATGTAAGGTTCAGCCTTCAATAAAAATCTTGGATTTTTTTTGTTTGTATCATTAATAAATGTAGCTTTAGCTTCTGTTTCGCTGTGGTGATGTTTGGGATGTTTGTGTTCATCTGAATCTTGCTTCAGTTTTCCAGGCTTTGTTAAAACAAAAGCAGATTTTTTTTATTTATTTTTTATTACAGATGCATTTACCCAAAAAAAAAAATCCCAGATTAACATGAAGGTGTGGCAGAATGAATGTGGTCTTGACTGGACACAATGTGTGTGTGCTGCATGTAAGTGGATTAAACACAGAACGGTGTGTGTGATCAGCCTGAAGGTCACATGGTGGCTGAATCCACAGCCATCCGTCTCTGGAGTAAAACCTCTTCATTAATTCCTGCACAAAATTAACATTTACTTTTTATTTGCAGTTTTAGGTTTTAGTTGTGTTTGTTTACCTTTGTTGGGAATAATTTGTTGACTTACATAAATGTAATCCATCAACAGCCTGGTGTTTATTCCAGTCCTTGGCTCTGATTAAACAGAGCTGCCTCGTACACGCTGTGTGTGAACAATGAGCTGTTTTATTAATTTCTCACCCAGAATAATGAATTTATCTTGTTTGGCTCCCGACCTTTGACCTGAACACCCAATCACATAACACCTACAATAAAAACCCCATTACTCACCAAAACTCTGAGCTTCCAGGAGTAGAAAGTTACAGTAATGAATGACGGACATAAATTATGATTAGTGTCTATAAAGGTCTATAAAGCAGGGAAGCATCCTCCTCTCAGTAATGTATGACCTTGCAGAAAAAGCATTCATCACTTTGTCTCAGCTCCACACAGTTTGTGCAACACACAGCACCGGATGGATAAAAGAAATAATTGAAGTATGAAGCGACGTCTTCACAACTTTGAGAAGGAATGCAGTGCTGAGTAAACTGTACGCTCGGCTTTATGAATATTACAAACACATTTTCTTTATGGGAGTCCCTCTTGGGTATAGAGAGGTAGATGAAATGTCATCCCAGCAGACAGATGGACACTATAATGAGGTGAACGACTGTAATACCTGAAAACCATCAGCAATCTATTAGTGAAACAGAGAGGCGAGAGCTGAGGCTACACTATTAATAAGAAATGAAAGGAGGCAAATCTTCTGAAACCAGAGGATTCAGGGAGGGACTGGACAGCCAAGGAAGAAAAACAGGAAAAAATGTAATCACAGTAAATATTCAGTGACAAATAAGGTTTGAATAACCCCAGTGGGCAAAAAGAAACAATTTTATTGTCATTTGTCACTTCAGCGTTTTTTACAGGTGTGACAGAAAAGCTTAAAAAAGTAATAAAAATGCAATTAATTTTGCCAAAAATGTTAACAAGTTTAAATCTATGTAACAGTTTCATCAAAATGAATGTGTTCAATTTTTAAGTTTAGATTTTTTAGGAAAGAGATCAATTTAATACAATTTGTGGAACACAGATGTACCATGAACATGTCAAAATGAAGTGTTGGGAATAGTTTTGGGAATTATTTATGGGATGTTGATGTTTATTTCTGCAATAAATTAATTCAGATTAATTCAAGTAGAGCTGGGAAGCAGATGAACATCTGAACTTTCCTTCTAAAGTCTGAAGTATTTGGAGTTTTTTCAAGTCAGATGGTTTTTTAAAGGTAATCAGGTTATGAGGTTTCTAGCAGAAATATTCTTTTGGATATTCAGAAAGTATAGTTTCTTGTCTTTTCCTCTTAAAGCGTCTCTGGTTTCCTCCAGTCAGGAGGTGTTTTCCAGGAGTTGACTGTGTGATTGGAATAATGAACTGAATTTATCTCTGGAGCCGCCGTGGCTGTGAAGACATCCTCGCCACTTTGTTGGAGTCATTGTTAGAAAGTGTTCAGCTCGTATCTCTCGCCGGTTTGCTGTGTCTCTTATCTGCTGGTCTGCAGATAATAGAAACAGGCAGTTCAATCTTGTCACCACACAGCGTTTGCTTTGAGCGCCCCCCACCTGTTGGTTAATGTTTTAGAGAAACAGAGGAGGCTAAAAGCGCGCTCCCTGCTATCCAACACACGAAAGTGTCAAAAAAACTAAAACTGCTGCTGCTGTTACCTTCAGGCAGCTGATCTGGACCCAACTGGCTGTTCAGATTTAACTCTGGTCTCATAGCATCGTGTGTCTGGCATGAACACGCATACAAATATATGCACCACTGATCAGTTTGGATAAATAGTATTAAATATAAAATTGTACATTTTCTCTGAACAAAGGCGAAAATTCACTTTAAAAAAATCAGTAATACATTTGGGGAATGCACATCTGGACATTTATGACTTCAACTTAAAGAATTTCCATGTTTTTTTCCTGTAAATATGTAAAATTAATTAATCAGTGCTTTCTAGATGTTACTGATCTTTTGGACTATGAATGCAGCTTTTTTGAAGCATTCATTCAAAAGTTTGTTTAAATGATAAAACATTTAGCTGCAGCAGGTGATGTTTTATTTGAGACAAACAGAAAAATTCCTGTTTTAGTCAAACTGTTTTCTTTACCACATGTCCGTGAACTTGAGACTGGAACCGAAAACATTTGAAATGCATATAAGAGCCGCTAAGAAGTTAGGGAGAGAGATGAGCTGACGAGCCGTTACTATGGCCTCCATCACTCGGACTGTCAGGAGCTGCACGTCTTCACTGTGGTTCTGTTTGTTATCCCTGCGGCCGAGTTTAGATGTGCAAAACAGAGACAGAATCTGTTTGCCGTTCTGCGCTTGGACTTCAGGTCATCTGCATTTTGACAGCCAGTAATTGGTTTCCTTTTGTGCACTTTTTAAAACTCTTGCAGGAAAAAAAAAACAATTTTAGCATCCAATCAATTCAAATTCAGACTCAAACAGGATAGAAAAGCAGAGCAGCTTTAACCTGCCGCCCAGTCTGAGATGAAGGATAATCTGCAGCTGAACCTTAACCTGAGTTTAGACTCTAAGCTGCTGCCTGGAAAACTCAGCCAGTCCTCTGATTTCATCTACAGCTCAGAGTGGAGTTTATTTCTGAACAGTAAACGGTTGGACTAACCTGAGAATATCACACATCTCTGTTCATGTGGATCCGTTTCAGATGTCAGCAAACACACACACACACACAAACGCATGCAGGCACCCGGTGTTTGCCTGCTGGCTTCACCTCTCTGATGGAAAGAAACACATCATTTAACCAAACTGGTCAGCTGAGAACTAATTTCTCTTTTGTAGTTACTGCCTGAGGGCCCCGGGGTTTGCAGAGTCTATATTGGCAATCAACAATAGTGAGACCTTCCATGCAGAACCTTCTTATAAGCTTAGTTTGGTTTTCAACGCTGATTTTTTGCTACCTGGTTTCCTTCTTACCTGAAGAATCTCTCCACTCCAGCTCAGGTGCTTTACTGTTGAGCATCAAAGGAAGAAAGAAGAAAGTGTAGTTATTTGAATATTTGATTAAAATGTCATCCCTGCCTCGGCTGTTCACGACAAAGCGCTATTTACAGACCTGCGTGTGCTGGTAACATTCAGGGATTGTTTCCTAATTAGTGGACTTTTCAGTTGGAGGAAGAAATCTGTTCACTTCTTGTCCTCAGTAAGTTGAACTCTGAATTGGTGCGACGTCTGACTGGCTATGAAGAGAATATCCTTCAGGTTGTGCCGCTGGTTAAAGTGAAACTGTGACGTTTGTGGTTTCTGCAGGTAGATCTTGGTCAGTATTGAGATGACTGAATTTGTTCCAGCAATAGAAGTGGTGGGAAGTGTTTGTCAGGTTTCTGTCGAATTGTGCAGTCGGTGAATGAAAACATGCTGTGTTTTTGTCTAATTTCCACAATAATCTTCAGTTTATGAATGCAAAGCACTTCTTATCTGTACTGACTATATTGTCAGTATTTATCAGAGCAAAGGAGGAACATTATCTCAGCTCCCTCTCTATCTGAGCTACTGTTATCTTTTAGATTCCCATTGTGGCGATCACAAGCACCATTAGGAACCGACTCCAGCTTTAATATCCACAGCTTTCCTTTTCTCATTAAATCTTACCCTTCCTCTGCACCCCACCTCTTTAACTTTACCATTACCTCAAACTTCCACACTATAAAATTTTTAAGCTGCCATGGTGACTAGGGGCAAACGCATAATACCCTTGTGTCGTGGACTCAGGGCCATGGCGTGAAGTGACAGCAAATCCCTGCACATAGCAATCTCAGCCATCCATCTGAATGAAGGCCCTCTGTGTCTGAAGTTGAAAGTCTTTGGCAAGCAGTTGGCAAAGTGACTGGGCCACGCCGTCATGGTGATTGTTTGTTGGGGGAAAGTGAGCGGGTCGGTGAGTGATTGAAGAGGGAGGAGGTGGGAGATGGCTATCATCGTTCTCTCCATTCCAGCTCTCCGTCCGCGTCTGTGTGCTGCTGCATTGAGAGGGGCTGGACTGTAGAGGCAGCAGCGGCTCCAACACTCAACCCAGCCGCTGTCACCGCTTTGATAGCTGTCACATTAACACCCCTCCTGCTATCACTGGAGCACTTATGGACCTGTCAGTCACCTGGGAGCAGAGGGGGAGGAGGGAGGCATTTAGGGGCAAGGGTGTGCTAAAGGAGATATGTAGAGTAGAGAGGAGCCAGTGGAGCTGCAGGCACGCTCTGATGCAGAGGAAAAGGCAAAGTTTACACAAAGAAAATGGAGGAATAATCGAAAACATTGGATGTAAAAATGTGGAGAACTGCGTTGAATTCAGTCTAGTCTGCAAAAGACTTGATGTTAAAACCTTTCGTGCATATTGTACATCGCAAACATATTCATGCAACATGAAGTTTCGTACATTTAAGTCCCAATAAAAACCAACTTCAACTTATTCATTTGTATTGAAACAATCTAATGTGTCTGCTGAAAAGTTGGTTTAAAAAACACAAGATTAGAAAAGCAAATGAAAACAACATAATAAAAAAAAACATTGCTTACATAGAAAAGTCACAAAGGCAACTAGTGGTAAACTGTCAGTTGGAACAAAAATGTTTAATCTATCACAACTTTGATGGTTATTTTTTCTCATTTTTATCATCAAGAACCTGAAAGGTTTTCATGTTCTTTGATAATTAGCTCAGTGAGAGCGATAGAACCTGTGAATGTTAACTTTCAAGTCTTGCAAAACTTTACATTGGACTGAGGTCTGGACTTTGAGTGTGAGGGGGCGTGGCCAATATCAGCTTATTTACATAAAGTGACAGAACCCTAAAACAGAACTCAAAATGAGCAGAATCTGATTATCTGGGAATAATCTTTTGCATAAAATAGAATGAAAATATTTGTACAGAACATGGACATTTTGTTTAAAGCAAAAACTTAAAAGGTCTGTTTAAAATTGTAATTCTCTCTTTAATGTGCACGATCCTATTTGCTGTAAAATTAAAATAAAAGCAAAAAAAAGTTGTTAGTGAAAGATTAATATTTTACTTAACCATTCACTGACGAAAAAAATAAAAAATGCAAACGCACAGATGTTCCTTCAAACACATAACTGTGATCATCTCTGCTGCTGCAGCTGCCAGACTCCGGTCGCTCTCAGTCCGCCTCTGAATCACCGTGACCAGCACTGTGCCCTGCAGAGGGACAGCAGACACGTTCAGGTTTGGCCCCTCAACCGACTGCAGAGCCACTGAAGTGAAACTCTATTACCACAGGGTCTCCTGCTGCGATCCATCAGCAGCAGCAGCAGCGTCACTCCGGCCCGCGTGCATACAGCCTCCACATGGGAATGTTTGTGTTCGCAAAGACAAATTGTGTTAATGTGGCAGATTCCTGAGTGCTGCTCTTTACGTGGTATTTTTCTGTCACCTCTTTCATCTGCAAAACGTATGACAGAAGTTGTTGGTGTTTGCATGGCAGCGGCGGGTTTTGTGGGCAAGAATGTATCACTTTTCCCATCAGACTTAATCCAATCAACACCTCCAGAAAGTGAAGCGAGGCTTTTATGTTTTATCATGCAGTCGCAGACAGCTGTTGGAGTGAGAAATTCAAGAAAAGAGGCAAAACACAGTCGTGACAGATCGCGTTATGAAGAGCCACCAGACTCAAATGTATGCAGAGGAATAGCAGAATCAAAAAGACAGGAGCATATTCCTTATTCAGCTTTAATTGAGGTATCAACATTACATATGTCTGTACTTACCACTGAACATGTTTGTTCTTTTAAAAGTCTTGAAGTTGCTGTGTTTTAAAAACATCTGAGGGATTTTTACAACATGGATCAGAGGAAGCATGAATGGATCTACATGGAGTGAAGTTCTCAAAGCAGAAATGCATGACACTCATTCAGCTACTTTCATTGAAATATGATGAGCAACATGCTTAAAGAGAAATATTGTGCTGCATATTTCTTCTAGTAACACATGAGTATTTTATAAGCTAAATAAACAATAATCTCTATTGTTGCTGAAAATCAAGATCAGCATCTTGTGGGATGTGACATTCTGACATTTTCAGCAGGAGACAGCAGATCGTCACACAAACACTTTCTGATTATAAAGTCAGGATGTTACGGAGAATTAGGTTCTGTTCCAAAACTTTCCAGGCTCTTTCCAGGGAAAAAGGAAATAAACTATTGACAACTGTTGTATTTCCAGACAACAGTTTCTCTCAACAATCAACAGAAATGTCTTTCTGCATTTCTGTCCATTTGATACGTCCATTTATCCAACCGTCCATCCATCAATCCTTTCTTCCCTCCTTCTTGTATGTCTGTAGTTTTTCTTGTTTCCTTATTTTCACTTCAAACACTTATTTATACAAGTAGAAAATCCTGGAAGTTTAGGTCTATTTTCTTTTATTTTGAATAAAAATGTAAGGAAAAACGTGAAGGATGTGTGATTATCTCTGACGCTCCTCCTACCTAAACAAAGATTTCTGTACCCGTTGATGGAAACATCTTGGAGGGAACTTCTTGTCCTTGGTAGACCAGACCCACTTTTCACAGAACTGAAACCTGGAGTAATTTAAACTCTGAACACATGTCCTGTTGTTTTTTTGTTTTTCTCACCTCAGATTAGCTCCTGACCAAAGAACTCTACTGTAGCTTGGTGCAGAGTTGATGTATTGCTTCCTTCTTGCAGCTCCAGTTTTCATTTCTAGACGCAGCAGTTCACGCTGCCGGCTGAAAATGGATTTTCCAACTTGTTATTGTGTCTGTCTCGCTGTTCCAATCATGCTGACGTGAAATTTTAACTGTTTTTTGTTTTAGTCGTTAAAAGTGGCCTGTCGTCAATGCACTGAGATTTTCTCAGATGATCAGTGTTGAGATGTGATCAGTTACTTTTGCTCATAAACCTCAGGTAGAGACAACTTTTATAGCAAGAATTCAAAATTCTTCAGAGATGTCTTACTTTTCAATTCTGTATGTAAATTGAGCTTTTCTATGCATCATTTCTGGTGTTTCTGACTTAAAACAATTAATATCCAGATTTTGTTTCATTTGCTGAAGGAATAAAATATTCTTTAAAAACAGCAGGTCTGATCTAACCGTGACTTTTCTCATCTTTTTCTTCCAGGCCACAGATGGAGACGCCGGGCCTTTTGGGATTGTCCGTTACTATTTCACCGATGACCCAGACCAGTGAGATTAAACACATCCTAACACACACGTCAAATACTTCACAAACACATACGAATCTAAAATCTGCTCATTAATTATGGGCCTGGTTCACAAATAAACGACGCTGTTTTAGGGAAAGCTCTCTTAGAAACAGCGTCGCTTCAGAATTGACTGGTGATTATTGTCACATCGATGCTCTTTAAGTCCAGAGGAACATTTAATTCTCTCAGAGGACCTATAAATTCTCACAATGTTTTATTTTTCTTTAATAAATAAAAATACATTTTTGACATGTGGGACAAATTTAGTGATAGTTTTGTATCTTTCATATGTTATATACAAGTACATCTAAAAAACTTGAAAATTGTGAAAAAGTTTACTACTTTTGTCCCTAACTTTAGAAATTCATTACACACATAATGCTATTTGTAAGCCTTTATTCCTCATCATCTTGATGAAAATGAAACTGAAGCCTTGCAATGTTTTACTCCATGTGTGATGAATATTTATAAAATATGAGTTTTACCTTCTGAAATGAGTGAGAAAAACACTGACCTTCATTTATCTTTTGTATCTGTAGTTTTGGTCAGAAGTTTACATACAATCCTGAATGTGAGTCTCATTAATTTGGGGCTTTTAATAATTTATTTGAACTTTTATTTTGTACCTTGTGAAATGGTTACAGAGCAACTATTACAAGAAAATGCAAAATGTTGAATTACAAGAAAATGCAAAAAAAGTTTGCACAACTTTAAAGAAATTGTGCATTTTCCCTTGTCTTTAGAGATACAAAATAAAGCAAACAGGTTTAAAAAAAACCCCTGACTCATACCTTTAACTTTAATGGCCTTTAAGTTTAGGACTTTAAAATATAGTCTACACACTTTCTACGAGGTTGACATCATCAGAGCCTGAGGAAAGGTTCCAGAAGTTTGAGTTAATCAAATTGGAACAGACTATAAAACTGAGCAAAGAGAGTTTTTATAGCTCAGATGAAACAAAGACTCAGTGATTTTATGATTGTATGTTCTGTGTAAATGAAGTATGGTATGGTATTTGGCTGAGGAAGGCCAGGTGAATCATGTTTGGAAACATACAAATATAGTTTCATTTGTCAGAATTGGTAGTGGCAGCATCATGCTGGGCTGGTTTGCTTCCAGTTTTATTGGAGCATTTCCCTCAGTAGATGGAATAAATAAAGAAGGAGGTTGAAACTTGGAGAGAGATGGAGAACAATTATCCAAAACATAATTAGGTTGAGAAATACAGAAAGCAGGAAAATCTCAATCTTATAAAATGGTTTCCCAGAACCTTTAACCTGAGTCCTGCTGAAAATGTACACAAAACAAAACAAAACAAAATAAATAGCTCTACAATAAATGTAAATATTTGTGCAGAATTATGTCTGGAAACTAATGGCTAAAATTTCCCTTCCAAAAATCATTCATTATTGTGATTAGTGCCTCAAGTAAAATGTACACTAATTGTTGTACATATTTCAGTTGTCTACAATGTAATCATGCTTTTCTGAAAAATAGGTTCAAATGATTTGTTAAATATGACATTTTTGGTGGATGCAGGTTTTCGGTGGATGAAGAAACAGGCTGGGTCATTCTGCAGGCCAGCCTGGACTATGAGTTAATGCGGCGCTTCACCCTGACCGTTCTGGCGAGGGACGGCGGCGGGGAGGAAACCACCGGACGGATCCGTGTCAACGTGGTGGACATCAACGACAACACGCCGCTCTTCCAGAAGGAGGCGTACGCGGGCTCACTGCGAGAGAACGAGCAGGCGGTGCAGTCGGTGGCGCGGATCAGGGTGAGGCGTCATTAACAGGCATGCAAACTAATCGCATTCTGGTTTATAGAATAATATACGAGTTGGTCTTAAATGATATTTTGTCCAAAAGAACATCCAATTACTATTCTCTTTATAGCAGCTCTAAAGTGCTTCATAAACACACACCTGTGATCATTGCTGGTTTCAGATATTAACCCTTTAAGCCAAAACCAACATTTATGAAGGTATAAAAATGCTGTTTAGATGTTTTATCTCACCTATTCCAACCTGAAATGCTGCTCAGTCAATTAGAGCTCAAAATGTCTCCTACTTTTTTAGTTTTAGGCTTTGGAGAAAATTCACAAACCGTTGTTTCTGCACTGCATTCATGCAGCAAATTTCACATCGAAGCGTCCAGCAGAAGGAAACATTTTGCACTTATTTAGGCATCAGGCCACAGTTGTCCTCTCATCAGCAATAGACACACAGTGATTAAAGAGAGAAATTGCTTTTTTAATTATTGTTTTAAGCAACAGGAACTTCCAGTTATTCATTATGAAACTTTGGGGAGGAGGATCAATGCCAGATCAGTAACTTTAAAAATGCCGCAATGATGCATTGTGCTATCTATTAATTCAAAGATGAAAAAAAACTTTAACTGGCATCAAAATATGGTAAAAATATTACATTTCACTCAATAAACATCCTGAACTTGTAATTGTGGGTGAAAATGAAACTGTTGTTTGCATTTACTATTTACTATTTACACTTACATTATGAGAAGAGAAGATGAATTCTACCTTCTTTATAGTCTGTGATGTTTTTATATTTTTATGAAGATGTTCTTCTTTTGTTCTTTCTTCTTCTTCCTCTCCAAACTTACAGCCTGTTTTCTGCAGATGGTATTTTTTGCCCTGAGATTTTCTTACGGTTAATAGTTGTGATCTTTCAAAATGTAAAATTATGTGTTTCATTCACATAACAAGAGCTAAAATTGGTCAACTTTGTCTTAATTGTATGCAGAATGCCCCATTAAAAGAGAATTGTCCACATGCATGTGTTTGTGCAGTATCACCAGAAAGTAACTTGTAGTGTTATATTTCCTGTTTTATTTTTATTGTAAATCCATTTTTGTGACATGTTAAGTGTTTGAATTCGCTTATTCTATAACCTGGAACAATTTATGAAATGGTAACATTTATATTTCAGCTGAGCAATGTCCTTTTTAAATAAAGTTTATTAATATTATTATCAGCACAGAAAGATGCTCTGAGCTAAGAGATGACACTTTAGTAGAAAATCTCCTTTTCCATCTTCTACCCGTCAGTCGGTAGAACTTAAAATAAAATAACTACAATGATGCTTCATATTCACATGCCAAAATGTTTGAACTGATCCAAAAAATAGATTTTTCTTTTTCAGTTCTTGCTGTCACTACCGTCTGTTTTCCTGGTTTCACTGTAAAACCTGCACTGCTGTGTTAATGTTCTTTGTGTTTCGAAAAGGAAACCAGTTAGCTTCAGTGTGTTGGCCATCAGTCAATGCCACACAAAAGGCAGAGCTACACAGGCACAATTGTAACTAATGGCTCAGCGTTTGCTTTGATTGCACCCAGCAGAGAAAAACATCCCTTGAGGCTTGCTCTGCTGCATGGCGCACCGTGTGAACTGGTCTCAACGCTCGGCTCGCTGTGTTTGATTATTCTGAACGCTGCTGATATTAATACGTCGCCCAAGAGGAAAACAGAAGTCAGACACACAATTGTGTGTGTCAGCGGTTTGCCAGCGAACTTAGATGCTTTACACACAATGTTCGCACACCGCTGTGGGAAGACAAAGCAAAGAGAGGATTTCCTGCTCTGTGTTTCGTGCCTCAGAGGTTTTTGCCTCCTACTGCAGAGGTTCTGCTTTCATTCATTTTCACTATACTTATTCCTTTTCCCCTCATCTTTTTGATTTGCTGCCCCCGACTCATTTTAACTTTGAGTGGGAAATAACTGTCTAGTGTTTGTTGAAAATTGATTTAGAAGGACAGCCTGGAAAGGAAAGCCACTGCTAAGAAGTTGTGGGGGCAGAAAGGTTTTGCTTACACAACATTTTGGCTTTAAATGAAAGTATATAGATATGTCTGTCGTGCAGAGATACAAATGAGTGTTTCTGACAACCTGTCCAGCTTCTAATGATGCCAGTGAGGCCCAGTAGACTCTCCTCACAGCCGGAGGACTCATTTTAAAGTTCCTGCCAAATCAACAATAATGAGCCAGTGTCATCATCGCGGTGAAAGCTGCTGCGGATTAGTCCTTCGACAAACGGTTTCATCTTTCCTCTGCCTGCTTGGCTTGTCGTGGCTCAGTTGGTGTCCATCCAACACTGACGTTTGCACCACTAATAGCCAGAATCAGCTTTAATCCATCCAATAACATGCCGCCGTTGACTGACAGCTTCCTGGCTGCAGACTAAATACTTCATATCGTTCAAACATTTAAACTGAAAGATGAGCATTGTGTACTGCAACATCTGCTGTGCTACAGCTTGTTTTTTATGTCTTACTTTTAAAACTTCAGCTACAACATTATGTTATAAGTACCACTCCCCCCTAACATCTGCCCACCTACAGGCGACTGATGAGGATTCTCCTCCCAACAACTTCCTGACGTACACCATCATTTCAGCTTCAGTTTTCCCTCAATACTTCAGCATCGTCATGGTGGAAGGCTATGCAGGTACTTTCACTCTTATCTCCTCAAACTTTGCTTTGGCTCAACCTCAATGTACATTGTTTTAGTCAAAGAATTTCTACTGTTTTGATTTTCTCTTAAAATTCCACTATAAAAGAGAAACAATTGTCTCTAAAGTAGTTCAAACTAAGTTTCTCACATCTTAATTTAATTAACAACTGAAATAAAAATGAACCTTTTCCATTCCTGCTCTTCCTGCCCAGTTATAAGCGTGACCAGGCCTCTCGACTATGAGATGGTTCCCAAGGGGTTGATCTATTTGACAGTGATGGCCAAAGATGGAGGAAATCCGCCGCTCAACAGCACCGTCTCGGTCACAGTGGAGGTTATAGTAAGTACAAACTTGTCAGTGAATTAAATGAAGCTGCATTCCATCAATGTAAAATATTATTGGGATACATGCACAGCCAATCCCTGGTATTTGGGCTACACAAATATTTTAGATATGGTTTACGGAATTGGTAAATTTTCCGCAAATGTTTTTGAGTTACGATCCACATAAAACATTTCCATATGGATGGGCAGACAGTAAGACATTTCAGGTGGCACAACAAAGAAAAAGAAAAAGAACTGTCACTCTGAGTCCTCCTGCAGGTGAAACATTAGACTCTGCAGGTTTCACTCCAAATATCTGAGCTTAAATCTATAATTCTGACTTTGCGTGGGTTTTGTGGGAAAGACCCGTTCCAGTCCATCCTTTAAGTTCTGGTAAGTGTATGTAAGCTTTCAGTGACACATCTTCTTACCTGCTTAATTCCTTCCTCTCTGATCGTTCCTCAGGTATAGCATTAAACACCCTTTTGTTTTCCTTTGTTTTTTCTATTGACTTTTAAATTAAAAACTCAAATATTGACCTTTGCTTAGAAACTATAAATGCAGCCATCAAACCACAATGAGCAGATGAGGTTCATAGTCACCAGGCCCCCAGTCTCATTTCCCATGGAGGACATCCATTATACATCTCACTTTTTATTCATGAAAGGAGAAACGGCAGAGAAGAATGGATGAATATCCTTTGATATGCACAAACCATTAGGAATTCCTATACGCATCCCGCATGAGGGAGAAAAGCTGCTAAGACCAGTCGGGATAGATGTTCACAATCCAGCGTTCCCCCTACGTCTCTCTGTCTGTCTCTCTGCCTGTGTCTCTGTCTGTCTCTCTGCCTGTGTCTCTGTCTGTGTCTCTGTCTATCTCTCTGCCTGTGTCTCTCTGCCTGTGTCTCTGCTGTCTCTCTGCCTGTGTCTCTCTCTGTCTCTCTGCCTGTGTCTCTCTGCTTGTCTCTCTGCCTGTGTCTCTCTGTCTCTCTGCCTGTGTCTCTCTGCTTGTCTCTCTGCCTGTGTCTCTCCGCCTGTGTCTCTCTGCCTGTCTCTCTGCCTGTGTCTCTCCGCCTGTGTCTCTCTGCTTGTCTCTCTGCCTGTGTCTCTGCCTGTGTCTCTCTCTGTCGTGACTCTCACCACAGGGGTTTATCAGCAGCTGGCAGCATCACACTCTCACAATGCGTTGCACCAGTGTAACTGGGAGCCCAAATGGATAATTGTCCCAGTGACTGTTGTTTAAGTGTTAACATTTCTCAGCAGCTCACGCAGTGGGGATCTTCGCTGTGAATAGCCAGACAACTGGAAATGTTGGTGTGAAACGGAGTCTTATTCATGAGTGGGAGGCTGTGAGACATTTAAATGCTCTTACTGAAGCTGTTTTAAGGCAGCTGTTGATCCATGTTAAAGGAATTTATTGGTCATTTCATCACTTTACATTTAATTTTATCACAAACTAAGTTATTACTTTTCCAATTCAACACAGGAAGGAACCTCATACTGTACATCTCTCTCACTAGACACACTGGGATCCACTAGAATGAACTGACCAACACACACACTCGCATCTAAGGAGAATTTAGAGAGACTGTTTAACCTGACAGTCATGTTTTGGGACAGTGGGAGGAAACCGGAGTATCCGGATAGAACCCACACATGGACAGGGAGAACATGCACAGGAATCTAACCAGGACCTTCTTGCTGCAAATGACTTCTGCCTCAAAAAGTCTCCGAAAGTGAACTGATTCTAAGAACTCTTATGAACCACCTTGTGCTTGATGATGGTGTTTTTTATGGACACCCCATGCCTTCGGCAGAAGTTCAGTAATAAGAGATGTCCTGATTAGGGAGACCATTCCTCCCAGTCACACCAGTGAACTATACAGAAACATCAAGCAAAGTATGTCTCTGTCTTCCAAAACCCAGATTACGCTGCAGGGAATTAGCATGGTTAGAGCCTTGCTACAACCTGGCTTACATGCCACCTGAAGTTTCTCTCCTCAGTCTTTGCCATCATTAGAGGGTTTTCTATTACTTTTTCAGTCTGAACCCAGTCAAGCGTGATAAGTCAAGGCTTAACCAAGGGGCCTGGTTCCATCAGTGTGTCCTGGGTTGCCTAAAGATAACATCAGACTCATTAACTTAAATGCCATCTTCTGGTCCAAAGGTTTTTGTTTATGGCCTGATTTTCAATTAAGACACTGATTGTAAAACCTTTTCCTACTTTTCTTGACTTAATTCCCACAGGTGTTAAGCTAAATCCCAAGTCAGAGTGGAAACTGCAACTTTTTATTTTTTTATTTTTAATCAAATCAAAATCAAATCATTAATGTTCTTTTAGTGTTTCCCCCACTATTTGGTGCATCAAAATTAACTGCTGTTTTTGCTTATTCCCACCTGCAGGATGAAAATGATAATCCACCTGAGTTCAGCAAACCATCTTACATCATCAAAATCCCAGAGAACCTTAATGCTGGTGAGTTTGGTGTGTTTTCTTCATGCATTTTAGCTTAAAACCATTTCAATCGCTCAAATGTTGAAACGTTTCAAGACTTGACAGCAATGAATTCTCCTACTTTTTTAGTTGTGAAAGTATCTCACTGTTTTCCTGCAAAAAATAGATCTGGATAGAAGAAGGAATAAAATGATTCCTTGTTAGCCGTGTGCTAATTGAAGGCTAACTACCTCTTGACACTTTTAGCACAAAAATGCCATTCAAAATGTAAAGGGTTCAAGGCAATTTTGTTTTCACAGTGGTTTGCTAACGTATAGAAACCCTTTAATTAATTTATTTATTTTGCAGTCTTTTAATTATACCCACAAACTTTTTAAAATAAGTTTTAACAGTATTTCACCATAACTGGTCTCATTAGTTGAAGCACTATGAGCCGAAATGAGGAAGACCATCGATGTTAGCTTGTGTGGTAGCACTAAAATGGTTTCCTCCAAGCGTATCAATGCAAATTACATGATAATTGATTATTATAACATCAGTTGCAATTGACTGTTATGAGTAAATTTAAACTTTTCATGGGTGGTTGCGATACCTGTCCTACCCTAATGCCTGGTGTCTAATGTGTCTGATACAATAACATAAAGCTTTCTGTTCTAATAAATTTGTATTGATGACATAAAAGACATGTAAGTTTTAAGTTAAGCAGTCTTATCAGATGTTGATGAACCCCAAATGAATTGATTTCCGTTTGCGGTACCAGGACTCTTGTCTTGCATTAACTTATTCTGCAGAGCTCATAATTTAGACTTCACATGTTCACCTCAGATGTAAAACAATATTTAGATGCTTAACTCTACCTGTCAGGCAGACATGTGTGGATCAGTGTTATCCAGAAGTTGGTGAACTGGGAAAATACAATTAAATGTGCTCTTTGTTCGAAGAATGCCTGTTTTTAAACTGCTGTTAACTTGAAATCAGCTCAGTTTCTTTCAGGCTTAACACTGCATTTATGCAGCAAATGCAAATGTCTCCAATTAGATTTACAGGTTGCACAACAAACACATCTCTCAAACACTCTGTTAAATGTATTTGCATATTCAACCAAGAGCTTTGTGTTGTTTTGGATATTTTTTCTGCAGCTTCAGATGTCTCATGTTTTAATATGTCTGTTTTCTCTAACCTGTGCCGTCTGTGTTTTGTTTCAATACTGTTTGGAAATACTCTCTCAGAATGTGGGATATTGGCTCCTCAAGGGAAATCGCTAGCTGCTGCGCTCATTCTCATGCATGTGAAGCCTCTTTTCTTCCCAGACAATAGATTAGTTTCCAGTCGCAAGAGGAAAATGGGATATTTGACCGCCCCTTTCTCTCTCTTTTAGCTGCAGCAGACGCTGACCATGCTTTATGTTTCGCACACTATTTAGTGGAGCACTTCTTAGAGCTGTTTGAAGGAACGCTGAGGTTTAGAGCAGATTTTGGCCCTGAGGTGGAGCCCTAAGGTTGGCTCTTCTAGACTGAGCTCAGGGCTTGCCCTGCGGCTCTGGCAAGCATCTCATCCCCTTACCGGCCTAGCTATTGATCAGCTCTGTGCCAAATAGCAGTCTAATAATCCACTAATCCATAAACCCACTCACTGCCATGCCATCAGTGTCACTGTGGTGAAGAAATTAGCTCTACCAGTTATGATGCAAACTGTCTCTGCAGCTTGTCTTTCTCTGATTGTTTCCTTTTTAACTGGACACAACAACATCTCTTCTCATACAATGAGTTGTAACTTTCTTTGTGTCTCTCGCTTCCACATTATTCATTTACAAAGGGGCAACAGTGCTGGTTGTAAATGCAACTGATTTGGACGCCTCACGGGAGTTTGGCCAGGCCTCTCTCATCTATTCCCTGGAAGGTTCCTCTCAGTTTCGTCTCAACTCGCGCTCAGGTATGTTAATGCAGGTTGCTTCTGTCACCTCATGCTAACTAATACATGGACTTTCTACCTTCCTAAGTCTGTTTAGATCTTTGTTGTGAATGCCCTGATCACTCATCTGTGAATGTTTCCACTTTTTATTACTCCTTGGTTCATCCTGAAATGTTCAGTTGCTGTAATGTTGGCGGTATGAGTGTTTTCTGCTGCTTGTTTTCTGTTTCAGGAGAGATCACAACCACAGCCCTGCTGGACCGAGAGCAGAAGTCAGAGTACATCCTGATAGTGAGAGCTGTGGATGGAGGAGTCGGGCCTCAGCAGAAGACAGGCATTGCCACTGTAACAACATTACAGTCATCTTCTAAAAGAACAAACTGTCTTAGCAAAGTCTTGTTTTTGTTCAGTATCTCATTGGGTTACTTAGTTTTGCATTTTGGTCAAAAGGCAGCCTTCATAAAACTGTGCCAAATTTTCAAACATCTGAGTCAAAACATTAACTAGCATAAATGATGTCCTGTGTTTTTATCACAAATGTATTTGAGTTGGACATCATGATCTTTCATTACATCAGTATTATATGAAGAAGATTATGAAATCTCCTTTCCACGCTGATTTAGGTGAACATCACCGTCCTTGACATCAATGACAACGCCCCGACGTGGCGAGACGAGCCGTATGAAGCCAACGTTGTGGAGATGAGTCCAATCAACACTGATGTTATCTCTGTGAGTCCATCCTACCCAACCTTACTGTAACACCCAGGAATTCATAGCAATAGTGGTAAAAAACAGATTTCATTGAAGACAATGATTCATAAGCCTAACCTTCATAATGTCCTGCACGTCCCTGAGATCAGGTTACAGAAGCATCAGGGAAAGAAAATCACAAACATTCCTGTGCCAAGCAACACTCCAACTCCTTCTGGAGGATCCCAAGAAAGAATTTAAAGTTCTTTTAGTGAGTTCTGGGTTTTTCTCTTGATCCCCTCCCCGTGCCAGGGGTCTAGAAAAGCTTCCCCCAGCTGAAGCTTCTCAGGGTGTAAGACAGAGTCCACACACCCTGAGGAGAAAAGTAATTTTAGTCTCTATAAGAGCAATATCTTGTAACTGTAACAGCAGCTGACAGAAAGTAGAAAAGTAAGAGCAAAACTCTTACACAGCATCCAGAACCAGAAACAGAGGAAAACATGCAACAGCTCAATCAAAACGAACCAGTCAGAACCGACATTTCAGAGTTACTCCAACAGGTTGCCACCATCAGTGGCGCAATTCTAGAAATACAAGAATCAGATGGGCCTGGAAAGACAACACTATTTTCCTGTAAACTTCCTAGATGGCAAACGACTACAACAAGCATCTTACTGGAGTTATTTCAGCTGAAGCACATGTCACTAACTATGTACATTTTTATTGTTTAAGGTCAATAAAATCAATTTCTTTTCCAAAAATGGAGGAAGACTTCAATATAAAAACATTTGTTTTAAAAGAGATGAATATCTGGGCTTCCTGATTCTATGACATAACTGCCCCAGAACATCCAGACTCCTCTATATAACATCTTAAGGTTTTCAAGTATGGATGGCACATACAACAATAGCATGCTTATTAGAAAAGAAACATATATTCCTCTTATTCAGCTGAAGTTTTACTGTAACTGAGGAAGGAGGGCGGAGTCGGCTTCCCGTACTGATAGACTAATATCCGGGGCAGTTCAGGTCGAGTGAACTCCACTATTACCCCAAACTCTCTCCCTGTCCTGTTGGTGTCTTTGGCAGTGTGTTGTTTGTAATTAAGTCCTGATTGTCTATTAATTAAGGAGGCGTCACTGAGTGTAATTAAAGGAGTCTGATTGCTAATTAAAGTGTAGCCTGTAGTTATGTGCATAACAAATTATTCAGCTTCCAGGCGGAAGAGGAGGCGAGGAGCCGTCTTGCGGAGCAGAGTGTGAAACGAAGAAGAGTTGGGGAACATCAAATGAAGGCGACAGACTCCTCTCCGCCAAAATGTTGCTACTTTTTCCACTTTATTGGATCTGTTCCTCAGTTGACTTCGTTCACGGTGCATCCAGCGATGCAATGCATACTCTATGTGAATGTCTGCACTCAGTGGAGAGACGCTATTGCCCCTCTGTACGCTTTTCAATGAATTTGACCATCCAGGCTCACAGTTCAGTAATTGGCCGCAGTGTAGCCCGGGTCCATCCAGTGTTTCTATGGCGACTGGAAGCCACCTGCTGATTCCTTGTGGAGGTGTCCAGTGAGCCGATGAATTTGGCTGCTGTGCCCAGTCCAAGGATCAACCCACTCAAATCTCTCCTCTCCCCACTATCAGCCTTTAGCCTCTTACATTCAGCTCCAACATCGACTACTAAACCCATTCTCCTTCCCTCTCCCGCCACAACCAGCTCTGCTCAGTCGCTCACATGTAAATTTGCTCACCATCTCTGAATGTTTTCACTCAGACCGGTATTGATTACTTGAACGCATCCCATCCAGGCATTTATCCACGTTTTTTTTTCACCTTCCTCATCCATGTATTTGCTAATCAACGAGTCTCAGAGATGCCATCCTAACATGTCGTCTTAATAATTAAACGTTCACAAAAGCCTTTGTTCCTCTAATGACCAATTAACCATTTTCCAGCAATTTTAGTCAGCACTCTGAATAATTGATCGGCTCTTTAAAAATCAGCCAGTGTTTTAGCTCGGCTTCAGGCTCCTCACTCGGATCATCCATCACAATCGCATGTCAGAGAAAAAAATGCAGCCACTTTTCTTTTAGCTGGCTGAGTTACAGCATCTGGAAGTTACAGTGCCTTGGAAATGAACTTTCATATCACAGCCACAGACATCCATGCATTCTGTGGGACTGTGTGTTGTACCTCAACTTCATAATGTACCACTGTGAAGAAGAGACATCTGAAGTGTTTGGAAGCACACTCCAGTTCATCCAGAAAGTTCGGTTAGTTTGGGGAGGTGTGAATCTGCAGTTGAACTCTGAAGCAGACCAAAGATTGCGAACTGTGGTTCTCCTAACGGCTAAGAGGACCAGAGTCCAGATTTTTGGTTTGGATCTATCAGTTCTCTTTCAGTTTCTCTTCCTCCTGTAGTTTCTTTACTTGGCTTCCTTTTTTTTTTCTCTCCTTCCATTTTCTTGTCATAAATCATTCCTGTTCAAAAAGCTTCATCTACCTTTTGCTCTTTCCTGAACACTCAAGGTGTTGGCAGTGGACCCAGATAATGGGGAAAACGGGACGGTGATGTACAGCATCAGTCCTGCAAACCCTTTCTACACCATCGACAGCAGAACCGGGAAGATCCGGACCAGCGGCGTCACTCTGGACCGGGAAAGCACCAGAGACACGGAGCTGATGAGGACCATCATAGTGTCTGCTGTTGACCGTGAGAACTTTCCCTACATCTCTGCATGCATATGGGTTCCTTCTGCTCGATAGATGTGCCTAACTCAGGGGTTTCCAAACTGCAGCCCATTTCTGGTCCTCCAAATCATTTTGTGCTGAGAAATCTGGAATGCAGTAAATCTTTCTTTCAAGCAAACTCCACATTTTAGGGTAACATTTTCACTGGCAAAGTCTGAATGAAAAAACATTATATATCAAAAATGATTTCTCATTTATTAGCCAGGTTTCCATCTTAATATTTCACTAAATAGAACCATAAACTTGAAAGTAGACTTCTCCATTGACTAATACAGCAAAAGCTTTAGAAGTGTCCATTATCCCGTTTCTGTTGCTGAACAAAGTTTAATAGCTCAAAAACAAAATAAAATCCATAAATATTGGAAATTATGTATACCTTATAATAAAACATTTGTGACATACATTTTTGATTCTATGAATCACTTTTCTACAAAAAATATGTTGTTTTTAAGTTAAAATTGAGAAGATAAAACTACAACAAAAATTCTATCTATAGAAAAAAAAGAGTTTTTCACCCTTGTGGTAAAAAGTTTGGACACCACTGGTCTAACTTATGAAAGCAACCTGGAAACAAACTGCTGTAATTCATCCTCCATGCTGTTCTGGACTCTATGGACCAGGACATGTTGTAATGTGTGTGTGTGTGTGTGTGTGTGTGTGTGTGTGTGTGTGTGTGTGTGTGTGTGTGTGTGTGTGTGTGTGTGTGTGTGTGTGTGTGTGTGTGCTTTGTCTTTGTGTGCGTCTTTCTGTGCCCTTCTGGCGCCCTCTGTAGGTGGCACACCTCCACTGCGTACATCAGCCAGCACCACAGTGTCTGTCAACCTGCTGGATCTGAACGATAACGACCCGACCTTCCTCAACCTGCCGTCTGTTGCAGAAGTGCCAGAAGGACTTCCCATTGGATACTCGTTTTTCAGGGTAAAAATAAAAAAAGCATAAAGTCATGTTGCACAAATATATGGATGGTTTTTGTCTTTATAGCTTGTCTGTCTGAAGTTTATGAAAGTAATATGAATTTTTCCTGCTACAGGTGCAGGTAGTGGACCCAGATAAGGATGAGAATGGCCGCATCACGATGGCGCTGCAGATGGGGATGCCCCGGCTCGACTTCCACCTCAACGTCTCCACCGGTGTTCTCACCTCCACAGCGGTGTTGGACCGGGAACAGATCGGCCAGTATCAGCTGAGGATCATCGCACACGACGCTGGGGAGTTTCCTCGGACCTCCACTTCAACGCTCACTGTCTCAGGTGACTTTTGATTGGCTCTCTGCTTGAGAAACTTCCAAACCTGCTGACTGAACCCTTTTTATTGTGATGACTTAATTAATTATGGCAGATGGTGAACTTTATGCATGGAAGCTACGGAGTAATATGCTGCCACCTCCTGGTGGGTTTTGTAAATGCAGATGAGATGAAAGGAAATGAAAATGCAGTACAGCTTCAATCACATAATAAGAATTGTTTTGTCTTTTACAGGTTTAGTCTCAAATATACAAAAACTCACAACTGTAATCCAGATGCTAAATGAAGGAAATGGTCAGGTTTTATTTAATGCTTTCTGTATGACTTTTTCAGTCTTTCATATCATTGTGCAGAATTTGTGCATCATTTTTCTCTATGCAGCACAGGCTGGTTATTTCTGTGATCCAGTTTCAGCCAAACTTCAGCTGCAGACTCCTGGCTCCACACTTGACTGATAAACATCTCTACCTTGATCCCAGTTTTAATGAACATCGTTTTAAACGTATTGTAGTTCCAAATATGGAAACCTACGTGGTGCTGAAGTTTTATGTTTTTGCTTCCAGCTCTTATAAGCAACCATTATTATATTATTATATTGCATTGTCCAGAATTTGAACCCACCTGAGGTCTGTGTGTGGATTTTTTATTTTTTATTTTTTCAGTTTCACTGAACTTAGTGTGATCTGGTCTAGGGTACATTTTCCAGAGCTCAGCTGTTTTAAATGTTCACTAGTGATAAAGAAATTTCCCCTCTTAAAAAGATGCACTTCCTGTTTTAAGTGACATCATAACAAGCCAAAGTCATTTCAGCCCTTTGCTATTTTGTACTTATTCAGTTTTGGTCTCTTCATACTCAGCTTTCTGTTGGGTGTAAATCAGGACTCTGGACTGCTGAGGATTTTTTGGTATCTGCTTTGACAAACTAAATAAATTCTCGAGTTTCCACTGCAGAAAAATTTGATTTTCTTGTAAATATTTACAACTACCAAGTCATTTAGAGTAACTTAGGTTTTCACAGAGCATCAGGAACAACAGAAATGAGATGAGTGTAATGCAAGCCTTTCGGATATATAAAAAGACTCTTTGATAATTTATCTTTATATTTAAAAATATTTAACTCCAGCTGCAGATAAAACAAAGAACAAAACTCCCCATGCTTACATATGAAATAGGGAGGCTGCATCTTACCACCATTGCCAGATTGATGCGCAGCAGCAACATTTGCTTCTTTAAGCTCATTCATCTCTTTCCTCCTCGGCATTAACAAACTACCAAAACTCCTACTTTTCTGCACCTATTAAGCTGTTGATTTTCCCTCTAAAGCTTCAACTGTCGCCTCCAAAATGGTTAAATGTCAAAGACACCAGTGTCACCATGACAGTTAGGAGGTTACAAATGACAAAGGAATTTTATTTTTACAAAGCTTCGCCATTTAAAACCAGGTTTACTTTCAACAAACAAACTCATTGAACCCAGTTAATATGACCTACTGTAGCTGTACTGTGCTGCATTACTTGTCCTCATGTGCATCTATCTGTGTGCTGGTGTGTGTTGCTCAGTTCTGGATGTAAATGACGAGACGCCCACCTTCAACCCCAGACTATACAATGTGTCCCTGATGGAGAGCGTCCCCAGAAACCACGTTGTTGCTCGACTCGTCTGCTTTGACAAAGACGCTGGTCTCAACGCAGAGCTTAGCTACTTCATCACAGGTCAGAGGTCACAGCGGTTACATGTTTTGTGTTTGTGGGTTATATGTTGTACATTTCTATGAACTAATGCATTGTAGCGTGAAGCTTCAGTACTTCCATTCATCCACGTCTGTGGAAGTTTGTTGATCTCTCCTAAATAAATGTGGTGGTTTTGTTGCTGTATTTAGTCTGGAATTCTGTTTTTTGTTTTATTTTTGCAGGAGGGAATGAAGACGGTAAATTCAGCGTCGGTTTTCGAGACGGCATTGTGAGGACTGTGGTGGGTTTGGACAGAGAGACTCAAGCGGCTTACATTCTGGTCATCGAGGCGATAGGTGGGTCAAAAGTTTACATCCTTCTTTCTGAAATAAATGTTCTGTTTGCAAAAGTCTCCAAGTCTTCAACTATTTCGATTGGAGCAGAAGAAAGCATCACATAGTTTTGAAATTGATGATTTCAAAATAAGAAATCTGGAGAGTGTGGCTTGTGTTTATTTTCATCCCCACTCACTCAGTCTTTTATAGAACCTTCTTTCATAGCATTTCCAGTTTCAAGTTGTTTCGATCTCAGCCAGCTTCACTGCACATACGTTTCCACTGATTCTCTCTTCATCAGCCGGTTTCAACCAGGGAGGCCAAACGTTTTGTCATTTGAGCCAAAATCACCAAAATGTTGCATTTTTTTACTTATGAAACAATAAACTGAACATGGACTATATTAATTAAACCAAAAAAATGTTTTTTTTTTGTAGGAACTTCAAATGTTTTTTTGCACATTTTCCTTGTTGAATAAAAGGCATCCACTTTGCTTATTATTCTGGGCTCAGCTGAATAAAACAATATTTTGTTTATTATCAATGACAACAGAATGTAGGTCAGGTTTCATTTGAAAACACTTGCTGCAGTCAAAAGCTTTTAATGCGGCAGCTTATAGATTTGGGTGAACTCAGGATTACGTTCAGTTACCATAGCAATGGAAAGAAAGCAGAAAACTTGGAAAAGATTATAAGTTTGAGCTGCGTCTGACATTTTGTAAGTCGAAGTTCATTTGAAAATCTCGGTTTTGTCGTAATTTATTCCTGCAGCTCCTCCAGAGGCATGATGTCAAACTCATTCTTCATTTCTTCTAATTCACATTTATTCTCTGAAATATTTGAAAGTTTGAGTTGATTATGTGGATAACAGCTGATGACCACTTCTGCATGGTGCTGTAAATGTTTTTCAGGTTGTTTTCAGCGGTGAGTTTTCTCTTATAAATTAAAGTTCCCTTTTCTGTGTTTCTTGTTTCTGAACATAGGATGGGAAAACGCTGCTTGTGCTGATTTCAGATTCTTGCTCAACAGCTTTTGTTCCTGTTTGACAAACATCTCAGGTTTTCCTTTTTGTCTGGAGCATTGAATCAGAGCTGCTTATGTGAAATAGTGCGAGACAAGAGAGTCACAGCTGCTCTGATTTACAGGACGGCGGAAAAGAAGTGAATAAAGGACGACCATTGTTTCAGTCATAATTCATTCCATTATGCAAAATTATAAAATGGTTTGGAAATGGCAAAATTTGAGAGAAGATTTTCTGCATGGATCTGTGAATGAAAGAGACAATAGTAGCAATTAGCCCAGTAGAGGCAGTGAATACTTTAATGTGCCTTTCTCAAGGTTTATTTGATTAGATGGAGCAATAATGATCAAACTGAATCTTAACACTGCAGCAGTTTAGGCTGTGCTGATAGATCGTGAGCGTTTTCTGAATGTTTTTGTCATCCAGACAACGGTCCAGCAGACAGCCGAAGGACGGGGACGGCCACCGTGTTTGTGGAGGTTCAGGACGTCAACGACAACCGGCCCATCTTCCTCCAAAACAGCTATGAGACCAGCGTTCTGGAAACCGTGCCCATCGGAACCAGCATCCTTCAGGTGGGTCCTGCCTGGACGCCAGCAGCACTTTAACAAATTCAAGACTCAGTTTGCTTCATATTTACTGAGTCATTTATGAAGGTCTGGTATTTTGGCCAATTTGAAATCACTTCTGCTTTTATAGTTCTTTCTAAAATGATCAATACCTCTGATAAAGTCAGGTAAAAAAAACTTTAAAAGTGAATTTATCTTTTGTTGCAGAACCAGAACCAAGACTCCACATGTATAAAAACTGTTTATTACAAAGTGTTATGTACAGTGGAGGTTCTGTGATGCTGTGGGCCTGCTTGTCCTCTAAAGGTCTAAAAAGGAATGTGTCATCACTGTGTTTATTCTGCTGTGATGTAGCTGCATTAGATTAATTAATTACTTGGTTAGAAACATGTTATAGAGATTGTTGTATAAGGTGTTGCTGTTCCTGGTTTTGGAAAATGATGCAGATCAATTCCAGCCAAACCATCTGAGATGATTTTATTATTTTTTTGTACTATTTTACATCAGGATCAGACTGAGTTTGGTCAGTATGGCTCAGAAATGTCTTCAAATCATCCAGTTTTCCCCAACGGCTGTAATAAAGTTATTTTCCAGTGTTGTGCATCACGCCTCGTTGTCGCTCATCTTAGAGAATTTTATAACAAACACATCAAAGAAATTTCCAGCAACAGCTTCAAAAGCTGCTCTTATCTAATCAGTGATCAGTCAGTGACGGTCAGTCAGATTTCAGTGACGTAGTCGAGCAGACAGGGCGTAGTGATGTGGGGCCGCGGCGTCTCCGAGGCGACAGGCCGGGTGACGTGCGTCCTGGTGTGCTGGTGCGGCCGGCGGTAAGGCGGTCGCCTGAAGGACAGGTTGTGAGAGCGGCGGTATGATCCGAGCCTCCTCCACGTCTTTAACTGTGGCTCAGAGGACAAGCCTCTGCCGCGGGTCAGTCTCTCCCCCGGGGTGCAGCTCCTCTCCAGGTCGCCCTCCGAGGTCGTCTCCGAGCGTCTGTACACCGCCAGGAAGACCGCCAGGCCGGCCAGCAGCAGGGACAGAACCAGCACCACCATGATGGTGAACTCTGGGTCGTGCTTATCTGAGGGATGAGATGGAGACTGCAGGACAGAGGGAGAGCTGGTGGTGGTGGCTGAGAGGATGGAGGCAGTGATGTTCCCACCTGGAAAGGTGGAGGTGATGTTGGAGTCTGGGTCAGTGGTGTTCATGTTGTCTTTGCCCTGGACGGAGAAAAACATACATAGTATGGGTCAATGTTTTTTTAAAGAAATTATGAGCAAGTTTATTTCTCCTTGTTTTTTATTACTATTAGAAATGACTTTTTTGGTGCATGTCTTCATCGTCTGTAGGGAAGTCTGTTCGTGGTGGGACTGTAATGCAATAACAAGTTCCTAAGTTCATAATTTTAATTTTCAGCCATTATGTCCTGAATTAATGCGTCTGATTTCTTCTAGTGCAGAATTATGACAAACGTCTCCAGTAGTGACATAAATGTCGGATCAAATGTGATATGAGCCTTCAGACCTCAGTCACTCTGAAAGCAATAAGATGAATATCTGAATTAGTTCCACATATGGAAGTGATAGATCAGAACTGGGCTGAGGAGACTGCAGGGAAAAAAAACACATTTGAGTTTTATTTGCCTGCTGTGTGAATGTAGCCCTAGAAAGGCCTAGTCAAAGCCTGGACCTGAATCCAAATGAGAGTTTGTGACATTACTAAACATGGTTGAGTTGTTTTGCAAAGAACAAACGTTTCAGTCTCTTGACATTCAAAGCTGTTAGAGACACACTCCAAAACTTTGAGCAAATATTGACTTATTATTGACTTTAGACAAATATATGCCATATTTTTTTTTATATTTTAACTGTTTGTTTTTGTGTTAGACATTGAAATTCGTGGTTGCTGCCAGACAGAATGTGGAAAGCGGATATGAAAGCTATTACACTGCATCAAAATGCCATTTCAGCTCCGGACTTGGCCAGTCAAGCCTTATGAAGCTAATGGAGGTTCATTTGAGGGTTTATTTTCTACATTAAAATCATACACCCAAGGGCTTACAATATACATACACACAACAATGCACAGAAATAACTGCATGCACATGCAGAGGCAGCGAGTGTTCAGCATTTGCAGCAATTATGTAGCTATTAAATCAAGGACTACAAAACAGTCAATGGTTGACAGGCTTTCTTCAATGTAAAACAAATTGGGTTTATTAAAACGCCCCTTGTAAAATGCAAAACAGCCACCAACTCTTCCTCCGCCTCCCCCCTCATTCAGCGCGCCCCCATCTTCAGCACAGTAACATTTGTAAATGTCATCATCCTTAATTCAGCGGAGACAAAGCATGGCTTATCGGTTTAAAGGAAACACATTGGGACGTGAAATTATTTTTAAGACCAAATGCCAGGAAAGCTGTGAAAAGGCCAGTGGAGCAGGATGACTCGTTAGAGCGTCAGTTCATTAGTCAGCGCCTCCATGCACATCGCATCCACACACACATCCACACACACCACCCTGGAGGTTTTCTGTCTCACCTTCAGGTACTGCAGTCGGCACAATCTGGTGATTTGAACCTTGGCAGCTCCTGTAGTTCTTATTGGACCACTCCTGACATCTCACTGCTCAGCTATGATCAACGTCCTTCATTTCTGCACATGTTCACCAACATTAGAGTCTAACTGTTCCTGCTAACATTTGAAGTCCCAGGTCTGGATAAGCAAAGCAAAAAAACAAAGATGGAAAATATTTATGTTTGGGGAAAATTTCCTATTATTGATGTTCCATCCATCAATCTGGTCCATCCGTCCTACACACAGTTTTTGCTTTTTGCAGGTTTAATAAATCCTGTCCTCTGTATAAATTTTTTGTCATAAAGTAAAAAAAAACTGTATTTAATCTTTAAAGATAAAAATAACTTAAACTTTTCTTATTTTACAGTACTTTCATTTTGGCTTAATTTTACTCTTTTGTATTGTATTTATTTGTATTTTTTTTATTTTGAACCAATAAGTGGACGTGTTATTGAGTCGGTGAATGATTGTGACTTTGTGGATTCTAATATTTCTAATTATTTTTCATGTAAAGCCAAATCTCTGCCTGCTCTGTCCACATTCTCAGCCACATGTCAGGAAACTGCAGCAGCTCTGAGCCTCATTCCAGTTTCAGTCTGTTCACACTGAGTCCAGGCTGCAGGATGCTGCAACAAACTTTTCACTAGTTTCAACTTTCCACGTTCAGTTCTGTTAAGTTCAATAATAAAAAACTTTCTTTTAGGAAGAAGTGTCATTAATATGAAATTAATGCCTGGTAGAAAACATACTCACTCCGTCTGAATCTCTTTAGCGCAGCACTTTCTGGGTTCCAGTAACTGTGGTAGAACCTGTTCTTTGTGAATCCACATAGTACTTGTTTTTCTGCCTTAAAGTGCTACTTTCCCAGAAATGGAGTGGGGAAGCGATGGGGAGGAAAACAGGGAACAGCAAAGAAAAGGGGGCAAAACGTGTGCAGCAAAATAAAATGTCAGTTTTCCTGCTGTTGCAGTGGAAAGGAGCTAAAGGCAAGGCAATGTATTTAAGACAAAGGTTTTGTGAATAATTTCTCTTTTCATGCTTCACACGATCACATTTAAAACAACGTGTGCAACATGTTCTTGCTCTCTGTGGCCCCTGTTGTCGGGCCAGAGTGGTTCACTCCGCTGTGTAGCACTCTATTCATCACTCAGCAGTCTGACCCCCCAGTGTCGTCCTCCTCCTCCTCTTCCTCCCCGTACTCCTCTTTCTCCTCTCCATTTCTCTTTATGAAGCTAATGAGACTGAAGTTGGGCCCCTCTACATACAGGCAGAGTGAGAGCAAAGGAGGACACACAGGCGGAGGCAGACGTCTTACAGCGCCTGTTCCTGCTCAGACCTCCATACGTTCCTCCTGTAACCTGAGAAAAAACCCAAATTCCATTAACTGCTCCTAATTTTATAACCACAAACATAATTATATTTAGTTGTAAAATGTTATTTATTATTATTTTACCAACAAAAAATTGAAAAGTGTGGCCTGCATTTGCATTTAATCCCATTTCCTCTGATTGCCCAAAATAAAAATTCCCACAATTGATGTTAGGGAAACAGCAAAAATCTAGGATGGCACAAAAAGATTAAAACCAAGTCTTGAACTGTAGATTATAAAAATGGTTTTATAAAGCCGTGTTTCTCAAAGTGGGGGCCGCTGGCCTGTTGGCGGTCCACCAGGAAGTGCTGGAGTGGTCTCAGTCAGCCGGAGGAAAATCAACAATCTGAATCTAATAATAAAAATTACTTTTTAATTACAATTTTTAGTCTAAACTGATTTCAGTTGTCATTGTGAAATATTAATTAAAATAATTAATTGAAATGTTATTTGCCATGAACAAGTCGCTTTGTCACAGAGATGTTTGATAATACAGATATGCTGCTGTAAAAACCCTTAAGGACTGGTTTCCAACTAAAATCAGGTTTGACGCAGCATTTATGCTAAACCAATGTTGTAACGATTGAATAGTGACTAAAAGTTAGAAAAACATCCTAAAAGTTGATGTTACTGTACATATTTTGCAGCGTTATCTGTGGTTCTTTGGAGGGTTCCCCAGCCAGAACACACTGTGGGAACTCTTTCTATAAAGTGTTGTATTGTTGGGCTGAATGGTTTTGTGAAGGCCTCTGTAAATTTAGATTCAGGTTTCTGCTAAATTCTGCTGAACTTGGAGCCTCATCCAGAGAGTCGTGACACCCGGAGGATACTGAATCCGACTCACTTGGCACCAGCAGCCGTGGACCTCTACAGACTCAGAAGCCAATCTTCTGACACGGCCCATTCAGCAGCAGCGCAGCATGCTGCAGTATTTATCTGTGTGTGCTGCAGAGATGGGCTGTGTGTGCAGAGGCCAGCCTGGCTGCCTGCCACCAACCGGAGGACGAGGAGGGCATCATTGCCAGGCTACGGTGGTTGTTGTGGCTACATGAGGCTGGGCACCAGGGATGTGGACTGAATGACAATTTGGACTGTAAAGACTCCAAACCGTTCAGGACTCTGAGTTTTATCTTCTGTAGTGAACATTCAGACTGTGAGAAATCCAAATATGTAATATTGATATCTCTGCTAGTCAGAAGTTTACATCTGCTGCTCATGTTTTCCAACATGTTATTTAATTTTTTTATCTGACACTTTGGGTCTGCTTGACGAACAGAACAGCTGCTAACGTGTAAAGGAGTCTCTGCATTAGATCTTAATTTTGTTCTGTTGCCTTGTTCTGAGTGTTGATCAGAATTTGAGTGCTTGTAAAAAATAGTTGAGATGAAGTTTTTGTAGTGGATGTAGTACCTGATATAAAGCATCGTGTGATTTTAAGTGACTATTTCTGCTGTTTCCGTTTCACTGCACAGGTTCAAGCCACAGATGCAGATCAGGGAGAAAATGGCAGAGTTCTGTATCGGATCATCTCTGGTGAGTCTCTATGCTGAGTTCCTGCTAAATATGCCAAAAACCACATTTTAAATGTCTCACTGCCAGGACTGGAAAAGTCTGGTTTTGTTTAGTAGTTTTGCAAAATGATTTCCAACGAAGAACAAAATTCAAACGTATTTCTGACTTGGTGGCTGTTCTCTAGAATGTTTTTGTCTCTTTCACCAAAACCAGGATCATTTCCTGGTTTGAGGAAGTGGGTTTCTTGAAAACAGAAGGCCAGTCGGTGAACCCAGTGTCACCCACAGCTTACAAACAGGATTTTTAGTGTTTGATCCTCTGTTTGTTTCAACCTTATGAATTATGGACATTAAGCTCTCCGAATGGAAAACAGAGTCTGCAGCAGGGAATCATGGGTAGTACTGATGTACTAATAATAGTTTTGTTGTAACATTTCTTTATTATTTTTTTTACTGAATATGTTCTGAACTGAAGGTCGAATAATGAGATTTTGTTACTGCAATTCAGTTCAGTTCATTTCTGTACATTAGCACCAACTCTCCTTATGTTTCAAGGTAATTTACAAAAACAATTGAGTAAATGTCTGCAAATTCAGTTTCATATTCAAAATGAAATGGAGCTATGAAAATAAACTAAATTAAATTGCGATTAGACTCAAACCTGGAGCGTTTTAAAGATGATCTGATGTCTCTCTTCATGACATCTTTCTGTTTGTGGCTGCAGGGAACAACAACAACCTGTTCAGCATAAACAGGCAGAGCGGCCAGGTGACCAGAGGCGTCCGGGCGCTGGACCGGGAGACCAGCAGCTCCCACGTGTTGGAGGTGGAGGGCTTCAACAGCGATGAAGGCAGCATGCGGAGCTCTGTCAGGGTGAGACGCTCAGCCTGTGAAACGTGTGTGAACTGCACCCAGCAGGCAAACTGGTTTACGCTTAAAGCGTCGCAAACATTGTTAGAAATTTGACCAAATGCTGTTTCAGTGTTCTCGCTGTAAATCTAGTTTAATTCCCACATTCTGATTTAAAGGATGAAGTTAAATTCAGCACTAATCCTAATTCTCCTGCAGGTGATCATATATGTTGAAGATGCCAATGATGAGGTGCCAGTATTCACCCAGCAGCAGTACAACCGACTGGGCCTGAGAGAAACCGCTGGAATCGGAACCTCTGTGATCGTAGTCCGCGCCACCGATCCTGACACCGGTGAGTCCGACCGCAGCCGACCAGCGCTGTACGCTCTGATGGCTTGTAGAATATCAACCCCGCCACTAGTTGGTGCTGTTCCATCAGAAATTCTTCTCTCTCTTTTTTTTTTACCTTGTTTATCTCTGGTGTGTGGAGAAACGTTGTGTCGTCTGCAACTGGCATTTAAAGTCTTACTACTTCCACAGTTTGTACTTCCTCTCTTCACTTCCCTTGGTGTTAAACTGTCTCAGTGGCTCATCTGGTGATTCTGACAAACATTTTCCAAAGCATCAGAGTGGCCATAAAACTGAAATAAGCACTTCCTAATAAGGCTTTTCTTTATATAAATGTAAAACCAGGTCAGAGGAAGTTTCAAAAATAACTCTGTTACGAGAACTTTGAAATCAAGTCGAGTTTATTTGCGTTGCTAATTTCAGCAGCAAGGCACCAAAAAAAACAAAACATAAAACAAAAACCAATTAAGAAACAAAATATAAACATTACATTTTGTCAAATCCCATCAAAATGATCATGCAAGTATCATATATTGACCAATGTTCAGTTATTATGAATCATGGCGGCTCTAATCAGGAGGGTGTTAGCCTTGATTTAAAGGAAGTCAGTGTTACAGCAGTTTTGCAGTTTTCTAGACGTTTATTCCAGATTTGTGTTGCATAGAAGCTGCATGCTGCTGAGAGTTCAGGAAGGTTGATCCAACAACAGCAGATCCTTAAAGGATTATTTTGCAAAATCATTCAATGATTTATAAACTAACAACAATATTTTAAAGTCGACACTTTAAAGCAAAAATCTCAGTTAAAAATATGTTTGTAATGATGTGATTCTGGATTCTGAATGTCTGTTTCTGTCCTGCTGTGCAGGTGATGGCGGCGCTGTTGCCTACTCCATAGTGTCCGGTTCAGACCGTAAGTTTGAAGTGGACGTCAGCACTGGTCTGGTCACCACTGTGGACTACCTGGACTACGAGACCAAGACATCCTACCTCATGAACGTGTCGGCCACCGACCAGGCGCCGCCGTTTCACCGGGTATTCTGCACCGTCTACGTGACCTTACTGAACGAGCTGGACGAGGCCGTGGCCTTCTTCTCCTCAGGCTACGAGGCTTCCCTCCGGGAGAACATCGCCACGGGAACGGAGGTGGTTCAGGTCCAGGCCCAGTCTGCCGACAACCTGAACCAGCTGACTTATCGCTTTGACCCAGACACGTCGCCGGCAGCCTTAGCCCTCTTCAAGATAGACAGTGTCACGGTGAGAAAAGCCTCACATCATATTATTACACGCGTAATTATAAATATATCAACATTTTTTACACTACGGCTACAAAATTGTTTTCTGAAGGGGTTTAATGCAATAAAGGTGAAATGGAAAGGCATTTTCTGAATTGGTTCTGATGTAACGAACGCTGCCATCCACTGGTGGGTCTGTGCCCTACCAGAGGCATGAAACTGATTCTTCAGTGACCAGGTTGTAAAGCTCATTCTGCTTCACAACCTCTGCATCTTGTTTATTAAGCCATAGATAACATCAATATTTGATTAAATTATGTTTGGATTTTTCACTAGTGCCTCTAGATGTAAATCTGGTGGAAATTTGTGACTACATGATTCTACATCAAAAGGGGATTTGAGAAACTATCAGTCTCTGGTGGCTGAATAATGAAGAAATCCACACTTGGAAAAATCTCCACAAACTTTATTTTTTCTTCTACTTCACAGTTGTTTTTCAAACTCCAGTGAAATACATCATCTTTGGTTGTGAAATAACAGAACCTGAAGAACCTTAAGCAGTGTGAATAGGCCGCTCCTCATTTTCTGCAGTCTTGTTTCGGCATGAATGAAATCTGATCAAAGAGCTCAAAGCTTTGAAGTTTTTCCATTCCTTTTGTCTGTGGATTTTCCTGATAGCTCGTCGTTTTTCTGTGTTTTGTGACTCTTGACCTTTTGTTTGTGGCGTTCCAGGGCCGCATCACGGTAACAGGCCTGCTGGACAGAGAAAAGGGAGATTTGTACACTCTGACTGTGGTAGCTGACAACGGAGGACCGAAGAAGGACTCCACTGTGGTACGTCGCTTTGGAGTTTTGTAGCTTTCATCCTGACATCCAACTTCATTGTTATTTTAAATGTATTGTGTCTGATCTGTTGTAGAATAATGGCATTCTTCTTTTATCAAATGCATCCCTCTGTGGATCTGTAGAAGGTAAGGTTCTGTTAGAACAAAAAGCAGAATGGAAAACTGTCTCTTTGTTTTTGTTCCTTTCATTTTAAAGGTAAGAACCGATCTTCAGCATGTGATGGAAGCTGCAGATAATTTTGTTGCTTCCCAGGTTTCCATCACCATCCTGGATGAAAATGACAACAGTCCTGTGTTTGACATAACGTCTGATACGTCTGTGAGCATCCCAGAAAACACGGCAATGGGGAAAAAAGTGGCAGTGGTGCTGGCAAGGGACAGTGATGCCGGCTTAAATGGACTGGTGAGGCTTTAGTCACCAGTGATTCTGAATTTGAAACTGCCAGATATTTCTGATGCACTACAAATAAATTAAATATGCAAAGAAGCAAAGAAAAGACATCTATTTTTTTCCTAACTTTAAAAACATCTTAAGTCGACCAAAGATCACTTTTGCAATCATAGACAAGATGGCACCACATGGAGGTTAAAGGTCATTGGATTTCATTTAGAAATCAAGGTCTAAGAGTCTGGAGGAAGAATTAATCACACTGCAGTATTTGGAGCAACTTTATGATTAGAGTTTTAGAATAAACTCAGATTATTTTAAAATGAATGATCTTCTCTCAGGTGAATTTCACTCTGGTGGCTGGAAACATGGAGGATGTGTTCAAGATCAAAACGGTGAATAACAGCTATGGAGAGGTTTACGTCAACGCTGCTCTGGACCGGGAGTCTGTAGATCGCTACCTCCTGAAGGTCAGGGAGCCGCGCTATGTTGTCATGACACGTTTCAACCTTTGTTGATCTACATTTTTAATATTCACTGTTTTGCAGGTCCGTGCCACTGATAATGGTTCACCGACCAGAAACACAGACCACTCGCTGACCGTCAACATCCTGGACGTCAATGACAATGCTCCTGTCATTGAAAGCCAGCGGGGATACAACGTCAGCGTGAACGAGGTGAGGATGAGGTTCATCCCTGGAAGCCAGTTTAAATTTACTTTTCAACCATTGCTGGAGATTTAGATATTCAGGCCCAGGTTTGCTGTGAAGTTTGGCCATTTTGTGTTTTGCAGAACGTGGGAGGAGGCACCTCAGTCCTGCGAGTGATTGCTACAGACAGGGACATTGGTCCGAATGCCATGCTGTTTTATTACATCACTGCTGGAAACCAGGACCTGACCTTCCGCATGGACCGCATGACCGGGGAGATGGTGACCCGGCCGGCCCCTCCGGACCGAGAGCGACAGCAGGAGTATCGCCTCAACGTCACTGTGGAGGACGATGGCATGCCGCCGCTGTCGGTAAGATTCTGGAGCGCTGAACCGAAACGTTTCTTACTTTAAACTTTTACAGGCTTTGAGTTTTGAAGTTTCTTTGAAGTTGAAATGACTTTAAGCAACAAGTGTGTTATTTGCACCTTAAATACAGTAGGATTGTCTTCTTCATACTCCTGATACATTCGACTGATGAAGCAACAAGCAATGAAGTATAAAGTCATTTTTTGAAAGAGCAAATTGTATGTTTTCAATGGAAGTCAAGAAAAACTTTGATTATTGTGGAAACAGTGACGTTCAGTGGAGAAGCAGCAGCTGCAGATGCACAGCTTTCCATAAAGCTGAACTGATGCAAAATGATTTAACAAAACTGAAACCATAATCTGAAGAAAGTGTTGAGCCATACTTAATATCTAAAGTGTTTCATCTGTAATTACATCGTATTTCATTTTCTCAGTTGATGCAGTTTTAAAATGTTGCCTCCTTTTCATCAGCAGGAATCGAAAATCAAAGTTTGCCAAACTAGTGCATGTTAATATTTCATAGTTGTTTGTTTTTTAACATATATTTTTCATTTTTGCATTAAATCTCATAAATCTGATAACATGATGCCATGTTCAAGATGAATCTGAAGCATAAAACAAATTTCATTTCTCACTGATTTCAAAGCGGAAATGAAATATCTTTAATTACAGGACAACTCCATGTTTAAGGGACGTTTGGCAGTCAGAACCAATGACTGACCAGTCTCTTTATGGACTGTGTGCTTTGTCCTGCTCTTAATAAGGAGAGGATGGATGATGCCACTGAGTAATATTCCATACCTGGCTGTGTTTTATTTTTAATTTTTATTTGAGACAGTGCAGGACTTTGCTTTGTTTTGATAATAAGGATCCCTCTTATTGATGACTTTGGACCTTAGAGATTATTCTGCTGTGACAGATCAAATTTGTCTCTTTCACCTTTGAATTTTTGTTCATATCTAATCAAGACAAAATTTGCTGTTTACTGATCGCATTATTTTTATTTTCACTCTTTGGACTCCTGATAAAGAGCTGAAGCTTTGACCTGCAATCATTCAGATAAGCTCCATCCAAAACGGTTCAGAACTTCCTCCAAATTATCACCAAGTTATCATTTTTAATCCTTTATTTTCCTGCCAATATTTCTTTACTTCACATATATTCCTACAAAACTGCATTTCTACATTTACTCAATGGAAGACTAGATATTCGTTACACTCTATGTAAGATAAAGCAAACAGTACACATAAAACACAGATACCCCAGAAAGTTAAAGGCAGTTCAAGCAAGCAGCGCAGACTCAGGAAGCACGATGTTTTGTCAACAGGAAAACCACAAGACATATTTCCTAAAAGACAACAGAGAACATTGCCTTTTCTCTTTAAAAAGCTTTTTCGACATGTCTGTTAAGATAAGAGACGTTGCTGCTATACCCTTCAGGACGTGGGTGGCACAAATCATGAGATGAATAAGGTTCCTGTTAATGCATTGTGCAGAGACCTTCTAGCTCTGGCTCCTCTTATAAAAACATTGTTTTCATCGGGTTATGTGTTTAGTTTCTGTTCACCAGCCCCTCTCTGGTGAACAGCATCTCAGAGGCACACAAGTGGAACAACCTTGTTTTATCTGCTACGACTCCCTGGACAACAGCTTCTCCTTGTAGAGAAATGGTTTTGTAAATCTGTCATTTGAGAGGAACAAGGGTTTCACAGATGATGCAGAATGCTTAGAGTTTCATTTTTATTATACAGAATACCACGAGGGCTGTTTAAAAGCAAGAAACATCCCTCATGCAAGCTTTTTACAGTATAAAAACACACAGGTACAATATAAAAGTCATCAAGCATACAAAAAACTTTTTTCAGGGAAACCAGAAATCAATTCTTAAAACTTTAATCCCTTCCTTATTCCTTATATATTCCTTATACACAAATATACAGCCACAAACTTGTAAGCAGGCTCACATCTAAACAAAACAAGATGTTACTCCGTCATGTAAACTTCTTAAACATTTTCTTCTTCAGATGATTTCCGCTTAACACGCTGTATGCATTTTACCCCAGATTAAAAATAACACTACCAGTGAATTAACACAGTCACACATGGGCAAAGTGATGCAGTAGCATCTCACCGTTGCTACAAGAGACATTTTAAACCTTTTGCTCAAAGTATTTAACAGTTTTGGCTTATCAGACCTCATTGCACAAAAGTAGGATTGAACCTTTACCCTGATGGACATAAACACAGTGAAATCTAGAGGAAGTGTCTGAACGGCAGCGAGTTCAACTCCTGGAAGATTTTTTTGTTTGTTTGTTTTGGTAGTATCTGTGAGGCTACATTAAAGAAAAACAAATATTTTTTTTCTCCATAATTATACAGACACAACAATTAAATCTTCCCCTAAAAAATGAAATCTATTTTCAATTATACAAGTATGTTTCAGGCCATGATGCAGTTGTAAAAGTAGAGGACAGAAGGGAAATATTCAGACGAACAGAAGCGGAGTCTGAGGTAGCACAAAAGAAATGCAGAGAAGAAATCATACAAAAAGAAATGTAATGCCACATTTTGGAGAATATTTGCTCTCATCACACCTAAAACCTCTTTCACAAAACAGTTCTATCGTAAAGCAACAAGTATCTCATGCAACCTGCCATCATTTAGTTTCTGCTCCCTGGGGGACGGATATTGGGGAATGCCCTGAACAACCTGCACCAGACTCATCTGCCCACCAGTGGCTCCATTACGCCCCCACTGGGTGCCTCTCCCAGTCTGAATTAAGTGCTTGGTCTGGTTTTATGTTAAATCTTGTGTTCATCTGGTGGCACAGACTGATGTTTAAAAGGTTAACGTCATACCCTCAAGCCACAAGGCCAATAAACCTCGCACAAGTCGACTGTTGAGGTATCGTCGCTGCATTGATTGGTGGTGCAAACATCAGATGACAAATGATCATCTGAGTTTGTTTGTAAAATAAGACTATTGCTACATAAAGCTGTAGAGCCATGAAGCCCCAACTCTTTGGTACGTTGAGTATTTCTGCTGTGCTTGGCGCCTCTGAGACACAAAACGTCAGAATGACTTCTGATTCCTGTATACAACACGAACATGAACTCTAATGACACATCATTTTATGAAACTGTTAATCAGACAGCTCTCTAATGACCAGCAAAAGAAAACCGATGCAATCACAACAGGAGGATTGACAGCATAAATTTGACCATGTAGAAAGTTCACATGACAGAGAGCAGAGTTCAGGCGATGCATTTGAACTCTGTGGGGATTTGAGCTCAGAAGAACTTGCTGCTTAAATGATTTTTCTCTAAGAGCTGAGTAGATCACTCTCCACCTGCTTATAGCAAGACTCCCACTTTCAACACGTCTTAAAGAGTTAATGAAAGACAGCGGCAGAGCCAGGCCTGTGAGCTGTTGTCAGAGTTTGGCCTGAAGATCAGATGCAACTCGTTGGCCTGCAGATGTTGTTGCAGGTGGAAATGGTATGTGGGTCAAAAACGCAGCGCTTCTCCCTCCTGCAGTCCAGACAATGAACAGATGACAAATCCAGACAGGAACAATAAGTGTTTATGCAGTTATTGTGAGAGAGCTCAAGAGGAGAGCATTGGTATTAAAATGAAGGGAAGAACAGAAGAGCGGCAGGAATGGGCTTTAAATCTGCACCAAGTCTGGATCCTCGGGGATAACGTCTGAAAAGGAAAACAAGTGAAAATCAGTGAGGACATAGAAATCAGTGGTGTCCACAAAAAAAACAGTTACTTTGAGACTTTCTGCTGACAGATGTGAAATGACATATGAAAGCGTATTCAGATTCAGTATTGCACTTCCTGCACAAATATGTCAGAACTCTGCAAAAAGCGAATGACAACATTTGTGTTTTTCACGTTTTTTTTCACCACATCAATTCAAACTTGGGCAGACACAGACTGGTAAAATTCACAGAATGATGGGTGATTTGCTGGAAACTGTAAAAAAAGAGGAAAAAGCAGAACCAACAGTCGAAACCAGAGTTGCAACACGGAGATAACAGGGAAGTTCATGTTAAACTCTGCAAAGCTCGTCAGAAGGACCAAAATGATGAAGACGAAAGCTGAAGTTTCTTCACAGCACCAAACCTCAGTGTGGAAGAGATAGCCCAGCAGAAATCCTCCATGATTCAGAATACTTCATTGCTCACACATTACAATATCCAAATGAGGGGCTATGGGATGTGCTGATCAATCAAGTCTAATCCATAATGGATCCCAACTTTCTATGACTTTGAAAATCTGCTGCTGACTGGCTCGTCGCCAATCAGAGCGTACTGCAAAGAGCAACAGTGGGTCACCGACCTCTAAACAGACCGGCGTTCTTTTTGATTTGCTGTGGAACGGCAAATCAAAAAGATTTGCCGTTCCACATATCTCATCTGCTGAGATATGTCTTCAAGGAAGTTCAATAATCCACCTGGGAATGGCAGGAATGTCTGCCCAGGTGCCCGTAGATTTAAAAAAAACACAGCTGGAATGGAAGCTCTTTTGCGTACCTAAGGTTTGATGTTCTATGTTCAGTCAGGGAAAAGCAACAGAAAAGGATGCTGGGCTGAAAACTGAGTAGACAGATAATGACATCTGATGGGAAGAAGCTCTCCTCGAGGTTAACAGACGAGTTAAACCTGTCGGCTTTATCAGCTTCTGCCACGATGTTTAAAGTGTGAACATGCACTTTTTGCAAGGCAGGATATTTCAGCTGATATGGATGGAGTTATAGTCATACTGGATTGCATCAGACTCTAGATTTTGAAATTTAAACTTTCTGACTCATTACCTTGTGCAATGCCTTTACACAATGCACCAAGCACCGTTGTTAAGTTCGTCCAACATTTCAAAAGAGAATTTAGCCTAAATGAATCAGTAATTATGAAAGCAATCTTTGGTCGTTTTTCTTTTTTCTCAATAAAACCCAGCATGGCAGTGAGGATTCGGTCACAGACTGACTCAAAGGTTGATTTAGAGCTGAATGTAAACTGTGTCAGGTCTGGCAGATGAGCTGAAAGATGAGATTAAATCCTCCAGGGCAGTCTGCTGGTTAACTCTGAGAGTCATTTATGACTCAGCCAGACCTCTTGACCTAGAAAACCCAGAATGTAAATCAACCCGAAACCGGATCAACGCTTTACATTGCAAGATTAAACTTTTCTGCAAGGAACTCAAAGACTTTCAGAGAGTGCTGCTCGATTTTTCTCCTGTTAAAACCCTTTTACAATATTAATTAAGGATTGATGAGCAAAAATTGGCCAAATACATGTGGAAGAAGCAAAATATGTAATTACAATTATAATACTTGCAATTCTTATTCCTGCTGAATTAATTATTTCCTCCCATTTACTCCTTTTAGGAATTTAAAAGCTTGTTTTTCATTCAGTTTCCAAAGAATTTACTTTCCAAATGTATCAGTCAGGAGAAGGGCACAAGCTATCTTCTGCATCATTGAACTAGGGTCGAGGAAGATGCCAACATGCAGAGAGCCTTTAACACTCCCATATGTCGAACGAAGGAGGAAGGTCTAAAGATCTCTAAAAATCTTGTTTTGTGGTTGGATTAACCAAAGATGAACTGTTGGGCCACAAATTTCTTCAAAATCTAGTGGATCTGGAAACCTTCAGCTGGACAAAGTGGGTAAACATCACCGAGGCAAGACGTGGGGTGCTGATGGAATCCCACCAAAGAAAAATCAAAAAATGATTCAACAAACTATTACTCCAAAAGTCTGTTACATTCTCTTTTACCTCCAAACAGACAGGTTTTCCCTTTCAACTGCAGTCACAATATGAAGGCACTGATTCCTTCTGTTCCTACCTTCGGATGGGAAGAAAACGTCGCCATGTGCGGGAGGAGAGAGGGGCGTTCCCGGGTCCGACAGTAAGTGGTGGCTGGTCTCAGAGGGCTGCCGGGTCAGGATCTGGGAAACAGTCCGGGTCTTTGCCTGCGGGGATCCGCCCAGAAACACTGGATTCTCGTGGCCCTGAGCTTCGCTACACACAACAAACAAGAAGGAGAAGTTTGTAAGAAACCACAGCGTGACTCACAGCTCTATTTCAAAACTCATCTGTTCCTCACGACAGAGGCCTTATGTTTGTCACTTCTGGAGTAAATAAATAACTGAATAGTAAATGATGAAACTATAACCCAAACAATCCATACATGTAATATCTGTAAACTAATCCTAATAGAACGTCATTATTCTGGTCAAGCAGGATCCCTCGCTTACAATGACCAGTTCTGCAATACGTGTTATCAGGACAACATTGTGGCGTTTTCATGTTCGTGCTTTTATAATCCTACCACTGTTATGCAAGACTCCAAATTATTCCATCTCTTCACCGATTAGTTCCCCCGTCTTATCCGTTTTGCTCCTCCATGAACCCAAACATTGTATTTCACATTATCTTCCATTGGACTCAAGTATTTTTATCAACGTAGCAGATACATTATTTTACAACTTCTCAAATATAACATGAGCTTTAATTTAGTCATTTAGAAATTCATAAAGAATTTCTATTAACCCCCCATTTCCTTTGATTGTTGATCTGATCTGTTTGACTCTTAGATACCGAACCAAAACAACCCTTCAGAGAGCTCCCACTGCAGCATGATATGTACTGGAGTCACGTAGCCATATTTCCTAGTGGTGAACAGTAATTAATCAAAAAAAAAAAACTTAATCGGTTGTTGAAGTACAAAAATGAACACACTGTACAAGACCCCAACAGAATGAAACGGCGAGCGTCCCTTCTGAGGAGTGACTTTGTTTCGATGCTCTAAGATCAACTGGCGGTGGGAAAACGTACCTGTCCATCCGCACCAGCTCCTGTCCACCTGGGAGAGAGGAAACAGGAAATGAGCCTTTGTGACTGAGCTGCAGCACAGCAGAGTGAATGTGCTTCCTACTGTGTGAACTGGAGTTAATCCACCACAGCCACAGGAAACGTGTCAGACTGAACGTTTGGACATTAAAACATAAAGACGTGTTCTGAGTTCTGCTGTGAATATTTGCTGGCCAACTTACAGAAGTCTTATGCTTTGAAGTTTTTGGCACAGTTAAATGTTAAAAATCTGATTTTTGTTTATTTATTAGGTGAAAGAGAAGTAATCCAAACCAACCTGACCCAATGTGAAAGTACAACCTTTTCTAATGATGATTAGCTCCACCAATCACAGGCCATGTCACTCCCAAACGGAGAATTATGAAATCACATGAATAAAATCTGACTGACAACATGAAGTAGGCTTAAAGATTTAAAATAACACATCATGCTCTGGCATAACCCTACAAAAAATCTGTTTATGAACATAAACCTTCCAGTGTGTCTGAATTAAAACTTTTCCTCCTGAGGGATGTAGCAGACATTCATGTTCCCTCCAGGAGTAAAACCCACTTTTTCACATTGGTGCAGGCAGGTTTGGAAATGTTTTTCCTTAATAATATATAATATGTCCCTGAAACAAGGGAGCCAGAAAGCAAAGACAAGAATTCTGTAAGAAGGCAGATAATTTTTCCCAGCAGTGCATTGCAGTGCAGTACGTACGTCTGTTTGACCGTGAATTCTCTCGCTGTTTGTAGACCAGGACCAGAATGAGAGGCAGCGACAGCAGAGCCAGAATGCAAGCAGCCAAGGCTAAAGCCACAGGCACCGAGGCTGTTGAAGGAAAAGAAAGAATTTTAAAATAGAATAACTTTGCAGTCATATTCTGCTTTTAAAGGCCTGAGTTAGTTTCACACCTGGCGGAGGTACGGGATCCCAGAATGTGCAGTCGGCCGACCCATTTCTCTCTAAAAAAAATAAAATATTCACAGGAATGAGTGCTTGGGCCACTTTTCTTTACTATACATCTAACAGCTCATTTCACTATAAGCAGATAAAAAGTCTGGAGCGGGGATGAGATAAAACTTGTAAGACCCTCAGTAATTTTAAATTGTATGTCCAGCCTGCTTGATCTGCTTACTTGGTGTAACGTGAAGAACAACGTAGCTGTGGGCAATGTGCTGGGCAGTCGGATGGTTGTGATTCCCCTTCACATCCAGGGCTACGCAGCAGTAGCGGCCCTGGTCTTTGATGGTCACATTCTTGAGAATCACCCACATCTTTTCATTGGTATGGCTCATCTCCACTCCTAGGTTCTGGCCGTGGCCTTTGTGGCCGACATTGCGTGGGGTTTCCCCGCTTTTACAGTGCTCGTCGATGTGGGGCGTGAAGAGCCAGCGGTCCTTTATGTCATGACCGGAATGTGAGTTGGCATTTTTCTGGTTGCACACCAGCGTGGCAGTCGCCCCCTCTGGACAGGCGTAGTACCGGTGGACAGGGGACATGGTCAGTGAGAAGCTGGACTGGGTTGGTGTCACTTTCGCTGGAAAGAAAAGACAAAAACACATGAGTCTCATTATACTTCCTGGTAGCATAAAGGTTAAATTGAACATAATAAAATAAAGATGGATTTATTTCAAAGCTGGACATGGGAGTGTTGGTTGTCACTGTTGTTTTGATCCAATATGAGCAGAATGGACTCTGCATGTTTTGTGTGGGTAATTCTGGCTGTTCTGCGTCTCCAACATCCCAACAATGTCTTAATTAACTGACCATCCTAACTTCAGATATGAATGTTTGCAGTGCAGCTGTGTGTACTGTGTCTCTGTGAAGGTGAAAATTGAGACAGAACAGAAAAGGAAGGATAAACTGACTTTATACGGTTGTTTTTTTACATTCTATTAATGTATTTTATTAAAATTTTTCATACCAGGATTGTTGTAATTTCTAAGAAAACTAAAACATTTTTTTTTACAACTTGAAGTTTCTTTCTGTGTTCCTCTATGCAGCTTTACACATTGTGAGACTTTTATTTGCAAAACATGTAAAGCTCAGTCGGTTTGGATGCAGAGCTCCGTACAAACCAGCTTCCCTGTCGATGCTGGAAAACATTCATGTTTCACCAACGTAATGAATTCAGTTTGCGCTGACTTGGCATGTTATCTCATCTGACCAAAGTATTTCCATATGTTTCTATGGCTTGGTGCAAACTACAAACAACTATGAAGTACTTTCTGGTCTGTAACCAAAAATCCTAAAAGAATTCATCGATTGTTGCATTTTTAGCATGAACAAATGTGAAAGAGTTGAGGCGTTATAGTTACTTTTTCAAGGCACTTCATGGTTTTGGGCTGAAGACTGAAGTTGGTAAATGATTGTGAAAGAAAGAAGGTGTTTGTGTGCAGTGGAAAAGAAAAAAAAACCTGAGAGGAATGGGGGAAAAAAATCCCGAGTATTAATAGATTAAAGATGACAAAGAATAACCCTGCTGGAAAAAACAAAAAGTCACATTTTGTTGAGGGTATTTCAGGCCTTCAAGAACTAGATTTGTCAGAATAAATATTTAGGGAATTTACATTAGAAAGATGCACAGAACCAAATAAAAATCTTTAGAATTAAAACTTCTAAAGTAATTCTGAAAACCAAAGATCAGGGTTGTAGTAAAATGGGAGCATTTTACTACATTACCTCCACACTTCTGCTGTTACTGATGGGATGTTTTTTGCTGGGGTTTTTTTTTTTTGGCATTTGAACAGGATAAAATCTTTTTGTGAAAAAAGGAATTAAGATAACCATCAGGAGTCTGAGAAACATTAGATAACAAAACTGAAAGAGCCAGAAAGAACATCCAAAACAGGTACGATTGTAACAAGATCTTATGCCAGAATAAATTGAAATATTCACATGAAATGTGAAAGCAGTTTCAAAATGTTGAGAAAAAGGAACTCAAACCATATCGGCTGCATGTAAGAAACCAAATAACCCATGAACCCAAAAGAGTCTGTGAACTTTAGACAACATCAACAGTATGTTTTTTCCAAAAGTCTCCGTTATGATTCAAAGTTATTTTGGCAAATGTGAACTGGGCCAGACTGACTAATAACTGGATCCTCCCATCAGTTCTTGGTTTTATTTCCAGAGAAACATTCCTAATTTGTGTTGTTGGATAGATTCCACTTTCTTGACTCTGCAGTTTCAACACCAGGCTTGCATGTTGCTGGCATAATCGCATCACAATTTGTTCATGATTTAATAATCCCAAACTAAATGCTTCATTTTAAATTAAATAAACAAGTTGGGTAGTTGTGGTGTTGTGATGCAACAGCAGTTTATCTGCACATTTTTGTATTTTCAAACATCCGGAAGTACATGACAGCTGTGAGCCCTCTTGCATATTGTACCTGTCTCACTCATGAGTTCTGTTTTTAACCACATCCTGTTTTAACTTCTTTATTCTTGCAGTAAAATGCATTAGAGGTTGTGTGTTTTTCATGAACAGGACTTTATTTTGCTGAAACAAAATAAACGTCTGACCCAAGCTACAGTCTGACACATAACCACTCTAGAACTTCTTGAATATCTGAAATAAATGACTGCAGCACTGCCAATGGAAAGAACCAACAGAGCAAACCTGCCTGTGTCTGCAGCACATCTGCAGCAGACTACAGAGTCGTGGAGCATTCAAAATTGCTACGTGCTGCAAGAGGACAGGAAGAGTGTGTGGAAGTGTGTACGAGCCAACTACAAGAAAGTGAGGGGGTGAGCAGCATCAATAGAGAAGTTTTAGGAATAGTAACAGTTTCAGTCACAAGTTACAGTAAAGGTCTGAATATGTAGATGCGGCCAGTGTTGAGTTCGAAGGGTGGACTTCCTTCCTGGACTCCTGATAACGTCCCTCAGATTCTCTGCTAAAATCTGAATTTTTTACAGTTACTGCAGTCTTACCTGCACCATCCATTAAGAATTGGCTCACTCCACCAAAGACTTTTCAAAACTTTCACACATAAAAATCTCAAAGTGTGGCATGCACATGCACTCTTCCACATTTTTGATATTAACATCAAGCTGAGTGAGATTGGATGAAGAGCATACAGTTTCAAGTCTTGAGACAGATTTTCAATTGGATTTAGATCTGGACTTATCATCTATTGCTGAAAGTACAGATGAGGCTTCCAGTCTCAGAGGTCTGGGCTCTGTCCATCAGCAGGACTCTCAGAGAGAAAAGGTCTCCAAAAATGCAGCGAACAAAACAGCAAGAGTCAATTCAGAAAGAAAAAGATGGTCCAGAGAGAGGAACCTGTTGCTGGAAGGAACAGCAGATTCGAGTTTACAATTCTGCTAACATTTCCTTGTTGTTTGAAGGGTTGGATGCCTGAAACTGTCCTCATATATTTGGAGATAAAAGCTAATTAGCAACAAAGTCAACAGGTAGAGATGCACATTGAATCAGATGAACTTTGTTGATTTTGATTGGCTGTTTAGATGCAGCAATGCATTCAATGACCAGAATGAAGCTTTGCACTGTGTTATATATATATATATATATATATATATATATATATATATATATATATATATAAAACACAGTGCAATATATATATATATATATATATATATATATATATATATATATATATATGTTTATATATATATATATATATATATATATATATATATTTTTTTTTTTTTTTTTTTTTTTCATTTACACAAGTTACTCAAACACAAGTGGGACCCTGGCCCAGACTGGCCCTACTGGTTCCTTGGAGTCCTTGCAGTGCTCTCACTTATTAAAATGTCCTTTGTTATATGGATTTTTTGTATTTACTGATTAAAAGTAAAAGAAAAAAAATTACTTGTTAGTTAGAATTATGCTTCTTTTACTGTTTATTTAAAGTGTTTTCAAAATCTGCATATGTGGGACGTATTGCAACATGTCTGAAAGTTTGCTCAGCAAGACAGCTGTTTCAGCAACTTCCTGGGATTTAACTAGACTTTGGTCATGAACATGGTGCGTTTAAGTTTCAGAGAGTGCACACATGCTCCAAGCACGGAAAGCATTCTGGGGTTTGGGCCTAAATCAGGAAGCACTGCAGCTTGTTTTTGATAAATGTCAAACGCAGTTTAAATGTTTCGTTAACAATCAGCTGGAAAGGAAGTACAGTAGCTTGATAAGCTGCGACCTTTGCTCTTTGATTATCCGTGAATGTGTGTATACACGCCAAGTGTGCATCCTGTGTGTGCCATGCAGTATTTTCCTGTCAGGCAGCTGAATGCTACAATCGCTATTGTGTGCAAGGAGAAGCAATAGGAAGAGCGTGGAGGGTGATTAAGGTGAAACTGGTATCCTCTGGCTGTTCCTGTCTGCTCTGCGGGACAATGGGGCGTCTCTTCTGTTTCACACCCACCACACCTTCTTCACAAACCCGGCTGCCTTTTCTCGCCTGATTTACATAAGGCTTGAGTTTCTGGTTGAAATGTGTTCAGATTAGAGGGTCACGGGTTCACACAGATTGTGTTACAGAGATATCACTCCAACAAGATGGGGCTTTTGTGGGGAAGTGTTTGGAGGGAGGCTGTGAAGATGCCACGTGAGTTTAGTTTACCTGTATCAACCTCAGAACTGCTCTGACCTGCCAGAACGTACAAACACACAGCAAGCTAATTGATATCTGCAGGGAGAATGTTTCTGACAGATCTGTTGTTGGCTCTCTCATATCTAGATTTCTGCTCCTGTGATTCCCTGGGGGTCCCAGGAACAGGCCCTCTTTGTTTGGTTGACACCTATTGCCACTCACAGCTTTCTCACTCTCCAAGCTGAAGAATTTGATATCTGACTAATCAAAGGATATTCATCTCTCCAAAATGTTCCAAATTACTCCAACGCAACCATATTGCACTAATTCCCAGATCTTTCCCGTCATAGGATGACGGAAAAACCAGAAGGAGTGTCCGCTGCGTGAACAAAGAGCAGAAGGAGTTCTGGTAGAAGCTTCTGGTATGACAGTAAAAATGGATCAGCAACAAGACGTGTTTGAATCTTAATCACAGTAGGAGGCGGTTAACTGTCAGCAGGTCACCGTGTTCAGAAAAGCTCGACGTCTGCCTAAGGTTATTTATTTTCCATCTTCAGTAAAGCAATCTGAAAACCAGCACATCTTTTCACCAGTGATTAGGTGATTTTTGGGTGTTTTCCCTCAAATCATACATTAGTCTTGTGTCTATTTGTGGTTCAGTATTTCCAGATTCGCCTGTTTAGAGATTTTTCTTTTCACTATAGCTCCAAATTACTTTTGGGAAATGTAAGCATTTGCAGATTTTGTCTCAACTATTAAAAAGGAAGCTGAAATACCTTGGCATTAATCTACTTGACACTGTTGGCCGGCATCTGCAAAGCAGCCGATCTAAAATGAAAAATCAAATCCACACTAACATTACCAGAAATGTTTTTTTGTTGTTGGCTATTTGGTGTGTCAAAACAACAAAGATATGGATCTGTGGTTTTCTACTTGCTTGCTGAGAAAGTGTTGTGCTTTACTGGCACCACAGAGGAGAGACTGCCACAAAGCCAGTGACTCTCAATGCATAGCTTTTATCAGGTGGAATTATGAATTTAATTTAAGTGTAATATAGAACAACTACACCCTAATTATAATTTATATAGATTAATTAAACTATGTATTATTAACTGGATCTGTACAGTGACTTGTGATGACATGATAACTGATGATGAATAAATAAACTGCATTGAAATCCATTGAGATTAAAAGTTAAATGCATTACAGCTGTAATAATTGTTGTGCTTTATGATTTAGATGAAGCAGGAATAATAGTTGGGTTTTTTTAAACAAAATAAATCAGGTAATGTTTTTGTGTATCTCTGGTTATCACTATGAAATCACCAAAGATATATTTTTTCATGATGTTCTTGAACAGTCAAGGCTCTTAACCTTGTGGTTAATGATGTGACCCTGGGCTGCTGAGAAAAATCACCCACATGGGGGACAAAGTGTTCCCAGCAGCGTGGAGGTCACTGGTGGCAACATCAAGACATAAATCGCTGCATGCTAAACGTGACAAATATGCAGACCTTTAAAGATGATCGCAGGCAAAAATCTCCCAAAACAAAAGAAGTGCCCCCGCCTCCACTCTCCTGTTATTACTAATGCAGCACATGCAGAATATGCCCACACAACTGTTGCACAATCATTCACCAGCTTCCTCCCTCCCTCTGCAGGCAGGTTGTCGTCAATGAGATTGATTATGGAAACCTGCTTCCTAATTAAGATGCACTCATTTAACTCAGAATCGATGTGTGCACAACACGAACCACAGCAGGACAGGAAAGCAAAGCGGTAAAGACCCTTAGAGTGATTTTGTAATATATGGAGTGCTGAAAGTGTCACTATTTAATGAATATTTTTGAATTAAAACTAAACTAAAAATAAACAGAAAAATTTATGAAAGCATCCATGTCTTAATAATTTAACATTTACAACTAATTACTTACAAAATAAGGGGAAAAATTGGTCCAAATCATTTGGGAGTGCCAAACAGGCCACAATTTACAAAATCCTTTCCTCAATATTTTTGTCATACTTCAAATTTAGTTGCAAATAATTAAATCTTATTAGGTTAAACTTTTACCTCTTACTATTTAGCATTTTTTCAGAATGCAGTCGAGACTGCGAGAAAGTGTGAGAAAGAATGGTTTGGTCATTTTTAAAGCACCAAAATGTAAAAATTAACAAAAATAATCACTAATATTACTCATTTTTCAATTGAACGGGAAATGAACCAATTTAAATAAATAAACTGAAATTATTTTGTTGTGTGAAATATTTCAAACAGCCACTTTAAATGGAGCCTGGCTTCTGATTGGTTGACCTGCACAGTAAGTCTCCTTAAGACCAAATATCTCAACCAGAACATTAGTGATCCAAATGATTAAAATATTTATATTTTAGTGCTTTTTATGAATAAAATCTTATAAATGACTATTACTATTAATAGACTACTGACATTACTCATTTACACACTTCAGTTACCAGGTAATGATTTACTCTATTTACTTCTCACATTGTGGCCTTTTTGGACCTCCGTACATTGTATGTTCTTCATCGACTCCTTTTTTTCTGCCATTGTCTGCAACAAGAAGCTAAATGCTTATCTGGGAGGAAAAGAGCCTCTGATTGCAGCTGGCTTTCTCTCAGGTCTTACAAAGTGGAAATCCATTACTGGCAGAGCCACAGAAACTGTTTTCATCATTGCCCTAAAATGAAGGAAACTCCCCAACAATGGGGACATCACAGAAACAGGGTGAAGGCATTTGGAGTCGGTCTTGTCACGTCTTAATGGAGTCTTTCAGTTGCTTTTTTAGAAAAAGAGAAGAAAAATGCAAAGGCATTTTTTAGTTTTAAACCTGGACTGGGAGACTGAGTCCCAGGATGTCCCAGTGTAGACATCCTGGGATAATGTTCTGGAGTCCTTACAATACAAATGACTTTTAAAGAGGCACATTAAAAGTTACTGATATTATAGTTCCAGGGGTGCAACTCACAAGATGGGATGATGTGCAAAATTTAACCAAAATGAGATTTTAGATTTTATTTCCTGACAAACTAAGAATTCCAATTTATACTTTTCACAAGCAGAGAAACTTTGACACAAATAATCAGATCTAAAATGCTAATGCCAAAAAAAAGAACACTGAAATACTTTTTTCCAGAAATGTACCGTTTCGTGACTCAAAACAGTTTTCAAACAATATCTGGAGGACTTTCCAGTTAAGGTTTGAATGAAATTCCACCTTTCCTGTTTTGAGCATCAATCATTCGATAGTCTCTATGGTCACAAATCCTCAGTTTTAACGCTGCTAAGATTCAGAAGTATCTAAAGTTTTTTAGAGGTTTGCCAACCTATTGAGAAATCTATTAGCCAATTTGCCAACACAACTGGGTGAATCAGAAACTACTTCCTTTCTTATGTCAAAATAAATGCTTTTATGAGAAACTGTTGGTTTCCACAAGGTCAGGAGATTTTTATTTTTCGCAAAAAACAAAAAAAATATCTCGGACAAAATTCGTGGGAAAACTGAACAAGGCCCGCCGACTCCAACGTGCGTCACACGACTCTCACCACGCCCACTTCCAATTTCTGAACAACAGTCCTACCCAGACGGGCAAGTTTCTGGAGCTTCAGACGCAGATTCAGCAACTACCAAGATCCACAGTGACACAGTGCCATCTATTTTTTATTCACTGATTTGATTAGGACACTGCATATTAATTAATATTGGCACAATTCATTAGCACAGTGTCTAAATTTGATCCTTTATTCTAAGACAAATAAGCAAGAAAAAGAAACAGATAGGCACGACTGGTGGGGACGGATTCCCTCATGGTCGACGCCGTGGTAGATGACAAAGGTTCAACATCATCAGCACATGTCAACTGGTCCAAACAGATGCTAAATATAATCAATTTTAGCAGTTTGCAATTCTGCTTCGCTCTTATTTGGGTTATAAACTGGTAGTAAGAAAATAAATTGTAATTGAGCAGGAAATATAGGATTTATGTGAAGTCTACTTTTAAACATTAACAACAAACCATTCTGCAGCCTGCACACAACGGAGCCCATCATTTAACCCAAATAGGAAAATATTGGCTTGTGATAAATGGAGACATGGTTTTAAAAAAGGTAATAAATTTAAAAAAACTACATTTTAAGCACTTTAATTATTATTTCTATTAAAAAATAAACCAGCACACACTGGCAAAGGGAAATTGTTTGTTCACAGGAATGAAATAACATTTAAAGGGACAAAATTATTGTTAATGATGAGAGTCAACATCAACCCTAAATGTGTCCCAGTGTGTGAGTTCATCAACTGGTACTCTTAGGTCATTTGACCCATATTTAAGGTGTTTTAAGGAATCATCTCCTCTGAGTTTGCATATCTAAATAGACTTATCCTGGAGCCTGGGAGTGATAACAGCGCCTGCTGAGGCACCAGCTGCTCAGCTCTCCTCCAGCAAAGGCCAAATCTGCAGAAACCCGCTGCTCATTAGGCCAGCAAGCCGCAATGCCTCTCCTTTATTTCTAGACATGTAGATCTGGCAACAAGAAAAGAAAAGAAACAAAGGTCGCCCCAAAGTGCTGCATGTGTTTCGGTTGGTTCCCCACAGGGAGGGGCGTTTAAGCCGCTCGACGCCAGATGTTCCGTCTCAAAATGTTTTCACCTCAGTTTTTTTTACAGAAGCTCTCCAGCATAAACTGTGATGCTGCGCAGCTGTTTGAGAAAAAAAGCTTCAGAGGAGATGAGGTGGTTAAATTACACCAGACTGGAGCTGTCAGCGTTATAACACCATCTGGGCAGAGTTACGACCAAACACGTTCAAACTTCTGCTAACGTTCCACAATCAAATAATGACAAAAGTCATAAATAGTCAGCTTCAATGTGACAACAAGTCCTCACACCGCGGGGTGCAGAAAGTATTAAAAGTGTCAGATGTCAGCGGGATTCAAGCTTTACCTCCAGCAACAGCAAACAGCAACCAGACGAGCCAAAACTGGAACTTTCTCCTCCAAACGGACGTCCGTCGCCTCTCCATGGCCACCAGGACTTTAAAAACTCAACCAAAAGAAGCAGAAGAGCAGAATGTGCTCAGCTGTTGGACCTCTTCTCTCCGGCTGGTCTTGTTTCACTCGTAGTAAAATGAAGAGTCGGGCAGAAAGGGGCGGTCTCTCTCTCTCTCTCTCTCGTGCGAGACCAGGAGTGGTTAAGCCACGCCCCTTACTAGCTCCGATCCCGGAAGTTCAGGCCACCATCGAGAAAAAGTAAGGATAAAACATCCACATATGCTAAATACACTCTAAAATTATCTAAAATGATTGAAGATAATTCTATTCATACCTTATTCAGCCTTAGCACATTAACCTCAAGATTCAATGTATGTTGGTAAATTAATTATATCCAACTTTTCAGTTCCCTTTACTCTGATACCCATAAAAATAATAATTTATATGTTTTATTGTCATATAAACAACAAAGGAATGTCCCTTTCAATCACCACCTAGAAGCTGAAATGTCTAAGTTTCATTTCAGAACTCCAACCAGTAAACACAGAAGGTCCTAAAAGTCCAACATGGCCGCCTTGCATATAGAACCAACATGGCTGCAGTAAAACAAACACACAAACAAAAGCCTATTTTCCTCCAAGGTTTTCTATCTCTTCACATACTTTTTTAATGAATAAGTTGCTATGAAGTATTTACAAAATACTAATAAACTATTATTGTGACGTCATTGAGACTCTTGATTTCCTCCACTTTTCTACAAACACTTTTCACCGTTCAATTACTTCTACGAACTTGGCTCTATTTTAAGCAATCAACCATATTCTGTTCGTTTAGTGAAGTACGGCTCTGTTTTTTCGTCTACAGTTTATAAAATATTCACCGTTTTGTGATCATGATGGGCAACATTGAAAAAAATAAACATTTCTGACCTCATCATTCCCAAATCCAATTTTTGACTTCAACACAACATTTCATGTTAAAACTAAAAGTTTATATACACCATATAAAATTTCCTCCCTGTCTGAAGTGAAATCAGACTAGAATTCTCCTGTCTTAGGTCAGTTGAAATTACCAAAATTATCTCTGTTTGTTAAAGAATAATAAAAAAAAATATGTCAAGGGTTTGATTATTTGCATAAACTCTTGACATTCTGTGTATTTAAACATCTGGTTCAGCTGTTCCCTTCGCAGTTACAAGCACTCGTCTCCGGTTCCCTGCTGCCAAACTCAGGTCATTGTACAAGTTCCTAATATAGTTATTGCTGCACTTCTCTTTGGCAGTGTGTCTAAAAAAACAAACAAAACAAAAAACAAAGGTCACTGTGTTTTAACAAGCCATCCTTTGAGTTGTTATCTTGTAATCGCTTCACTTTTATTATCTTAATATTTTCCCTGAATGCCAATAAAAGCAGCTCAGTTACTACCAGGTTCATCTGTCATTGGTTGAGAAAATAAGGATTAGGGTAAAACATTTCTGCATGCAGTTGTTTGAACAAGCTTTGAAAAATGAAATGTTCCATATTCCAAGCCTGCTTGATATTGAGAACTTTTTTATGGTCTGGTCTGATAGTCTAGTAACTATCAGAGATAAAATCCTCCAGAAAATGATCCACCAAATCGATCAGATTGGAGCTTAATAATCTAAATCAGTTTGAAAAAAATAATGACACACCAGTGAACAAGCTAAAATATACGAGTATTTTAGCTGCTTGTATTATTTATATCGGGGTCAATTAACCTGTTTTTGTTGTTTGTTTGGTTGGTTTGGGTTTTTTTGCATGCAGTAAATTGTGATTCATTCATAGTAACTTAAATGGTAAGAAATGACCCATGGCAGACGCTGTTGGGTACAAAACAACCACAATTTCAAAACTATGGATTACCAAACGGTGAAATGCCCAGCAGTGGCCATCTTATGATGAAATAGCATCTTAAAAACAAGGATTTGCACATAAAACATTTTGTACCAGAGATTCAAAGTACAACGTTTTTTAAGACTGAGGAACAAACTCATAAAGAAGCAGAGGTGGCTTATTGGCCCGTGTGTGTTGGTTTTCCTTTCACCATTTACTCAAAGCACATGTTTTGTGGTTTTAAAACACTGTGATTTTTCTGAACTGTGCTTTGATGTACTGTAAATGAAATATCATAAAATTCAGTTTCAAGGCTTGTTTTTAAAACTATCTGCGTTTTTGTTCCGCCAACAGAACCGTCTCCTCCAAAATGTTGTCCCCTGGCTCACATGGTGGAAAAATGGCAAATTATTGTCTCCCTTTCAGAAGTGGGACAATAGCAATATTTCAACCTTTGTTTCTGGCTTTACACCTCAATAATATCTCCTACCTATTCTCTCTGAATTGATTTACATAAGAATTTGTGTGAAATTTGTGAATTACATCATCTGTGTTTTGTTTTCAGTTAAATGCAAAGACAAATTTCCTTGTTCCCGCCTTGGTGGGGGAGATAAACACGTCAAACTGGTTGAACAGAAAGTTACTCAGACCTTTCTTTCACTTCCATGCTGATCCAAAATCCTTCACTAAATTTAAATGTTTTTTTCTCTACTCAACAATTTCAAAATTATTTTTTTCTCCAAAACATTTTGAAGTTAATATTTTAACTTCAAAATGTTAAATGTTAAAACATTAACTTTTTATGAAGGCCTTCATTTAGAAATTGATCCATACTCTTATTTCCTTATTTATTTTGAGAGAAGCAGTTACTGAAAATTATATGAAAATGACATCACAGCATCATAAAATTATTATTATGGTATTACAACAGAGCTTTAATTGTGAGTTTGTTGTCATTTACGCTGTAGAAAGATCTTCTGAACTATTTCGATCTACTAATTGATATTTGTGTTTGTACCTTGATGTGACGTCTTCGTTCAGACCTCTACCGCCGTCTACATTCGAATCGTGGACGAGAACGACAACGCGCCAGAGTTTCCAGAGGAGGAGTATGTCACGGTGCTGAGCGAGGGACCCGACACAGTGGGGGCCACCATTGCCACGGTAACAGCCATCGACCCAGACGAAGGTCTGAATGGGACCTTGCGGTACGCCATCGCCCGGGGCAACCTGATCCAGACGTTCAACATCAACAGCATCACGGTGAGGCGTCTACTCCGTCATAGGAGGGATAACGACAAGAAAACAAACCACTAACTGTGTGTGTGTGTGTGTGTGTGTGTGTGTGTGTGTGTGTGTGTGTGTGTGTGTGTGTGTGTGTGTGTGTGTGTGTGTGTGTGTGTGGGGGGGGGGGGGGGTGTGTTCAGGGGAGAATAACTGCTGTGAAGGAGCTGGACTACGAGATCAGCAACGGGCATTATGCTTTGGTTGTCACAGCTACTGATCAGTGTCCAAAACCTGCTCTTCGCCTGACATCTAGCACAACAGTAAGATCATGTTTTGTCGTCCATAGTAGATCATCCAGATTCCCATCACCAGCTCTTGCTTTGTGGAGGTTTGAATAAAAATCTGTCTCCTTCCTGCTTCCAGGTGTCGGTAAACGTCTTGGACGTGAACGACGTGACGCCGACCTTCCCCAGGCAGTACGAGGGTCCCTTTGAGGTAACGGAGGGCCAGCCGGGCCCGCGGGTCTGGACCCTCAGAGCAAGCGATGAAGACTCCGGTCTCAACGGCAAAGTGGAGTACAGCATCACCGGCGGAGATAACCAGAGTCAGTGTCCCTCTGTTTGTTTTCTCTGAGCATCTGTAGCCATTTCTGAGGTTTTCTCTGCCTCGCTATCAGATGAGTTCATGATCTCTCCTGTGGAGGGTGAGCTTCGGGTGAGGAGGGACGTGGAGCTGGACAGAGAGACAACAGCTTTCTACAACATCACCGTCACGGCGCGGGACCTGGGAACGCCGTCGCGCAACAGTTCGGTGAGCCGCTTTACGTCAGCAGCCGACGAAAAGAGCAGACGCAACTTTATTATCATATCCTCTTCCATAAATGGGAACTTACAAGCATCACTTCTGTATTATAATATCTCTTTGCATGGATTCTGCCCACAAGATACTTTCTATATCCTTTATTTTCAGAAAACTGCTGTAGGAATACATTCCTCTGTGCTTTTACTGTTTCCAGGCCAGAAAAGCAGGAGACAAAAATGAATATCAAACATTACATATAGTGGATGAAAGGTAGAGGTAGAACAACTATAGACAATTTCAAAGCAGTTTTTGTGTTCAATAATACACACACTTTTAAAAATCAACTGAAAAACAATAGATATAGTAGGGGGAAATATAAAATGAACCTTGCAGGAGTGTACACACTATGAAATTAAAAGTTTGATGCGGTCTGTGTGAGTTCATCCTGTCATCAGCTATAGTGAATCTGATGAACCTGAAGGAAGATTCAGCTTTTCTCGACTTCTCCTCATTACATATTTTAGCTAACGCTGTGGTTAGTGGAGGAGTTTCAGAGAATCAGAAAGATCTCTCTTTAAGCTGGAGTCAGAATCAGTAAAGATGACAAAAATGACACAGAATGAGCTTTAGAAATTTGCAACAGGTGGTTCTATTCTGTGTTTGATGACTATCTCCTGTATTATTTTTATTTTGAACGGAGCAATTAAGCTTTGCAAGAGGCTAGAAGGTTGAATTATGGTGAAACTAAAAGAATAAAGTACAGGCAGTGAAACACGGTCGTGGCTGCATTATTATCTGAAGATGCTGTTCTTTGTGTTGAAAATGTTAGATTTTGTGAAGGTTATGACCTCTGAGCTATAACTACCAAATACAACATCAGTAAGCCTCAGGTGACTGAAAAGAAGATTTTATTTTTCAATCATGCATCCAAAATGATGAAAAGACTGAATGACTTCAGCAGAGAAGAGTGACAGAAAATCTATGGAGCCGTCAGAGGATGTGGACTAAAGAAGTTCTCATAATCAGAGCGATTCAGAGAATGACTGCAAGGCAGAGTGGAGAAATAGTCATGTCAAAACATGACTAGAGAGAAGAACTGAATTTATTACTGAGTATTACTTAATCAGCTTTGTGAAACAATATTTTCTATGAAAACTTGAGATTCCCTGAACATCGCTGCTTCTGGTCCTCAGGTGGTGGTGGGCGTCTTCGTTCTGGACATCAACGATAACGACCCCGTCATCCTTAATTTGCCCTACAACACCAGTGTGAGCGAAGGTGCGGCGATACACACCTCCGTGGCCAGAGTTCAAGCTCGGGATGCAGATAGCGGACGCAATGCTCTTCTAACTTACAACATCACCGCTGGAAACCCGGGCGGAGCCTTCTACATCAACGACACGGTATCAAAAACCCAAAAACTCATTCGTCCTTTTTTTCCCCTGATTCTGGAGGGCCACCCCTTCACGTTAGTCTGAAATACGTGCAGCGTGTTGGTGAGAGCAGCTAGGATTAGAAACATGTGCACAGATGTTTCCTAATTCTCTCTCTCTTTCTGTAATCAGCTAAAGAGAACATAAAGTTCCAGCTGTAACTATTTCAACTATTCTTACATAAACATGGAAACTTCCACATATCATTGACTGCAAGTTTGTTACAGAACCGCCCAAAACAATTCCTGTAATAGTCCATAAACATAGACCTCAGGAGTCAGAGTCAGAGCAACATGGCCTCCCAGCTGTTTGCAGAAATGAATCAGTTTCTTCGTCCACATCTAAACATTTCCAGCGTCTTGAAGCAATGTTCATACATCTTGAGCTTTTTCAGGTTTTGTCACATTACAAGCACAGACATTGAAATATTTTACACCAACACAAATTAACATCATTTTGAAGTGGAAGGACAAACAGCATAGGTTTTCATTTTCATAGGTAAAAATCTGAAAGGTGTGTTGTGCACCAGCTCCCTCCAGTCAAAGAACCGCCTTTCTCTACAAATACAGCTTGTAGTGTTTCCTGTCCATCTTCTTTGGACTGCTCAGTCATCAGGGAACATTTTTACATCTCGCCACAGATTGTGAATTAGATTTAGCTCTGAACTTTAAGCCTCTTGAACGAACACACCCTTAAAGATTTGAGGCTGTAATTGCATCTAAAAGCAACTTTACAACGTTTTAAATCAGAGAGCTGAAGACAAACACAGGCCGCACTTCTCAGATTTATATTAGTGTCATTAGTTTTGAAACCATGTCTCCTTTTCCTTCCACATCACAGTTACGCTCTACCACATTTAAGCCCATTAAACATGTTGCTCTTCGAAACTTCAAAACTGAACTGTCTGCTCTGTGGTTTTCTTACATCCTGATTTATGTAATGAAATGTCCTTCATGCCTGCAGCTCTGACTCATCTCTGTCCCACATAGTCAGGTGTTGTGCAGGTGAACAGACCGCTGGATAGAGAGTTGGTGGCGGAGTACACGCTAACCATCACCGTAAAGGACAATCCAGAGAACCCCCGCATCGCTCGCAGGGTAATTCCCCTTTCCACAGTCTTAATGCCTCAGCAATTTTCAATCTTCAAAGCCTGCTAAGCAGTTTAATACATTTTAATCTACATGTTGAACGAAAATGTGTCATTTTCAAAAGGTCTTTTTTTGTCCTTTACCTGTAAACAACCAGAACTTTTCCCAGGAGCCATGATGCTTCCATGTTTTCTGCTTTACAAAGATAATTCAAAAACATCTGCAATAATGAGCCTTAGCGATGGATTCTGTTACCAGAAACTCATTACTTTAAAACAAACACATTCAAATAGAATGAAACTGTCTTAACTGCTTGCAAGCAGTTGAGAAGAGTGTTCTCTCACTCTTCATTCTACACAAAGGAGTGCCTTTGTGGTGTGTTTTCTAAACGGAAGCCAACATGCAGGTACACTAAGAAAAGGCCGTGTAGAGGAAGGTGATAAATTGAACTTGCAAAGGTATGCATCAAGTTAACCACCAAGTCTGCAGCACGGTTCTGCAGGGCCTGCCCAGCCAAGCTGCAGGACTGCGCTAGGTTGATTTTTAAAGCGCTTAAATTATGTTTGCTTCATTGTCTCTGAAGCACCTAGCTGGGTTGCAGCTGATCTGTTGTAACTGCCTCATCAGGGACATATGTGATCATACAGCCAGAAAACCATCTTGCATGGAACTGGTTGGGCTCTGGGGGGAGTTAGATGAGGGAAATGCAGAAATTACAGCTCAGCTCAGGCAGACTTTTAATGTTGTCTCACTCTTTCTTCTTTTGTTTCAATAAAACCAGGACTCTGACTTTTTGGTTATCACCATTCTGGATGAAAATGACAATAGGCCCGTGTTCACGAGAACCAGCTACAGAGCTGAAATCACTGAGAACTCACCAGCAGGTATCTACCTTCTTCTTTTGATTTGACTAGGACGATCCACATATGCAGTATTGAAACTTGGCAGCGCTGTCTCCACCACTTCCTGACTTTGTTTATGCATAGCTCATGCTTGCTTTTTTTCCACTTTGCAGTTTTGACAAATTAACTCACAGCTGTAATTTTCTTTGTGCCTTTAAAGGGCATTAGTTCATGTTGTTCAACACATGAACCAATCGGTTATCAGGATCCGAACAGAGCAGCTGGTTACGAATAGGTGAATTTGAAAACAAGAAGTTTACTGAGAGCTACTCACATTTTATCACACAACAACCAGGAATCACAATTTACTTTATTTGATTTTCACATCACAGACCAAGAAAAATGTAAACAACCATTTTTATTTTGTTTTCCTTCATAATTGTGAAGGTAAAGAAAAATTATAACTTAAATATAAATTCTGATATTTGGCTTGCATTTAAATTCAGATCCAATGAATGAATAATTAATACACCATTTTGAACGTCAGGCAACAATGATGCACATTTTGAAGTATTGCAATAGAAGAAATGATGGAAATGGCAAAATTCTAAATAACTTCCTCAATTTTGCCAACATTTTTTACGCTTGTTTTTGGTTTTTCTGAAAAAGAGTGAATGCGCGATAGGGAGATAGAGACATTTGCCAAGTAGTCCTAATGTAGTGAAAGCTCCCATCCACTGGTGGGTCTGTGCCTTACCACAGGCACAAAACACAGAAGAGTCCAAACCTTCAACTCTTTCCATTTTTCTGAAATGTGTGATTCATGCTAGTTTTCAATCACTTCTTCCTGTTTATTAACGCGTAGCGTCAACATCTGACTGTTGATGAAGTCTGTCTTTTTTCACATGTCCTTCAGGCAGCACAGTGACTGTTTTAAATGGGCCTGTTCTGGCTGAAGACAAAGACATCGGGCCAAATGCCGTGGTGAAATACCGACTATTGGGACCAAGGGTCGACCTCTTCATTGTTGACTCGAACACTGGTGACCTCATTTCTCTGGAGACAGTTAGCAGTTAGTAATTAGCTTTGCTGAAACAGGAAAGCTAATGTGTCTGGATATCTCCTCAGGGGTCCTAATGGTGCGTCAGGGAGCAAAGTTGGATCGTGAAGCCTTCCAGGACCCTCGAGTAGAGCTGATTATGGTCGGGGAAGACGTAGGAGGATTAAACAACAGCGTCCCTCTCACCATCACAATCCTGGACCAGAACGACAATCCTCCTGTCTTCAGCCCGTCGAGCTTCAGCGTCCGACTGCCTGAGAACAGCCCTACTGGTGCGTTTGGCTGATGTGTGTGACATGTCTGAGACGACCTGGTCTCACATCAGATGTTTGCCAGGTTTAACTCATGTCTGAAAACATTACCACCTCACTGGTTGCAGTTAAGGTTTATTGATGGAACTGTAGATGTCTTCCCACTTTCTTTCCTGTCTTTGTCACCTTCAGGAGTTGTGGTGACTCAGCTTTCCGCCACCGATGCGGACTCTGGCGCCAACGGTTGGCTGATGTACCGTTTAGAGAGCGGCGCTCAGGACCGCTTTGTGGTTGACCCGATCTCTGGTGCCGTCCTGGTGGGTAACACCACACTCGACAGAGAGGAGCGTGGGTCGTACCGCCTCGTTGTGATGGCAACTGATCGCGGCACGCCCCCTTTGTCCGGTACAGCCACGCTGACGGTTATTCTGGATGATGTTAACGACTCCAGACCACGTTTTATAGACCCTATAACCATTATTAACGTCAACGAGTCGACCCCACCAGGTGTGGTAGTAGCTACCCTCACCGCTGAAGACCCAGATCTCAATCCAAGGCTAGAGTACTACATCATCTCAGTGGAGGCAAAGGATGATGGGAACAGTCCAGTGGTTGGCTTACAGAACTCCTTTGGCATTGATTTACACACAGGTTGGTTTGGTTTTCTGAAACATTTATTTAAGCAATGATTTTTTTTATTGGCCTTCTGCATATCATATCATGCTTTTCAGAAAGTGAGCCATTCCACTATGTTGGACATCAAAACAAACCTATGCATCTGTTAAATCCTGTAAAAATAGACCATTTGCAGCCAAATGTCACTTTTATTTAGTTGACTTCACTGTGAAAATGGACATTGCATTGAAGGTCTGTGTCTGATCATTACCTGTTAACCATGGAGAAAATGCCACACCATGTATGAAAAAATAGTTAGCATCTAGAGTTTTGTCTACTTTCAAGTCTTCTGCAGTGTAAGAAGAAATTATGTCTATGACATAGTGATATAAACCTTGTGGCATGAATTCATGCAAAAGCTAGCTATTTCCAAACTCTGTACATATCGCTGCCTGAGAGCCCAGCAGGTGTGCTATGTCCACAGACAAGTTAACTTGACTAGAGCAAGTAGCAGAACAAGTTTGGCAAAACCAACTTGAGAAATTCATCGCAGTCACTCCATTCAGTTCCCCCATTACTTCAAACACCTGTCAAGGTGCCGCATCATGATTAGGTGACATAGTGGCAAAGGGTCAATGTGAGAACGTTTGTGTGGTGTGTTAAATTCGAAACTGCTGACATGTTTTTGGGAATTTCTAGGTGCAGTATTTGTTCGTAACCCGCTGAACAGAGAGCTGGTAGCTACGTTTGAGATAATTGTGTCTGTCCATGACAACGCCAGTGAGGTTATTGACAAGTCCGGCAGTGTTCCTAACGGTAAGTCCAGGTTGTGCTTACCTTCAGATTCTGACTCTGATTCATCCCCCATACTTACTGTATTTAAGTCACACTGGTCAAAAGATGTCATGAAGAGGGAAAAACTCAATCTTGTTGTGATTCAAGTTAAAGTCCACAAAGATTTTTGCAATTTCCAAATTTTGTCCATTTGTGACGGGAGGACAGAACGTCTTTTGCCTGCTGTGCCTCACACAACCAGCTGCCATCCAGATAGTCACCAGGTCATGGAGATTTGGTGAAACTACACTTTGCTTCACTTGAGCTTCAGAGATTTGATGGTGTCCAGTTGAAACTGGGAATTCTTCTATTAGCTGATGGTGACAGTTCTGGTTGCTTCTTTACATGACCTTTACATGACCTTCACTTCCCAATACTGCCCTGCTATTGATCTTATTTGATCACTGTAAAATTAAAAGTCAAATGTTAAATTATTAATGTCCGTTTTTGCTCTGTTTGCCAGATTTACTTGTCTTTCCCATTTGAAATAGAGACTAATAAAACATATGGGCCTCTGAGTCATGTCACGTTCAAGTTGTGGTGAAATTAAATCATGCATTACAAATTCAAAGTTTGCAAAGACTTTGATCAACATTAAAATGGTTTGTTTAAATTTATTTAAGTGAATTAAGGATTTTATCAAGGATATGTCAGTGACTTTCTCTTGCAATAAAAGTCAAATTAATTTTTTTTTACTCATCTTTACGATGGACGACGTTGCATCCATAGAATATTTTCACTGCTTATTTCTTTTCCTTTCAGCAAAACTAACGATCAACATACTGGATGTCAACGACAACGCCCCTCGCTTCCGGCCCTTCGGAGTCACCAACTTCACAGAGCAGATTTTAGAAGGAGCTCAGCCGGGCACAACGCTGCTGTCAGTGTCTGCTGTAGACCCAGATAAAGGTCCAAACGGTCAGGTCATTTATCAGCTGCTGCACCTGCCAAGAGGAGGCTATGTCAGACTGGAGGACTCTTCCACGGGTAAGATCACCCAGAAGCTTTGCAGAACAAATGCAGCGTAGATATTTACTGTAGAACTGCTGCTGTTTTTTTAGGGAAGATTGTGGCCAATCAGACGGTGGATTTTGAGCAAGTGCAGTGGCTGAATTTCACCATTCGGGCTCAGGATCACGGGACGCCTCCGAGGAGCACCGAGCTTCCGGTTTATTTACGGATAGTTGACGTCAACGACAACAACCCAGTGTTTCTGCAGCCGTCCTATCAGGTACAGGACCGGTTAGATTTGTAGGGCTGCTGGTTTTAAAATGGTTCCCATAAACTCGAGAAAGTCAGTGAACAGAAAAACGTAAAATTAAATTTTTCAAGCTTTATATCATGTCATAATATTATTCCTCAGCTCCTTCAGACTAGCTGAAGGAGCTGTTCCACCAGTTCCAAACACCTGGTGGAACTGTACATTGGTCAGTAAAACACTGGTAAAAACGTTGCTAAAAGATAAATGGAGAAGTGACGTTATAATAACTTCCTTAAGGTGAAGTTTCAGAAAGAGCAGGAGTTTTTAAAGAGACAGAGTCCCTATTTCAAGGCGCTAAATTACAAAGTCAAATTTAATATTTGACATATATACAATTTTTATAACAACTGAAGGTAACAGTTATTTTACTAATATAAAATGGCACTATATGCCTGGAAAACACAAGGACTAATAGTGTCCCTTTACAGAGACATGACTCATCATTACTACTCTTAATAATGAACAAGTTCAGTTCAATGACTTGGAATGCCATCAAAAAGTTTGTTTACATCAAGTCTTTGCTCAAAAAACAAGTGTTGTGTCCAAGCATTCTAATTGAAAGCTCAGTGGAAGGAAAAAGTGCAGCTGAAAAAGGTTTATTAATAACAGGGTAACTGCAGGCTTACACAAAATCCAAGATGCTCAATGTCCAGTTTGAGGTTCACCAGTGACTGGTGATAAAACCTGGTGGACCAGAACCAGGAGGTCACTTTCAACCCAAATCAAGTCCAAGCTCAGCGTTAGAGCACGACAGCATCTTTTCCTGCAGAAGGAAGCAGGACAAGCCTCTGTCAACAGGAAGAAGAGAGACCACTGTGGAATCTGATACCCAGAAATCCGGAGGTTGACCTGCACAAGAGAAGAACCTCACAATCCATCCTGGTGATCAAAGAATGAGCAGTGGAATACTGTAAACGCAAATAGTCCTAATATGGGAGCATAATAAAGGGAAGTTTGGTGGCAGGAAAAGAAGAGTAGAAAAAGGGAATTGCTGATAAATGAGGTTAGACCACAACATGAGTTCATATACATGCTCATACTTTTCATTTAGCCTACATTTCTGTATAAAAATGCTTTTTTAGTTGTCTGATATTCTATTGTAATATTCTACTCTAACTGAATGATTGGTTTTTATTGGTTTAAGCCGTAATCATCCAGATGATGAGAGATGTGCTTGGTATTTCACTTTGTAATGAATCTGTACAGAATGAGGTTCACATTTAGAGCTGAAGTGAATCAAGGAAGTGTTTGTTGTTCTGATTGGCTGACATGCAGCTGATTCTCACACGATGTTTGTCGTGTTTTAAGGAACCCGTCTTTGAGAACGTGGACTTGGGAACAACCGTAGTCCGTGTCCGAGCCACAGACGCTGATTCTGGACTTTTCGCTGTCATCGAGTACAGCCTTGTGGACGGAGAGGGCAAGTTTGGCATCAAACCTTCCACTGTAAGGTCATTCACAAGCTGCAATTCAGCCTTTTCCTAACGGTTCAGTAAATTATAGAGCAACTTCTTCCAGTTGGAATCCTGTTATTTACTTTTGTTGGTTTTGGTTATGTATACTTTGTGTTGCAAGAGATGTTATTTAAATAACCTTTTGACCGCATACAGAAAAGCCAGACAGTTCCTCTTTAGCAACCTTACACAAAAGATAAGCATGCATTGACGGTTAAGCGGCGGCCTGCTGTGTTTGCTCTTCACACTGTCCAATGCACAGTCTACATTTTCAGCTCTACGCGCTGATAATGTACTGCCTTCCTAATCATTCCTTTTCCTCTCTCTTTGTAAGGGAGAAATCTACATTCTGTCCCCTCTGGACAGGGAGACCAAGGACCACTACACTCTGACTGCTGTTGCACGAGACAACCCAGGAGGGAGCCCTAACAACCGCAGAGAGAACGCTGTTCAGGTCGAAACAACTGAAACATTGTTGGAGTTTTTCAAAACTGCAGTTTGTCTATAAAACATGCTTCATTATTGTCAGATGTTAAGTTAGACTCAACTTTCCTGGTATCAGTATTTCAATATTCATATTTTTATATTTTCATATTCTAAATGTCAGAATAATGAGAATATTTTGAAGATTTTGTTTGTTACTTTAAAGGGGCAGTATTACGTAAAACCGACGTTTTGAGCTTCACATCATGTTATAATGTTATTCCTTCATACAAATCATACCTGAAGTGTTACTTTTATTCTTTCATGCATGTTTGATGATTCTTTGACTCTCCACCATTCAGCTGTGCTAAACAGTTGGTTGAACCGAACACCACCTATTAGACGCAGCTTCTTCTTGGAGCTTTCACATCACAGAACAGTCCAACTCAGGTCCTTCAGACTAGCCAGCAGCAATTAGCAAACTCTAGGTGGAAACTCACTTCTGCTGAGCTCATTACAACTATATATTGGCAAATGTTTACCATGATTGCGTGACAACAGACTAAGTCATCTTTATCTGTGAATCATCAGGTTCTGGTGACGGTTCTGGATGTGAACGACTTCCGACCGCGCTTCACAAAGCGAGTGTATAACACCAGCGTGTTTGAGAACGAGCCCAGCGGTACATCTGTGATAACCGTCTCCGCCATTGACCTGGACGAAGGAGAGAATGCTGCCTTATTCTACAGCATACTTGGGCTGCATTTAGGTAAGAATTGACCAAAACAACATTTTCTGGAGTGCTTTATTTGTGCCACTTCAACTGTTTCACATTTTGCCAAATTAGAACTGTCCACATAGCTCTGTGAGCTATTTTATTGAGCGTTTTTGTGGAATCGTTTTTGGTGCAGCGTGTTCATCATCATGGTGTCTTTTTGGGTTTCTAGATGCGTTCTCCCTGGATCCAATCACCGGACTGGTGCGTTCACGCCGCCTGCTCCAGTCTTCTGAGCGTTTCAACTTCACGGTTGTAGCGACGGACCAGGGGCGTCCTCCCCTGTGGGGCACCGCAGACCTGATCATCACAGTCATAGACGTCAACGACAACAGACCTGTGTTTGTCAGGCCAGCTAATGGAACCATCATTCATATCTCTGAGGTATAGGCTCCACTATTGCTAAGCTAATGTTAGCATGTTCACTCTGTTTTCATATGACTCATTGATGATTCAGGTGGGAAAGTTTTTTATTTTCGGTTTTGAGGTGAATTGTGTGAAGAAGTTGTTTTTTCATTTGATGCATTTTGTTTTAAAACTTATTCATCAGAGTTTCACCTGCTCTCTGCTCAACTCTCCCCGACTGAAACTGGATCAGGAATAAGGCAGTGAATGACACAGATGATTTAAAATGCAATGTGATGTTATTTTGGATCAGATTGGATCAATATATGAGGAATCTCAGGAAACAGCAGAAATCACAACATAATATACAAAAAATAAAAATCCTCAAACCAACAGAACTTTTATCCATTTGTCTCACAAAGCAGATTTTTCTCTGGTTTGATGAACTTCCAGCTAATAGTGGTAAAATCAATTCCAATGTAATTCTTCTTTTTGCAAAACAATGGTAATAAAATTAAACACCAAGGCTAAAATTTGCAAGTCCTGGGGGAAAGAACAGGTTTACAAAACTATCTCATACTGTATTAAATCTGAGTTTTGATCCCTTTTTTGCAACTCTTCCTTCGTGCAGGAGCAGCCTCCAGGCCTGCCTGTCTATGAGGTCCATGCCACCGACTCAGATGAGGGCGTGAACGGGGAGGTCCGCTACGCCTTCCTGCAGACTGGCGCTGGGAACAGAGACTGGGAAAACTTCCACATCGACGCCATATCTGGAGTCATCACCACTACGGTGAAACTGGACCGGGAGAAACAAGCCCTGCTCAGCGTGAGTCCGGTTCTCCTGCAGCTCCTCATTCAACCCGGTGCCGTTCCGCCGCCTTCAGTAACTGTGTGCAAATCACTCCTCAGCTCATCATCGTGGCCCGTGACATGGGCCAACCAGTGCCTTATGAGACCACCCAGCCTCTGCAGGTGGCGCTGTTAGATATTGACGATAACGAACCGGTCTTCCTCAAGCCACCGGTAATGTTGAGCTGTAATTTATGTGTGCAGTTTATGGATGTTTGCATGTTGTAATGGTTCGTTTTCTCCGCAGCGTGGCAGCTTGCCCTACCAGAAGCTGACGGTACCAGAACACTCTCCCTCTGGTACCGTGGTGGGAAACGTAACCAGAGCTGTGGATGCTGATGAGGGCTCAAACGCCATCGTCTACTATTTCATTGCAGGTATGAAATATTCATTGTTTCCTCCAATGGTGGAAGAAATATTCAAACTCTGCCCTTAAATAAAAGTACAAATAAACAAACAAAACTGTATTCTAGTAAAAGTATTTGCTTTTAAAAAGTATTCAATGAGCATTGAAAGTAGAAGTGCTTCTTGAATTTATTACCTAATCCAATGATATCATTAACTGCGTGTATATTTTCTTTAATATATCAATAGTATTGTGCCATTTTAAAGAAAATGCTGCAGATAAGGCATGAATGCATGTTTTTATTGGGTTTATGATTTGTTTACACTTTGATTTATGATTCTGTGCATCAGAAATTCAGAGATGATCTGCAGACTTAAATGTCATTAAGCCTAATAAGAAAGACGAATGATTATACATTTTAAAGTTTTCATTAAACACGAAGCACAAAAACAATGTCATTTTAACTGCAGTAAACATGTTCAAGTGAAAGTTTTAGTAAACAAAAAGATGTGAATGCAACTTGTAAATCAACATTACAGAAATACAGTGGAGTAAAAGTCCAAAACACCCTCCATTAAATCTAATTAAGTAAAGTACAGATACATAAAAAATGTGTTTAAGCCTAAGAAATACATCCCACCACTGAATGTGAGTGTTTTGTGATGAAAATATTAATTTATCTGTGGTGATTTCATCCTGGTTTCAAGTGGTTTTCCTGAACGTATTTCTGAGCACACAAAAGCATCCGCACTTCAAAAGCAAAAGAATAACGCAGACATTTACAAAGATCCATCTTCACAGAAATCTGTTTCATGTCCTGCTGAAGGAGGAAACAATGATGCAAACTTTGGCCTGAGTCTTGATGGAGAGCTGAGGGTTCTGAAGGATCTGGACCGGGAGGAGATCCCGGCCTACTCCATCATCATCAAGGCTTCCAGCAACAGGAGCTGGACCCCTCCCAAAGGTCAGAGGTCACTACGGGCCAAAGCGCTGGACCCTGCTCTAGACCCGAGCCTTCTGGACATCCGGATCGAACTCGAGGACATAAATGACCAGACGCCACGCTTTGCTAAGACAGAATACACAGCAGGTAACAGATGCTGCTGCTGAATCATCGTCTGGCACAAAACCAGACTGATCTTTGGTTTGTGTTTTTGTTTCAGGCGTAGCAGCAAATGCTAAAGTTGGCTCAGATCTCATCAGGTTGGTGGCTACAGATAACGACATCGGGAACAACAGCGTGGTCCAGTACCACATCGTTACGATCCGCTACTTCCAGACCCAGAGCAACGGCAGCGAGGATGTGGGCAACATCTTCACCATTGGTGAGAAATCACAGTTTAGTCAGTAGACATTAGATCTAGTTTCTGACAGATTCTGTGAAAGAATGGGGTTGTTTCAAGTGGGCTTTAATTCATTTTCATCTTTAAATGAAAAACCTTGACGTTACGTTAAAATCTAGTCCTGGTGTTCTCCAAACACTGATGGGTCAGTGACTGTCCTGCTGTTCCTGCTCCCACTTTAATTCAACGCTCTAGAGAAAGATTAACTGATGTGAGTCTGATTGATTTCAGACAGAAGTAAAACCTCTTACTGCACTTAAAATATGTGACACATATTTCTGGCAATTGTGTGTTTGTACAATAGAAAAATGTTACAAAAACAGGCAACATTTCAGGATGTTAGTGTTTTTATCTGTGGATCTGTTCAGCTCCTCCAGCATGTGCATGTGATTCCTTGGAACACATAATGAGAATAATTGGACCTTCGTGTAAAATTTTGGCTCCCACTCGCGTCCTTTTCCATGTCGCCGCAGGTTTGACGGACGGAATGATCCGAACCTACGACCTCTTCACAGCTTACGATCCAGGCTACTTCCAGCTTGAGATCTTAGCTTGTGACTTCGCCGGCCACAGTGCCACCACCAATGTGAACATCTACATCCTCCGAGACGACCAGCGGGTCAAGATCGTCTTTAACGAAATACCAGACTGGGTCCGTGAGAACCAGGACAATTTCGTCAGCCTGCTGTCCAACATCACCGGAGCTATCGTCAACCTGGATGACATTCAGGCAAGACTTCCTCATTTTGGGGATTTTTTTATGTCAGATCAAAAGAAAACAGCTAATCTCTGCTTATCTGCTGGAAAGAAGAAAGGCTTATGAAATAAAATTGTGGCATGTATTTACTTTTAATTTACATGATGTTGGAACATTTGAGATCATTTATGTTCTTAAATAGTCGCAACCTTTATAAAGCAAAAGGGTTAAATAAAATGTAATAAAAGCAAAGCTGAAAAAGAGGAACAAGTTTATTTTCGGGGACACAACCGAAAACCTGACAGATCCGCAAATAGCTTGAGCTGAAATGTCAAACGATGGTGTCACAACGCATTACTCTAATCTGACCCCTTGTAACTACTTACAATCCAATAATCAGATTAAAGTTATGCATACTGTGTGCTACTATATTTATAATTTCTTTGTAAACATGTATTGTTGCTTTATTCTTTTTCCCTCGACACAAACGTAAACGATGGAGGGAAAAGAAAGATGCATATTTTCTAGCTGATGAATGAATTTTTTATTAAGTAATCAAGTTACTTTTTCAAAGTGACTATGCCATCTCTGGTGATAAATTACACTTTATATCAAATGTGTGTAGGCCTGTCACAATAGCACATTTTGATGGATGATAAATTGTTCCAGACGTTATTGCAAAAAAACAATGAAAATGGTCTCAAAACAGCAACATTAAGTAATGCAATGGTAATAGCAAAATAATAATGCAAGTCAACGATCCCATGAAAGAGTATCATACGATTAATTGATTTATTGATTACTTTAAGTGTGTTTATCATCTCAAGGTGACAACCTGCACCGATAACATCTTCTTCCATTTCCCTTTGAACAAAATGGCTTCAGTCCTTCATCAAGCAAAGTGACTTCCAGGACGAACACTCACTTTAGCAATTAGCAAGATGAATACTCTGGCAGCTCACACAACCCAGCTGCCAGATTCTGATGTATTTTATTGGTCAAAATACATTTGACTGTTGGTCAAAAATGCATTGATGAAAGTTGACTGGCAATTGAACTGATTCTGCCTCTTTCTAAAGTAAAAGTAGCTGGTAAGATGGGACTCGGCAGAAGAAGTTGCAATAAAGATACACTGAAGATTTTATAACAAAGCAAACTGTGCATGACATTTTAATATGTCATCATGTGTAGTTCCATGTGGACAAGAAGGGCAGAGTGAGCTACTCTCAGACCGACATGCTGATCCACGTCGTCAACAATCAGACCAACACCATCCTGGATGTGGAAAGGTTTTTATTCACCTTTAAGTCCTGTGATCATTCAGGTTCTGGTCATTCAGGTTCTGATCGTAACGACTATGAACTGTGCTGTGTGTTCCTAGAGTCATCCAGATGATCGATGAGAACAAGGAGCAGCTGAGGAGTCTGTTCCGGACGTACAACGTGGTGGACGTTCAGCCTGCCGTCGGTGACAAACTGCCTGATGACATCTCCACCCTGCAGGTCTGCAGACAGCCGCTGTTCATGAGCTCATACGCTGTGGAAGATTTTCACTGCTGGTTTTCTGTTTTCTTTCACGTTCACAGCTGGTGATCATTATCCTGGCCGTGCTGCTGTGCTTGGCGGGGATTTTGTTTGTAACAATGAACTGGCATTATCGCAGAGTGTAAGAATCCTGCAGATATTTCCACTGTAGTAGATCTCTTTTCAATGTGGATTGCGGAGTAATTTAAAAGCAGCCAAGGCGGAAATGTTTTAATCCGTCAGTCTGAGCTGCAAACTAACGTCTTTATCTTCTCCTGATGTTTCTCCTGCAGACACGAGAGGAAGCTTAAAGCTATTGTTGCAGGATCAACAGGTGAGTGGGTAGCTTTACACACAGCCTTATTAGCTGTTGGAAAACGTTACTTTGAGACTAATGCATAACAGCTTTTACAATTATTTTGTTTATCTATGCAGGAAACCAAGGTCTAATGGATATTCTGGATATGCCAAACACTAACAAGTACTCGTTTGAGGGGTAGGCGCTATGTCCTGAGTGGCGTACTTTTTCTATTAAAAGAGTTGATTTAGGAGTTAGTGACACGTTTCTTCCTGCAGAGCGAATCCCGTGTGGATGGACCCATTCTGTCGTAACTTGGAGCTTGCTGCTCAGGCTGATCATGAAGACGACCTGCCGGAGAACCTGAGTGAGATCACTGACCTGTGGAACAGCCCGGCGCGCACACACGTCAGTACTAACATTCATCTGGCTTCACTGCCCTGCTTATTCCTACAGTCTGGGATTTATGGGTTACTTTGAATTGTTCTTGGACTAATTCTCCAAACATATAACTTCAGTGATTCCTAGAACAATAATTGGTACAATAATAGTTGGTGATCCAAAATTGATTACTATGATGACTGTGTGTGGTTTTTCTTTTAGGGCACCTTTGGTCGTGAGCCTCAAGCGAGACCAGAGGACGATCGCTACCTTAGAGCCGCCATTCAAGAGTACGACAACATCGCTAAACTGGGTCAGATTATGAGGGAAGGGCCCATCAAGGTAAGACACATCAAGAGAAGCAAACATGCAGAAACATTGATGTATCTACTCATCCTAACTCCACTCAACAAGGACTGAGCGATGGAGTCAAAGACAGTCACTCATGTCCTGACTGCAGGCTGTTGGTTCAGGGGTTAAAGTTCAGGCTTATGGGGCAGATTGTGTCAGTTTGTCTGATCCTAACTGCCCTCCTGTCAGGGTTCTCTACTGAAGGTGGTTCTGGATGACTATCTGAGGCTGAAAAAGCTCTTTGCAGCACGACTCGTCACCGTTTCCACCGGCCAAGGAGAAGGAGATAAGTCATCAGTTACTGAGGTGGGCCTGGAAGAAAAACCGCTGAGCTCTCTGCATCTGCTGCTGGTCTTCTTCACTCAGTGATCTCGCTGTTCTTTTGATTCCCTCTCTCTTGTTCTGATGGTGCAAATTTTTACTACTTCTGCTTCATGTCTGGAATCGGCTCTTTTTGCAAGACGTTTAACACAAGATCTCTAAAACTACTGTCATTTCATCCCTCTTCTACTCAATAGATGGTGCATTTACTCTCTTCGATGTGCACCAGAACTCTGCTTATCCTCTGATCCATCTCTTAATCTATGTTCCACACTTGTCTATTTTCACATTTCTTCAGATGAAATTATTCCTTCTTTTGCATTTTCAAACATATCTATGTATACACGTATGAAGAAAAGAAAGTACATTCTCTTTATCTGGTTATAAATGAGAGCACAAAAAGAAGCTGATTCTTCAATGTCATTGTAAATCATACAGAGATGAAGCCAAAATGGAAAGTACACCCTTGCTTTTTCTGTAGGATATAAGAATTCCTCATCAGCAAGTCTGAACACCTCACAAAGATTTGGTTTTGGCAGTTTGCTTCTTTAAAACATAATGAACACAACCCCAAGATGGAAAGGCATCAACAAACAATCTAATGTGGAGAACATTTAGGACAGCTGATGATTTTCCCAGGAGTTGATGACTCAGCAGACAGTGCAATGCTCAAAGAAAATGCAAAACACCAACTGAGTGATCTAGCACAGTTAGAAAAAGAGTCAACGGGTATGATTTCTTTGAGTGGGCTGTCGGGAAAAACCCTGTCCTCTCTTGCAGCATGATTTACGTTTGCAAAGTTGCATCTGAATGAACCACAAGACTTGTGTAACTGTGTTCTTTAGGAAGAGACGAACAAAGAACTGTACATATTTCATGCTTCAATCTTCAGCACCATTTTTGGACAAACCCAAACAGACCACATCAGCACAAATGACTCATACCAATTATCAAACACGGTGGTAGAGGAGTGGTGATTTGGGCTTGCTTTGCAACCACAGCAAGTTGCCATTGAGACGATTACTTTTGTATTTTACTGTATAGCAGATGAAGCCGTCTTATCTTCTCAAACTGGGTCAACAACCGCCGTGACGGAAATGTCTGCAAACCTCTGAACTGAAGCAACCAGTTTAACATGATTAGTCTAAAATTCATTTCTAACAACATGAGGAAGGAAAAAGTGAGATTGTTGAAATATTGTTGCTGAAGCTGGTTATCTGAGGATTTACGTTCTTGGCTTCATCTTTGTCAAATAAAGCGTGGACTGTGTTGAGTGGTTTGTACATTTGTGGCGCATTCAGACCAGCCCGTTCAGTCTGCTTTCATCCAACTCCAGTTCGTTTGCCTGGGAAGTCAGGACCAGTTGGGAAGCTGTGAATGCATAACTAAACTCTGGTTTGCCTACTCTGGGGCCGTTTGAATGCATATGTGAACACTAAGCAGTCTGGAGATTGTTCAAAAACCAGGAAGTGGACCACAGTGCAGGGCATTCTGGGTAAATACGGCCAAAAACAAGCATGCAAGTCCAGTGTTAACAGCAGAAATAACTCAAGATTTTTTACAGTACCAAAAAAGAAATCCTACAGATGCTAAAGTCTGATGCTGCCATTTATGTTTTCATTTTGTGAAGAAGAAAGTTGTGCAGTGTTTTCTTCACCCACAAGTGAGAGCTGGAACAGGTTACACAGCTGAAAGTGTAACAAATGTTACCGATAGCAGGATAGCTAAACCTGGCTCTATTAGTCCATGCAGTTGGGGGTTTTCCATCACAATTGACTAACAATTGTAGTTGGTTGGGTTGTCATATAGATAGTTGGTCCAAGAGTCCAAAAAGTAGTACAAGCTCACAAGTTTTTATAAATGGTGGATGAAATTATAACCAGACAGACCTGTGACATCATTCCGACTCTGGACACTTGCAACTCCAGAGAAATAGGAACTAAAAACGGCCTGAACCACACAGCTGTTATTAGTGGAAACCCCTTGTGGAGTTGAGCTGTGCTGAGCTGGCACTAGTGGAAAAGGGCAATGAGAGGAGAGTACTTTCTTTGTCTTACAAATGTATTCCTGACAACCTTCTGTGCTTAACCACAAACTATTTTACTGACTCTCATTCTCTGTCTCTAAAAGCTGATCCAGAGTGATCTGGACGACGACGAGGACGAGAATTTGGACTTGGGTGGCGGACGCGGCACTCTGCGGTTCAAGCACAAGCTTCCCGTGGAGCTAAAGGGGCCTGAAGGCGTCCATGTGGTCCATGGCAGCACAGGCACCCTCCTGACCTCAGATCTCAACAGCCTGCCAGAGGACGACCAGCGGGCTCTGGCACGTTCTCTAGAGGCGCTGAACGCAGATGGCGGCTTATACTCAGAGAGAAACGCTCGCACAGAGTCGGCTAAATCCACCCCGATGCACCGTCACAAGGACGGGGACACCCTGTCAGAGAGTCCCCTGGAGATCACAGAGTTATGACTAGCCGAGGCCTCGCTGGTCTGAGGCAACTTGTGTGTGTCCTTGTGCCTCCATCCTCCTGAAAAGGACTGGAGGGGAAGTGTTTGTAGTCTAGGGAAACTCTTCAGCCAGTGCTTCAGTGAAACATCCTGCAAGAGGACACTCACACTGAGCCGGTTTGACTGGCTCTTTCATTGATGAAAATGGTCACAGCACCAGTTTGTAGTTTTAATCCACCTGCTGGACCCCCGTCTTCAGCAAGACAAAAGGTTTCCCTTGCAGTTAAATAAAAAAATGCTGAGTGAACAAGATGGATAGGGGAACATTTGCTCCAACCATGACCTTTAACTCATCTAAAAGGTGCCTCGTTCTCACGAATCCTTTTGAAACTTATGCCTGGACTGCAGACACTCACACAAAAACACACACACACATCAATCTACACACACTCAGACCAGCAGATGGCCTCTGAAGGGAAACTGAGAACATTAAATAATCAGGCAGATTTTTACAGAATTGCTTTGGCAACATGATTAGTCAGTGGTGGTGTGGACGGGAACAGCAATAGAAGTTTCAATCGTTTGGAAATAGAGAAATTGTTCATTGTCTTCTTAGTGATTTTACACAAATCCCAGAATGAGGGTGAAGAAGCTCCTGATGGAAGCAAAACACTTGAAAAACAATCTTGGGACGTTATTATTGATCTGCACAGAAACAAGACGTTCCAAATACATGGTGAACAGAAGAGAAAAACAAGGTTTTATCAAAAAAAATATTTATAAAAAGCAAATAACATTTTTTATAGACGTTAAGATGGCAATGTGCCCAATGATTTTACACTGCCACGAGGGGTGAGGTGGGGTACTCAATGTCAAGCTCAAAGTGAGAAACTTCACTTTATTTTTATTTTTCTATTAAAAAAACAAAAAAAAAAACATTGAATCAAAAGATATTTTTGAAGAAAAATGTTGTCTTACCAAAACTGTTAAGGAAGTCATGTTGGATGTTTGGCGTATGAGTATATAGTGCTATGGTGACATGTCCATTTGTTTCCCTTGTATAACAGATGTTTCTGTTGAGTGGTGTGTCATGAAAAAAAAAACTTTTTATACTCCTGTTTGTTTCCCTTTTTCATTATTGTTGTCACCAGCCATGAGATCTGTGTTGGGAAATGTTGTGGGATGATCTGTGCTAATTAAAATATGCAAATGGTCTCTTGATTCAAGTGTCTGCAATAATATGATGCCTGATGCACCACCGGGACAAAACCTGAGCAAAGCACTTAATACCTGGAGTCATAATGATCGATGAAGCAACATTTGATACACACAGTATTATATTTGCCTTTTTGTTCACTGGGATAAGTTTTAGCTAGTTAATTTTTTCAAAGATTTGTATAAAACATTAAACTTAAATAATTTGAGCTGGAACTTCTGATAGATTCCTCTGAAGCACAATTTGTTCAGAGGAAAATACTTGCAAAATTATGTGAAATACCTTTTTTAATAAAAACAAGTAGGTACAACAGTTTGGAAATACTGCCACCCGGTGGTCCAAAATTATAAACGTGCACCAGAGACATAAAAAGTTTGATTGTTTCGGACAACTCCATAATTTTATTGTTTCCAGGTAACATAGAAAAGTTTTTCATGAGGAAACTAAGAGGATGTGGCTCTCTGCTGCTCGGTCTCATCGGCTGGTGGCGGTTCCTGTCGCCGTGGTGGTGCCAGTGATGGCCATTTTCTTCAATGTCCTGTTTAACTGCAGGAAACATAAATGCAACAGGGAATGTGTTTCTTTTTAAATATTGGAAAACGTTCCTAGTCCAGTTTTATAGCCGTTTTTGTGAATCTACTTACTTCCTCAAACTTGTGGATCTGTCTGATGAAAAAGTCTCCGTACCGACGAGCAACTTTTGTGTCGGCAATGTGGATCATGTCCTGTTAAACATAAAACCGTTTTTCATCTACAATTACATTTTATGCATAGTCATATATATATATAAAAAAGACATGTTTGTGTTTAAATTTATTTAAATTGCTGGGGGTTTTCGCCATCTTTCAATTAGAGATATTTTCCTTCATACACATCTCTGCAGTTGTTTCTGCTTTTCTTTGTCCAACTTAAAAGTTTCAGACCAATAATGTCAACCTGAGTAATTAGAAAAAAGTCGTCTTTAATTGAGGATTTCAATTATTAAAGGAAAAAAACTTCAAACTAATCTGGTCATCAGGTAAAAGGCAACTACCTACTTAAGTGAAAATTGACTTTCTTAATAAAGAAAACACATTTTTAGGAAGTTGGGTTTAATTTCTCCAGTTGAACTCAGATTATCACCAAACCATAAACATATGAATAAAACCTGCAACGGCTGAAAGAGCTCAAAAAGAAATATTTGAAAACAGTAGAAAAGCAAATGTTTTGGAGTGGAAGAGCCAAACTCGATTCAATCCGAAGCGCAGCCTGGGGGACAGATATGCTTTTCCCTTTACAGTAAATGTATTTTTTTACATTCGTCTTAAACTAAAATCTGAGTTATTTCATTATGTATAAATTGCATAGTCACCTTATTGTTTAATGAGTTAAAAATCTTGAGCAAACAGAAGAAGACTCTCAAGATGTGAAGAGTTTTTCTCGGCTTTGTAAACAGAAACAGGAAGTAGAACTTTTACCTTGTCGATGTAAAAGTCGACCTCGGATGCAGACTGAAACTCTCCGTCCAGCGCCGAGATGCCGCTGGTCCACACCAGGTTCTTCATCTTGTGCTTGAAGACGAGCAGCTGGATGCGGAACTCCTGCTCCGACATGTCCAGGAAGCCCGCCAGCTTGGCCACTGGCATGGTGGTGTACAGCTTCAGGAAGCTGTCAGCATGGCGACAGGAGGGTTAAACAGCCGCTGTGTAAACTGGAGACGAGATGCTAAACGTCCATCACCTCCGAATGGTGGAGAGCTGAGCCTGCTGCTGCACCTCCTCAGCGAACACCTTGAGCTGCTGCTGGAAGGGCTCCTTGTGGTAGTTGGGGTGAACGTTGTCGTAGTTTGGCACCACAGGCGACAGGAACTTCGGACAGGCGAAGCTGAACAGCTCCTCAACCACCTGCAGGTCTCTGAAATGAGAACAGAACAACATCTGTGAAGAACTGACAGGAAGTACTGCAGTACTGGTGAATAATAATCAGAAGGAGTGGAGACGAAGCCACGTTTGTGTGAAAATAGCAGTAATAGAAGTCAGAAATACTGCCACCTACAGGTGGAAGTGAGTGACTTAAACCCAAAGTTTTTGAAGATTTTTGAGAAAAATATGCAATGATTATGATCATAACTTTTATTATAACTCATGATTATGCTTTGCCATGCATTGATTTTGTCTAAATTTGCAAAATTGCAAATTTGTATTTTTCCAGTGGTATGACTTTGTCATTTTCGTCTCCCAGGGTAAAAATGTAGTTAGCCCACATCGTCTCACCCTTTCTGCATGCGCAGCATCTTGTCTCCGTACTTCTCCCTCAGCTGGGTGTGGATGCTCTCGTCGATGCGCATGGGGTACATGGTGAGGGCGATGGCGAGGAGGCCGTGCATCTGCTCGTTTTGCTTATTGATCTAAAAACATCCCAGACGATGAAAAGTTTCAATCTTATCACTTTACATGACTAACATGAAACCATCACGGCTGTACTGACCATCTCGTATTTGTAGGTTGACCTCTGGAACATGTTCCTCGTCCTCTGGATGTAAAGCAGGATGTTGGCAAACACTCGGATGGCGTCCTGGTAGCGCCGCATCATCAGGTAGGCAAATCCTACGTAGTAGTAGGTGGTGATCTGGCACTCAGGCACGCGGGAGTACATGCTCTGCCAGACAGGAAGTGCAATCAAGCTGCTGAACACCAACAAATCTCTCCATCAGGAAGTCTCTCTCTCACCTTCTTGTTGAGCTCGATGTTCTCCAGGACTTTGATGGCCTGGTAGTAATCGCCCAGCAGGGAGTGCAGCCGCAGCAGACCCACCAGGCTGAAGTAGCCAAGCATCTTGTACAGGGAGTGGCGGCCATATTCCCCAGCAACACTCTCTGGATCTCCTGCAGCCGACCAATGGGTGACAGCCTTCAGTCATCTATGTTACCTTTGCTTTAAACGTTGCGGCTAGATCTAACACCAGAACGTGAGCTAACCTCCGCTGGTGTAGACCTCCAGCTGCCGGTTGATGTTGCTCTTGTCCACCAGGGAGTGGAGGACGTTGAGGACGCTGTGGACGTTCCAGATCTTTGGGTTGTTCCTCAGAAACTCGATTTCCTCCTCAGATTTCTTGGCTGTTTTGCAGCGGTACTGACTGAAGGACTGGAACTGTGGAGGAAACGGAGCAGGTTCAGCATTTTAGTTTCTGTTTCCATAATATTAGACATGAACTGATCAGATGTTATCTGGATGAGTCCCGATCCATAAGGGCACATCTATTCTGTCTAGTTCTGTGCTTTATAGACAGAGCACATCACGCTTTATTGTTTACCTTACACTACATTTAGAATTCCTAATTAGACTTTCTGAATTAGGAAAGTGTAATTAGGAATTGAAAGGTTTGTTGTAGGCCTTTCACAGAAAGGAATAAATCAATTAATTGTATGATAAATTAAAGTGAACTCAATTTCATTTTGCATTATTTATCATTTTTCTTTTGTTCTACCAAAAACTGAATGACAAGTATTCAGTCTGGTGTCTTTCTAATTAATTTTGTTAGTTTTTTATTTATTTATTTATTTTAGATATTTAAAATGTCTTCCAGTTCCAATGTTAAATGTTCATCAAAATTTAAAGTTTATTGACCTCTGAGAATGTATTCTTGCATTATTATGCCAATCACACTAAATTAGATGAAAATGCTCTCAAAACAATAAATTTTAATTACTGGAATAATTATTGTGAACGATATATTCACAGTATATCGTGAATACTGGACAGTATAGTTGTTGGTGTATTTAAATGTGCATTACTGGTTCAGAGTTGTCAAATAAATGCGTAATTCAGTACATTTATGTTTGTGTTAAAAAAAACCATTTTAAGCCAATTCAGTTGTTTTTTGTTTTTTTTGATCGGATCGGTACTGGGCAAAAATAAACCTCAGATTGGAAGAGAAAAAAGTGGATGGGTGCATCCCTAAATAAAACACAAACTATAGAACTTTATCATTTTATTCCATGATTAAAGTTCGTAATATGATGCAGACCTGGTAGATGAACTCATCAATGATGTCCCACAGCCACTGGTTCGGCAGCTCCAGAGGGGCGGGGCCATCTGCATCTGTTCACAGCCACATGTTGTCATATAACCGATGCATCTACAGGTAAAGCTACGCCACCAGGACGGTTGCACTCACTGAGGATGTAGTTGAAGAGGTTGCAGTAGTTGTAGTATGACTCGAACCTCTGCTCCAAAGTGGGTCCACCCTAATCACACACAGAGAGATGACGGTTCTGACAGAATGTTTGCAGCTCCAGAACCCGACCAGACGTTAACGTCAAGCCGTTACTCACGCTGACTTTAGCGTAGATGTGTCTGTAATAAAGCTCCTTATAGAGGATGAGGAACACAGCATCTGTGCAAATGACAAACACCAAAATCAGCTTTACAGGAGCAGGAAGTAACACCTTTAGAGTAGAAGTCTACAGTTTAGAGTACCATGGGTATTTCAAACTGTGTGACCCATTTAAACCTATTTTCACACTGAAAAACTAATTTTAAAGTATTTCATTAATAAAACTTTCAACTTTCAATCATTAAACCAGATATTTACATACACAGTATAAGAAGACGCCGCCTTGAGACCTTGGCTGATTTCTTTTTACTTCCCCATCGAGTCAAAACAAGAAAGAAATCATTCACAATGTAAACTTCTGATTTTCAAAAGATTAATAAATCTCATTATAATAAAATACCTTATTATTTTAGTAAATAGAAATAATTTTGGTAATTCTGACTGAGCTAAAACAAACAAAGTTTGGTCTGATTAAACTTCAGGCAGTGAAGTGAACTTCTGGTTTGAACTGTAATCTGATTGGATGATGCTCTCACCATTGCCAACAAGCGAAGCGATGCCTTCAGCTTCAGGCCAGGGGGAAGTCTTGAAGAAACGATCAGTCAACTTGTTCCAGCTGATTAGAAGCAAAGCAAATCAAGATTAAACATACTTCATGCCAACATACACAACACACAAACACACG